CATTTTTAACGATGTATTTATTGAAATAATTTATTAGTAAGTGTTATCATTATTATGGCCTAATCTGAATTTTTGCACATCAGCATTTAATTTGCTAATAGCAAATATTGGCATCGACCTAGTTGTATTAAATTTATTGCTAATTTCTTTAATTAGATCTTCCATATTCTGAATCTTCAGTTTGTTAAAACGTGACTCTTTACTATTTAGTATAAATTATGTTCAATAATTTAGTTTGAACAATGTACATTTCTATGTTTTTTATATCAATGGTTTTATCGCGAATGTTTTTTACATTAACAGTTCTTGTTTCTTTTTTGGCGGCAGTTTAAAAGCATTAATTTTTGAAGTCACTAAATTATGCACTTCCCGTCGGCTCGTGTTATTAATGTTAACGAATGTTAAGTTCATTGTACTGGCATTATTAATTTTGGCTACTGACTAATTGTGCTGCTGTTTTATTGACGTACTAGCTGTTCCCGTGCGGCTTCATCCGCATGAAATTATGAAAATTTTAAGTTTATTGTTTACATTTGTCAAACTATCAATAGCAAATGTCAAAATGACATGACATGACAAACCTTGCTTCCTTGATGTTGGCAGCAACTAATGGTCTCTTTCCCTCATTATGGATTTTATCCAAAATATTTACCCCCTAAGTTTAATGTCGTGAAAATTTGTAGCCTAAAGCGTGATGTAAGTGTAGGGCACTTTATTAAAAAAAGAAAATTCGAAAATATTCTGTAATTGCTGACATCTTAGGCAACAAAGAAGTGTGTGTTTCCGCTTTATTATAATAGTATAGATATAAATGAGTAACACATTGGGAACCATGTTTTTTCATGTTGGCATAAGTGGACCGACCATGAAATAATGACCATCCTAATAGATGTAAATAGTTTAGAAGTAGTCATGTTTCAATAGTATCCAATAAGTCTTATATTCGTAAAAGATTTAAAATAAATGGTTTTCACTTTTTAAGAAATATTTGCAATCGTTTCAAGTTTCTAAAAAAAGTAGGCTAAGTCCGCAAAAGTATCGATTCTTTTTAGTCATTGACCCTCTTCTGTAGCTCAATTGAGAGTTAAAAAACATTTAGCGGAACGTAAATTAGTCCATATTATCATTTAAAGCAAGAAAATGTCAAAATTTGTTGTTCAATAACCTCAAAGTTACGGAAATACTCCTCTACTCTTAATTTACGCTCATTTGAAATTATATAAAATATAAAATGCTTCACTTTATCAACGTACCGGAATTGTGTAAGGTTAAAATACTTTATTAATATTGACTGGATCATTCTAGAACAATATATACTTACTATTGCCGACTTTAATTTGCAACGTATGAAGGTCGTTGTTTATTTATATCCGCAGTAATTAAAAATAACGTTTGCGAGAGATTTTTGTTGTCATAGAAATGTACAAATATACTAGTGTTCTTTTTAAAGTCTTCAAAGGTCAACCGCGGGCATGCTCGACAGATCTTGCTAAAGTTTTATATCCAAATAGCTTTCGACCCCGACTCTCTCCGCGTGGTATTAAAAAAAATTAAGTAGTCTATGTGTTCTTCCAGACTATCGTCTACATCTATGCCAAATTTCATCCAAATCCGTTCAGCAATTTAGGCTACAAACTCTAACAAACATCCATCCATCCAAAATTTCACATTTATAATATTAGTAACGTTTTTATTTTTATTTCAATGCTTTATAATGTACAGTATATTTTAGGTTTTTGAAAATGTATATGAAAACAGATATTTTAGGTTTGTGGATGGCTACAAAGGAAGAGGAAGACCGAGGAAAGTATGGATGGATTGTATGAAAGAGGATATGCTTAAGAAAGGAGTGGATTCAGATATGACGGCTGATAGATATGTATGGAAGAGCAGCACATACTGTGCCGACCCTCCGTAAGGGATAAGGGCAAGTGGATGATGATGATGAAAATGTATGAAAACCAGATTTTTTTTTTTCACATTTGAAGTACTCGTGCGGACTGATGGCAAATATACATATTTCCATGAATGTGCGAAAATCGTGGCTTAATGTTTTGTTACACGTCTCGTATTGTTTCCCTATGTTGGTAGCACCTATTTACGTCATTTCAGTAATTGTCTTTACAATGGTTTCTTTTGGCACACGATTAATGGGTTTCTTTAACCAAAACATTTAAAAAATTTACTTTTTCAATTAAAATATGGAAGTTAATGATACAATAAAAAGTCAAGTAGGGTTATTAGGCAAACACATTAAGGTTTATAAAATTCTGTACGCCGACCCCGCATGATTGGGACAAAAACAGGGAAACAAGTGATTTTTTTTGTTACGAATGCTTCAGGAGTTGAAACCCCCAGTTGTAATCGTTTATTTATTGTGTATAGGATTGACGCAATAGAATTACGCCGCATTTATGATCCAGCCATCTATAACTGGGCGTTTACTTTATTTTTGTGTTGTGGTAATTTTTATCAAATGCGTAGGCGCCTATTCGCCACAGTCGGACCGATATCGGTGCGATAATGCCATTTTTCACACGAGGGTAGGACAGAGCAGTATTGTTCGAACGCATACATACATAACGTTGATGTTGTGTTGTACGTTTAAAAGACGGTATTGTACTGTCCTACTACTCTGCCCTCGTGTGAAACTATCGTAACGTCTGTTTCCATTCATCGCTTCGTATCAATGGCTCACAGGAACCGACGGTCGCTATCAAAATAACATTTCCACTAACAACTGATTTTAAAATGTGCCATTGTTACATACGTTTTTATTGAAATTGGTATAAAAATTAAATATGTTAAAACATTCGAATATTTGTCCTATAATTTAACTACATGTTAAAACTTATTTTTACAGCTATGCCTAGACTCCAGTGTTGCATTTCAATGAATAGTTTTTTCACTTTATGAGTTAAATTTTTCTTTACCTTGAACTTGTTTAATGTCTTAGGAAAGCTGAGATCTAATGTAATTCTGTACTTAAGTATTTGCATGACATAGTTACGTTAATTTATTTATGTTTATTTTATTCTTGGCACGAACACAACAATGGCCGGATTTGTCGCCTCCTACCATCTTCTATTCAGTTATTACTTTTATATCTTTTAGAAAGTTATCTTTCTGATTAAAGACAAACGGCTATCGCATATTTCTTCACCCTGATATAGCCTGCATTACATCTTAGTCTAATTTTCCAATCCTTAATACCTTACGAACGTATCTATTTTGTAAAAGGTAATTTACCCATTTCTTAGAATGTGTGTTTAAAAATACATAGGGTTTTTAAAGAAGATTAAATTTATCTTATCAATATGGCAGTACAAACGGATTAAAAGTCTTTCTTGCATCTTTATCAAGACAATCGTACATTAGTTATCTGTGTAATTATTTTATTATCTGTGATTCATATTGTTTGTTTCCTTTGATCGAACGGACTGGTGTTAAAAACAAAATTAGTGTGAAAAGTCGCGGAATTTCATTAATCATTGACTAGCATTCGCCCGTGATATCATCCGCTTGGATTGAAAAAAAGGCTAAGAGGCCTATGTGTTCTTCCAGACTGTACTCTATAACCATACCAAATTTCATCAACATCCGTTTAGCCGTTTAGGCTACAAACTTTAACAAACATCAATGATGGATAGCATCGATCCATCTAAACATTCGCATTTATAATATTAATATAATTAAAATAATTAATATTAGTAACAATAGTAAGATTTAGTATTTTAATTATTTGATTGGAAATTGGATTGCTTTTTAAATGTTTTAATAATTATTTCGGATAAACAATATGATGGTAAAGTTTAACTGCATCAATATTTATTAAAAGCAATTATTAAGTAATAATAGCTAATTTGTAATATAAAAGTGCATTATTAATAACGTAATGGCTAATTATTACGTTAAATTTATCGCTGGTCAACAACCTTCTTATAGCGGTTAATGCATTCATAAAGAATTCAATTAAATGTAACTGATAATTGTTTTCTTTACATATATTTAATTAATAAATTAGTTTTAATACAAAAAACAACTAACTTTACAAAATGGGTTTTCCTAATAAAAACGAAAGTTTTGTTTTTCATACTATCTGACAATTAAAAACAATCAAGATTAAAAAATATCGTAAATTTTATGCAGCTAAATATAAAAATTATATACTAATATTTGCATCTTCTAGAATTATAAAATTGCATCAAGTTACAACAAAACCACAAACCGTAACCATAATACAAGCTTAAGATTATCGGTTGCTATTTTATTGTTAGAGTTAATAACATTGTAACGATTATTGCGCCAAATGTAAGCTACTAAAAAGGACAATAAAATAGATGTAAAAAAATAATTAAACACGTGTCCATTTCGCTCCACTGACCAGATAATGTTTTTCTTTGGCATTTATAACCTGAAGTAATGGGTCAATCCAATAAAATTGATGTACAGATTGCACGGGTAAAGCGGATAACAAATCAGTTCAATTTGTACCTGCATAGAGGTTTGTTTTGCCTGAGTAACGTGTTACTAGGCAGTTCGCGTTTTCACGGTTCCTGAAGTTATAGTACATCGCGTTGGACTTGAGCCGCAGATCAAGGGTTAGAGCATATATAAGCTTTTCTTTTTATCCGGTTTAGAGTTTACACACGTCTACCGAATAAAAACTTTCATCCGTCCCACCTTTTAGTCCCATATCACCAATAAGGTGACAGATGGAATCGTTATGAAATAAAATAAGTTCGTACCGTCCCCTCGTCGCAAAAGGTGGGACGGATAAAACTTTTTACTCTCATCTGTTCCCACGTGGGGACAAAACGGAGTGACGGTTGGGAATAATCCCTGAAAGCGAACTAGCGCTTATTCTTTGTATTTGGATTAAATGCGTGACGTCTACGATTGTTTCAACTATGTCAAAGATAGTTGGAATTGCAGGTTATTTCACTTGTTTTTTTTTAAATCAAATGAGATATTAATTTACATTTTTCTGTTACTTACAGGCTAACTCGAAGATATATCTTCTAAGGCGAGTCAACGAGGAGTGGCTGTCTGGCAGATTAAAAAATGGCGTTGAAGGTCTTTTTCCGTCCAATTATGTAGAGATCAAAGTGCCCTTACCAAATGATAGTCCAACACAACCGATACTTGGTGAAGCTATCGCATTATACGACTTCGATCCGGTGCAAACCGGTGATTTGCGGTTTTTAACAGGCGATAGTATACGAGTTATGCAGAAATTGAACGAAGAATGGTACTTCGGTGAGTGTAATGGCGTAAAAGGTCAATTTCCAGCGAATTACATTCAAATGAGTTGAATAAGGTGTAATATATTAATTTTTAAGTTTTTTTATTGGGAAAAAAAGGTTCATAACAAAAGTGCGCGTATAATCAAGGTTGAGTCTTACTTGTTTTTCTGCGGCATATAAAAAAATTGGACGTGATTATAGGATGATAACTTAAGAATAAGGGCAATAAAATTTTTGGAATTGTAGGTTTAAAATTAACTAGTTTCATCTTTTTTTTAAATTACTGTATACAAATACTGTATATAATTTACCGGTTTATCTATTTTTCATAGTATTTATGTTCAGGTATAAATGTAAATTCCAATGAACGCAACGATGTGATATTAATTTGTTACGAATGGAGACTGGCAATGAGCACATACCGCGTCAAGCCGCTCAGGATTTATATGGATTCCTACTTTATGTGTTACGTAAACAATAATTTTATTCATCACAGTATAATTTGAATGAAAAGCACGTATTTCACGAATATTTTTTTATGAATTCTGCAAAACTTAAATTATTTGTGTTAATTAAAACGGTGCTAACTAATCTTAAAAGTCAACTTTATTACTAAACATTAGCTAAAATACTGTAGGCGTTCATAATACATAATTGCTTCGATGCAGATCATTTGGATATATCTGTTATATGTATTTAAGCTGTGTTGCCACTGAATATTATGAATCATACAAAATGAACTGGATTTAGGTTAATTTAATAGCAATGTAATACCACCCTCACTGAAAAAATCGACTGCATTGACGTTTGTAAATAAGCTTTAAACCGGTTTAAAAGTTCAGTTCATACAGACTTGTACCGTTGATCTACAGCTCAACAACTAAAGCCTGGTTCACACTTGGCCAGTACAGTTAATCGCTTAAGCTCATTTACACCAGTGAGTCCATACAATCTATGACTGGCCGTCGCAACTGTCCAACTGTATTGGCCTATGTGTACGGCGCATAACAATGTGAGCCGACCCTCGAGCTGCAGTGACTCGCAGTTCACAACTTGTTAAACTGATGTTTAAATCATTTTGTGTCATCAGTATGTTTAATATGTATATCTTTAAAAAGGAATATTATGTAATTTTTTTAATTGTTATTTTTAATGTGCAATAATAGAAAATTATCATTTGTACAGATAAATGTCAAAGTTAAAAACGTTTGCTTTAAATGACATGATCGATTTGTCAATTTGTATTTCCAGCCGCACTCAGAGCAATCACATGGCCACTGAAGGAAGTCCCTAAGTGTAGATTTAGTGTATAAATTAACTCTTAGACTGCTTAAGTAACTCAGGCTCTGATTGCGGAGAATTGTAAAAAATAATTTAACATTTGTTCACATGTTATTTTAAATTATTTATGTATTTTTCTATTGAATTAATTTTGTAACTGGCAACTGAACGCAGTACAATGTCGCACCTTTATATCCAGTGTTGCCATATAACATAAGTATACTCTAACTAGCTTTACCATTTATTTTTACATTAAATATTTGACATCAAATGTCATAGCTCTTAACAACACAGAGAGAAATATTACGTGACTTTGTAAATATGCACAAAATGAGCATATACTGGAGTCAGTGTTTTAATAGAGATGGGTAATAAAATACCGAGATTTATAAATCGAAGCTTTTCAATTCTTTAATATAATGAAAAGAACAATTAAATTGAACGGGATTGTATCAAAGCATAACTTAAAGAAAGGGAGAGATATAATTGATTTTGAGTGCTATAAATTAATTTTGCACAAATCAATTTTATTTTCTGTACATTAACGTTCGCGTTAAATTCAGTTGTCGATGTTTTTTCGATGCTATAACATCGATATATTAACGGAACATCTCTACGATAGATGTTTAATATGAATTCCAGTATATGTTCCATTCGTGTTTGTAAAATCAACATATAAATATAGTATGTAAAGGTTGTGTGTAGTCTCGAATTGATCTGATAATTAGGATAATTCATTATTAAAATATCAACTGTTTTGCTTGTTAAGTCCAGTGTGATTGTATCCATATACTTTGTTAGACCAAAGTGTGGTTTACTGTATTTAAGTATTATTTTTTTATGTTTTTTGAAATTAATCATGGAGACAATGTCGAAAATAATGAATTACATAGCTTTAAAATTTGGTTATTTTATAAGTTGTATATGTATGTATAGCTTCATATTTTTTGTGTCATTTATTTGTAAGTAGTTTTAATTGTTTTTTTTTTTGGTGGGACCATAACACAAAGTGCCTTCAGCAGGTATTTTTAACTCCAATTATATGTATAATGTGATCTAATTTATAATAAAATCTAATGCGGATGTGTATTTTTGTTTTATTGACGTCTTTTACAAAGTTAATTTGCTACCTATAAAGAAATGGATTGCGTTAAAGGTGACGATCACAAAGGGAGGGAGATGACTGAGATGACGTATGATAGAGTTATGTGGAGGACAATAACCTGTTGCGCTGACCCTACGGGAGCAGGATAAGGCGGAAGATGGAAATTTGCTCCAGAAATCTCATCTGCGTTCATTTCTTTTCATAAGTATAAAAGGCGCTATATTCTGATTCTAAGGGGTCTATAATATAAGCCTATTTTCTAATATTTCCCATGTTTTGAATCTTATGAAATCATTTCATTGCTAGCTCGTAATCTTGTGATTTTCTTGTTTAGTAATTTTATAAAATATGTTACCGATTAGAACGCAACGCAGTAATTATTATACACCTTATTGGCGTCAGATATAAACGCTGTCAATAGACTTCTACTACTTTCGTTAACTAATTATACAGCGCGAAAGTCTAGATTCATATTACACAACGTATGAAGTTATACTAAATTTTTTTACATGTTTTGTAAATATGAAAATATATATTATAAAACAGTTAAGTCGGTATAGATATTTGGGTTTACATTTAAATATGTATTTCAAACTAACAGTTCCTTTAATTGGAGTTGTAATTATTAAGAAAATACTGTTACAGTAACCTACATTGCAATCAGTATTTTAATGTATTTTTCACTGAAAAAAGAGAAAGCCGAGAATAACTACAAATAATAATTTTGATAAAAAATGAGTTTGTTTTAAATGAAAAGAAATATATGTAATTATTTATATTAAAATATTACTAAATCAATATGTACTCGTAAGTCAGATGTAGTTTGTACACAAACCAATACCTATGAGGAAAACATTTGATATAAATAGATGAATGTTATTTAGCTGCAAATAAAACAGATTGTATGTCGACGAATTGCATCTATTGAGCTCTTTGGAATATTCCTATCGATTGTTGTGATATTAACAAGATCAAGTACGTATTTTCCATACAATAAACGTGACATCTAAAAGTTTTTTTTTTGGTTTCACGTATTTGTTAAGTTCAGAAGACTTTTAATTGTAGAGTGTTCTAAAATTTTAAACATAGATAGATTTCTTATGAAATAATATTGTAAAGATTTTTCTGGGGAAAAAATATTCATCACATAGTGAATTTTATTATTTGAACAAAAATATTCTATATTATAATGTAATTAAAATATTTACAATTTAGCTTAGATTACAACTTAATGTCAACATACCCTGTTCACTTTTCAACCGTTGTCCTCGGCAGAGAAGGCGGTGGCAAGACAACTCCAATGCTGTTACATCATTAAGTTATTTTTTTTTAAAAGAAACCTCGAGATTGTTTTTTATTATACATATTGCAGTGACAACGTCTACCCACTGAAATCCTTCACAACATGTTGAAAAGAGAAAAGAGGGCGAACTTTCACTAAATATAGAAGCTTGACCGGGAATATAAAAACCCTCGCCATTTTGCGGAAAAAGATAGGACTAATTGCACATTAAAAGGCGTATTAATATGTGTCAAAGGCAATTGAAGCGTCATCAAGCTAGGATTTTTATATTCTCGGTTGCTTTACTACAAAAATTATTTTCCTAGTAACACAGTCCCAAATTTTTTCCCTAAATTAAATTCACAGAACAAGCATGTTACATAAACTGAAAATCTTATATCGAAACTAAAGTCGTCGTTCAGGTACTTGTTATAAAAAATACATAAGTATATTAACAAAACATATCTTTTTGGATTAAAAAAAAAAATGTTCGTTAGTAAAAAAACGAGTTTGTATAATCTATACTTAATTTTAGGGCAAATAATAAGATCTCTACGCTTTATTATTGATGTGCGCGATATTATTAAAACTCAACCTGCTCGGTTGAGGCTTGATTATAAGTTTTTTTAATAATAATGGATTTTCTTATTCCGCACTATAACATAAACTATCAGATCATGACATCTGAAGCAATGTTTTAACAGAGGAGATTGAAAGATCATAAATATGTTTTTGCGCTTGCAACATAAACTTTAAAAATACTGAATTTCCGCTTCGTATTTTATCAGCCTCTTTTTAGTGCGACAAGAAACTTTTGGCACGCGGCCAATTACAGCGTTTATTTCGCTATATTGTAAATTGTCACTTTTGACAGCAAAAGTAACTGCCAGGTGTTTTTAGACGCCAAATTATAAATTATTTATAGTAGTTGATAAGTTGGCTCAAGTTCACTTTGATATGCCTAAACTTATAGTCTTATTATTGCTGTTTGTTTAAATTCTAATTTACACCAATGATATGCTAAAAATTACAAAACTTCACACATAGTTTCTCCACTTTGGAATTATATTTTATACTCTGGCAACACTAATTCTAACTGTCAATGTCACCAACGTAACAAAAGATGCCTGTCGCACTTTTAAATTTAGAATGACTACGTTAACTGCATTTCAACAATAAGGTGTAATGCAAATGCTTAAAAAGACTTAACACTTAACAGCTTGCAATTTAAGTGACATCTATACACAAAAAGCTTTTAACATCACCTACTTGCTCAATACGATATAAAGTGGCTTGATGAGTGACAATGCCAATTACAAAGATTCGCTTAAAAATAAATTGTACATGGTACATTCGGCTTGTTTTTTAATTAGAGTTAGTCATGTAAATTTTTTTTTAGGTATAAATGTATTTACAAACGTGAATGGTTGTAGCGCCTAGTCTGGCCTGTATATGGGTATTTTGGGTATAAATTCTATAAGAAGTACATACTCCATCATGGAAGATGAGTCGCAGTGCTGCTTGGTGAGTCGCCAGCGCAGGCCCAGTTTGTTGTACAGCCGACTGTTCTCCCATTCCAACAGCTTATTAAGTGAATGTTGCGTCTGAAACAACGAAAATAGTAAATTCATGTATATTCTCACTATAATTTTTTTTAAAAGGCAGACTAGATCGAAGATAAAGACTAGAAATCTATACTATTAATATAATAAAATGTAAATACACACTTTGTTATTATGTAGGATGTCATAAATCACAGCATATTTTTAAATAACTATTTCTTTTTACAAATAGCCCTACACTTACAAAACACTTTACATGTTTGTACTGTATTTAATGTAGGATGTGAATGAAATTAAAAAAAATAATGAGGAAAGAGGACAAAAACTTGAAACTCAAGAAACATGATTGCTAGATTGATTAGTAATAGTAATTGTTATCCAATGTCTACAACAAAATTTATTTAACTTTAATAAAATGAAGTTTTTTATAATGTAGAGGATGAAGCTGCACAGGAACAGCTAGCTTATTTATATAAAAATACTTACTCTTTTACTTAGACATATAACCGGCCAAAGAGAGCATCCAAGTGTGCAGCAGCAGCAAACACATCCGCAGAATAACCACTTCACGTTAACAGGCAATGTTTTCTTCAGTACACTGTTGATACGAGCCACCGTCGCTTGGTATTCCTCAGGTGCCACTCGGGATTGAAGTCCGGAAGGGAACTCATTGTTGAAGCGGTTACTTAAACCAAAACTGAAATAGAAACAGTCTACAATGTAGGAATTGTAAAGTTAATATACTGTTTGTAAATTAATCAATGTACTTTTACAACTTACTAAATGTGAATGTTTAGATGGATATTTGTTAAAAGACATCTCCAAACCAGCTCAATAGAACTTAATGAAATTTAGCATAGATATAGGACATAGCCTTGAAGAACTCAATGCGTTATTAAAGGTCCGCACATACAAAGTTGCAGGCAAAATCTAGTGATTTATTAACAGTCACTTAGCATTATTTTTGACTGCTTAAAACTATTGATATCAGTGTTAGTACATTGGTTGAAGTTTGACCATTATTCATAATCAAATATTTTTTATTTTAAATAGAAGTTTATTTTTTCCACATAAAATATGTCAAATTTCATGTTAGTATGTTTGCGCAGTTTAAGAAAAATTTAAAAAACTACACTCAACTTATTTATTTAATGATTATTAGTAGAGTGAAAGCGACTGCTGCCTATAAACATCCGCAATTGCACATGCATTGCCTACCATTCATTGACGGAGGAGATGCGCATAAAGAGGACATTTCCCCTTCCTATGCGTCCCCTCCACTGTCAAATCCACTTTTCCTTCCCATCCTTTCCCCTTCAGAAAAGGGTAGAAAGGGAAAGGGACTAAAATTAGGTCTCTGGCACCACACTCATCAGATGAAACGCGGAATTGTTTCCACTTCATGCCTTTTTTCTATGTGGTTGTGGTATTATATCAGGCGAGCCGGCCTATTCATGCGAAGATGTTAAAGCGGGCTCTACCATTGTTGTTGTCTTAAAAAGTAATTATTTACTTCACAAGTTATAATATTCAAAAGTCTTCACAATGTAATTCGTTTGCAACATTAATTAATACCAGTAATTACATTTACAATGTCATTACATTCCTTACAAATTAAGTTTGTTGCTTTGTTTAGTTACCATTCAAGTGTGTTCACATAAAAGACATATACATGTGAATTTACTTTACAATAGATAACAATGTTCAACAAACCAGTGTTTCAACAGTGGAAACACACAGCTTTGTAAAAATATAACTGGCATGAAATAAAATGTCAATTGATTTGTTGGATGTCTCATGAATTAATTGTCAGATATCCTCATTCAAAACCAGTATAAACGACAGTTGTATAAATTTTATCAAAGTGTAACCTATTTCAATGAATCTAGGAAAATATGGAGCAATATGATAACAGGCAGTTTATTTGTTACATTTGTTGTGAAACAGTAAATTAATATTTGTTATGTTAATAGTCATTATCATGTTTTTACATATTCATATTAAAGTTAAGACTCTCAATGGTTTCATTAACTTTGAATCACAGACTATTTGAATTAAAAAGTAATTGATCTGTTTTTAACTATATTTGGTTCAGAAGAATATTACTCTGCGTTCATTAATCTGTGCATATGAAAAATCTATTTTTGTACTGAGCAAAAATAACAGGATTGTTCTGTGATAAAGTGCAATACGTTCATAACGTAATCGGACACTGCAGATATTAAGCCTGTTACTTTCGCTTCAATGCAATTTAGTGCCCTATTAAATTTCATAAATTGACGTCTGGTCAATGTCCTCGTTCAAGAAAAGCTTCAATGCCATTGATCGACGATGACAAAGGAAACATGTTATAAATGCATTTTGTTAATATATCTTTATTGGTACCTCAATTAAAGATATACTTTTCGATTGTAACAACAGCTGATAAAATAAACCTTACACTGTCATGTTACCAGCTCCACGCACGACGATAGGATCAGGCACTAACGTTACATGTGTCTCTTCTATATTCTCCTCACTTTCAGTTTCGTCAAGATATATCGCGTCAAAGTCTGCCATTTTTCTTATTCACTAACTTAACAAATTACAAATAAACTTGTTTGATGAAACGACATAACAAAGCACAGTGTTTGTTGGACTTGGATTTTATTTATGAAAAAAAAAGTACTGAATGACGTTTTACTTAACTGAAAATGTTGCCATATAATAATATTTTAATTTTATTTATACATGTTTAGTTTTAAACTTGATAAAATAATAATGTAATGTAAGTTTTATTAAATTTTTAGGTAAAACGTACAAAACATATAAGAAGATATGCAATATTTGTTATCAAATTATAGTTTCATGAATTCGAATCTTAGGTGTCACTTATCTAGCCTGGAACAAGAAATAATTTTGAAAAGAATTAATTCTCTTGAAATTCCTGTAAATAGTAAACCATTAATGATTTAATTAAACACTAAGTAATAAATGATTATAATGGTTTAATGGAACGCCTGTGAGGTTAATAGCAGCAATATATATTTTAGGAGAATAACTCGAACTTTACAGTAGGTATCTGAATGTATCTGAATTTCATTGCGCTGTGAACTGATGCAATAATACTTTAGATTTCACGCATAATATTTGACAATATTTTTGAAAATCTGCTGATTTCAATCAAAAACACGTATAACTGAATGATATAAAAAAAATAACCAAAAACAATAATCCGATTTTATAAATTGAAAGAAGCTTTTTATTGCATCATTATTTAATTAAAAAATCTACAGTTTACGTTTTCTTCTCTATAATGTTGTCAAATACAAACTTTTGATGATTTCATTGTATTCTTGTAACATTCTTTGTTATATTTATGTATACATGTCGTATAAGCACAGGCTGTTATAAATGATCTTACATGCACTGTCTCACATGCTTTGATAAGGTGCAGCTGTGACCTAAAAACGATCGTGTTCGTAATACAACCTCCCTATTGCTATGCCTTTGAATCATGTGAATGAGACAAAATGATGTAATCACTTGTAGAATTTCTTTATCTAATAAAATTGAGCGTTTTTTCTTGCGAGATGTTTTGTTCTTTAAATCTGTTTCTATAATTAATAACATTTGTGTTATTAATTGTAGAAACTTTGGAGAAAACTTTTTTTAATCCTGCGCGGAAAAAGTTAGGGGCCAAAAGATAGTGGTTTTGATTGATTTCATACTACTGCTTGGAAAAAGAAATAAAGAAAGAGGATTTGTTTCAATTCAATAAGTATACTTAGAGGTAAATATTAAAACGATCCTCTTACACTGTCGACGTAAAAATGCCATAACTTTATCTAAAGTGACATTGGTTGGTGTTGGTGGATGTCTATTTTTTCTGTTCTATGTTTCAAATTTCAATTAGTTTCAAAAATTTCACTACTTTCTGAAATGTTTAAAACCCTTGTATGAATGAACCCTTGGAAGACTAAATAACATTTTGACTATTACGTAAAAGACTACTACTAAATTAGAACCAGTATACTTAAAAAAAAAATATTAGTGATTTCATCATAAGAATTTCGGTATAAATAATTCAAGTGATCGATAAAGGGTATAGGGCCGTGACAATCGCAATGTTTTTGCCAGGCCCCGACGCGTGCAGTCTAGACACACACTATATAAGACGCCTGCGAACACCCCTAAGCATTCAAAAGCACATACGCTCCAGTCCCTAACATAGGCTCGCAAAATGAAGGTAAATTCGATAACATTTAATTTATTAAATACAGAATTAATTTCATATTTAAGGTTAAAATTTCTAACTAAATTAAACTTAACTTTTCTAATTTAACTTAAACACTATTTTTGTGTAATAAATCAAGTATTATTACATCAAGCTTTCATCCTATTTAAAAATGTTTTTTTTTCGAAAACTGAGAGTAACTTTTTTGCATAAACTTTAAATATTTTGATTTTAAATGCATAATTCAAAACGTAAACTTCTTTTCTCAATTCATATATTAAACGACAGTTATGTTGTTATTCCAGGTCTTAATCTTAGCAGCTGTATTGATGGTGTGCAGGGAGGCGGCTGGAGGTCTGCCCCTAGCGCCATACGCTTACGCCCGACCTTTGGCAATCGCTAGGCCAGCGTTGGCTCCCTATGCGGTAGCTCCGGCCATTGCTAAAGTCGCCGCTGTTGAAGACTACGACCCTAACCCGCAATATTCCTACGCTTATGATATACAAGATGCTCTTACAGGTAAGTTAAATATTTGCTTCTATATTTACAAACCAGGCACAACGGAAATGGTTTCTCTACCCTAGCTCGTATCCCATATGGTGGTGGGGTCGGCATGGCTCCTTAGATTCCACGATACGTAAATTTGTCGTCAGTTGTTAAATGTCTACAATTTGATATGAGGATTCTCAAAAAATGATACTGGATACATAAATGTACACCTCTGTAGGAAAGATGAGATTTTAGATATGGAAAAAAACGAAGGGCTAGACTACAAAATATGTTATTGTCAAACAAAAGTTTAGATTTAACTACGATTGCTTATAACTACAGTAATTATTATTACTCTAGAGATTCGGCTTACTTGTTACGTGCCTGAAACAGTTCAATTTCAATTAAAATTACAGCTGACGTAAAATTTAAGTAAAATTTTTTTGGTCTTTCAAATCTTACTTGTTGTAGCTAATATGTACAGTACTGGCATTACACATAGAAGTTTCTCTTGTAATAATTACTTAATTTTTCTATACCCAGGTGACTCCAAGAGTCAACACGAGACGCGATCTGGTGACGTAGTTCAAGGTTCCTACTCGCTGGTGGACCCTGACGGCACCCGCCGCGTGGTCGAGTACACCGCCGACCCGCACAACGGCTTCAACGCTGTCGTCCACAGACAACCTCTGGGAGCAGTCAAAGCAGAAGCACCTGGATACTTGCACTAGTTTTGATCTTATAAGCGCGCTTATTCCAACTTTACTTCTACATAAGCTTCAATAAGTAAAAACATCAGAAATAATGATATAAAAGGATTTTTTTGTACAAAAATAACATATGAAATATTTAACTTAATGAATATAACGTTTGAAGGAAAATAAGGCATGAAACTGTCACAACGTAATTTATATTAATTGTGGCCCGAATCTTTTAAAAGCTCTCTAAAAAGTGTAAACAATTTATGTTTTTAAGAATGTAAAGTTGTGTTTAAGCAAGCTAAACTTGCCTCACGTGACCTGAACCTATTTGTACTCGTATTTTATATTGTTGCAAACATATTTATATTTGTTTTGTTCAAAATGTTAATACTAAGGTAATAAATTAGTGGAATCGAATATTTCGTTTTATTTCCATAATGTACGGATTGTGCTCACACATACTCGTACATACAAATGCTCATATATTTTGGAATCTATCGAATCGTTCCGAAAGTAAAAAAATATTTTTGGCTGTAATGCCTTTAAAAAAAACAATCTTTATAATAGCAACGGTATAACGAAGAGAAAAAGTGATATACTAAAAAAACAAAAGACAAATATTCATAACATGAGTTATGTATATTTTTTTCCATTTGGTAAATGCATACATTTATAACGTTCTCTAAATAAGTAAACCAAACGGAACGGAAAGTAATCTATAATTGTAAAATTATACCTCTTACAAATGTGTGTTACCGCGCGGTAACATGATATTCTTGTATCTATCAACAACGAAAACTTTGTCACATAAACTAAATCCAAATAGTTACGTTTAAGTAAAATATTTTATAACTATTTGTGTATGACAGATGCAATTTCTCTTGTAGATAAACATTACAAGTTAACCTATGTGGTTGTTTCGGGTGTCTAGGCGTCGGAACATTTAAATTAGCTGATCAAATATTTGTTACCCTATTATCCTGAAAAATAACTTTCCCTTCCCTTTTTATAAGACTACCAAAATGTGAATAAATCCGAAGTATTTTGATACACCGATATTTCTAGATAGAGGTTGTTAGGTAATATCTGGTAGTAGTTTATTTGCCAATTTATAAGGTACAATGTTATGACAGGTAGGCGAGGAGGACCTCTCTGGGGTTAGATGTCCCCTAGAGAATAAAAATATATGAAACAGATATAAAAAACTACATCAAATACCAATACTGTACTATTGCTACTAGTACTAATGAATCTAGCCTAGATCATGGACTGGTGACGCCATTGTATTATGGTAATAAATAGTCTGTGAGTATTATTAATAATTACCGCAGGGTTTCACTGCGGAAACATGTACATTAAAAACATATCGTAATTTCTGTATTTTTGATAATGTGACAATAAAAATAAATATCCTCTGTACAATTTGAACTGTGGTAACTTAGGGTGATAATATGTTGTTGCAAAAAAACAAATAAAGTTGCAAAAAAATTCCATTGCATTTGTGCGTATGTGATTATTATCCTTTCACCTACAAAGTTAAGTGTCAACAAAATCAACTGAGGTTAAGTTACAAAGAATCAGGCCTATTACGAAACATCCGAATCTAGACCGGTAACAAAAGTCTGCGGTCAACTAAACTCGTCTAAGCTGGCGACCAGATTAAATTACAAGCACTGGTTTAAAATTAGCATATTGTTATTTAGATTACTTCAATAAATAAACGCTTACAACTTTTTCACTGGATTTTCGTTGGTTTATTTTTTTACGACGTTTTCTTAAATCGTGAGGCAAAAAGACGTTAAGTGGTAAGTTTTGTTTCTATTAATTTGAAAATAATTAATGTTTATTTGTAATTTTACATCAAAATGATGATAAAATCTATTTTACGAAAGCTATTCAAAGTTTTGATACGCGTTGATGTCTTTTGTATCGCTTGTAGCCATTTATTAGTTGGTGGTTTTAAGTAATTTTTTTAACTTATAAGTGAAATTTAAGTATATAAAAATATATTTTCTAATGAATTTGTGTATAAAGTAAATTATTAATACGCTTTAATGAGTCGGCAGCGTGGTGAGCGGTAATAACATGTAAGCTATAATAATTCGTTACTCAACATGCTCTATCTATTACGCACTTACAACTTCTACTGGAAATGTACTTTTGCTATAGATTTTTAAATGACACATATTGAGCAACGACAGGTAGAAAATGAGGGATGCTTTTGAAATTAAAAAACAAAAAGCTTTAGTGATTTTCGGCGAACGCAAAACTCAAACAGTCAACCATAAATGCGGTACAAAGTTAAACTTAGGAATAAACTGAGTATAAGCAAATATAAGTACAAATTTCAAATCAGTTTATTCATAAGATTAACTTTATACCACGCTTATTTGTAAGGTTGAAAGTATTCCTTACTATATTTGTTTTTTATTACTTTAGTCACTTCCATTTATTTGAAATATTCGTTTAATTTTACAATAAAAATACAGGAAACTTCCTACACTGCGCTACTTCCCATAGCCTACAAATAAAGTATAAAGAATGACGTCACTTTTCGTGAATTACAGGAAGTACAATATTGTTTATGGTACGTTCAATTTTATGTGGCTCACTGTATAGAATAATGAACAGAATGGATAAAGCATTAGATTGTTATATATTTTACTGATTTTTTCACAGAGGTAATGAGTATATCAAGTGACTTTATTTTTAACAAGAGAATATACAGAATAACTCCACTAAGTTTACTTTACCGTTACTCTTTAAAAATAAATAATAAATAATTCAATATTGACACCTGTCCCGTCCACAATTTTTTTGTTATTTCTATGACCATTCAAAGCTAACAAATAAGTAATTTTAGATCTGATAAATGTAAACTTATTGGGGCATGACTGAGGACGAAAGTAAAGGTAACGATCATAAGTCGATCAAAACTTACTAATAATTTATTAATGAATTAGTAGTGTCTCCAATTGCAAGTGCATTACTCTGTGACAAGCGCGGTGTGCAACACGGAACATTCGAGTGAACGCACACCTCTATAAATACACGCAGCCTCGAGACACAACGCTATTTACTTACAACCCTAACAGCGAGCCGGTTCATACACAAGGGTAAAAATCACCCTAACTACATATTCAAATCTTTATCTTAGGCTTAGAATGTTTTACGCGAGTATTTAAGTTTACTGTTGGTTTATATGTAAGTCAATTGCAGCGACCATACCGTATAAACGACAGTTTAAATTGTCGAACTGCGATTTGTATTTCCTGAGTGTCATAGTGCTACAGTTAGTTGGGTTTTAAGTTATTTAATTAACAGAGTATAGTTTAGTGCGACTTATCATTCCAGATGTGGTGTGTGATCGCAAGTGCGTGCTTCATTCCAGCAGTCATCAGCATCATTGTTACGGATTATCCACCGACGAGTACCGAGTACAACTATTCGTACAATGTTGTTAATCCATCGACAGGCGACGCGAAGAGTGTACACGAGACGAGACAAGGAAATACAGTCACTGGATCATATTCTCTAATCGATCCTGACGGAACAAGACGCACCGTCAAATACATCGCCGGACCGAAGATAGGATTCAAAGCGGTCGTACATAGTGAACCTGAAACACCTTATAATCCACCAATCCCAGTCCCTCCTAATCCTCAGCCGTTAGTTCGGCTAACACCGATAACTTACGTGCATAAAATACTGCCGCGTCCAATTTACGTGCCTGTTACTACTAACAACAGAAGTTACTTCACGCCGGGTTCCACAGTCGCGGATAGACCCGCACTTAATGAAGGAGAATATTTTGAACCTAATAAAGATTACTATCATTCTAATAGAATCTAGTTATGTTATTAAAGTACTAATATACGAACAAAGTACCTTATTCTTATTGTGATAATAGTCAATAATTTAAATGTGATTAAAATCTGTAAACCTTATAAAACAATGTATTATTTTTGTATGAATTTATTTATTTCTAGTACTGATGAAATTGTGGAAAATAAGATGGGGTCGAAGGTTCATGTTCCTATCTTTCGTCATAATACGAACAGAAACCAACTACGGATACCGTTAAAATTTTAATAATCAATTAAATTACTATGAGTAAGACTTATTAGATTTGATTTGCCTCGTACTACGCTCTGTAATTTACGCGCATAGGGCTGCAATTATACATATCTACAAGATAAGTAAAAAGATGAGTTGATAATAAAAACGCAAGTTTTTCAATTATAATTAAAATATTCACGCAATGGATTGATGGAAATTTTAGAGGAACCGTATAACACAAAGAATTAATTAATATTACAATTTTACTAACATGCTACAATTTTACCTAGCTGTGGTAGCGATAAACAATATTTGGGTTTAACTCGTAAATTCAATTTTTCAATAACTTTTCCAGTCTTCCAACAGTAAACTATCCAAACCACAACCTGCATCGATAACATTTTTATTGTAATTTTATCGCCGATGTCCACTGATGAAAGACCTTTACAAAGATATTGCCGTCCTTCTTATTTTGTTTAGAAAAACTGAGACAAGAATATATTTTTTATACTTATTCCAGCAATGGTAGTAAAAGGTTAACATTTTGAGTAACCATAATGATATAATCAACGCCAATGGTAACTTAATAAAACAAAATAAAAAAAAAGAAATAAAATCACACAAACGTATGAAAGAAAACAATAAGAGAAATTTGTTATAACAAATGATATAATTTGTATTATAATCTGTTTGCAAAAGGATATAATAAGCGAGGCTAAGCCGAGTGGCGACCAACTTCAAGGTCGCGCGGGAAGTGGGTCGGCGAACGGACTCTCTGCGACCTTACTTGCTAACAATACGCGAACACCAGCGTTCAATGGGCTTTCTTATAGACTGTTTTTGTTCCTTACTAATGTTATTTATGTTTAAAAGTAAAGATAATGGGGGTTTATCCGCCTTTCGAAACTTTAAACTATTCCTCATTCACAAATCAATTACGCTACGCTGAGATTTTATAAAAAAGGATTAAAAAAGACAACATAATATAGTAAATTACATTTACATTATTCGAAACACTTAAAGATTTTTATTATCAATTATCGTTTAAGTACAATAAAATAAACATTAAGTACACAACACTACATCGTAAATAGTAACTCAACATTATTTCCTGAAATCAAACAAAAGTCACTCAACAAACACATCTTATTCAAGAATTTTATATCTCTGTATCTGCATAAATTAGCCATACATAAATGCATTAAAAATATTAAAGTGTTTTAGCATGTGACTGTAAAAACTTAAAGTATCAAAACACAAAAGAAAATTGCATATGACTGAACCATCTATAGCGGTGCGACTGGACACAACTCGAACCAGTACCCACAGCCGCAGCGCTTCGGCTCTCCTAGGTGGAGCCACATGTACTCGATGTGGTTGGTCTCCGGGAAGCAGACGCAACCAACAATCCGCTTGTTAAACGCACTAGGAATGAGATTCGGACACGCCCAAGTACCAGGACCTGGGATACAATAGTAGTGTTAAACAAACAGTCTTGGCATAAAGGAGTCAAAAGTCTATCGAGACACAAATTCCAAAACATACTTCAATCCTCTTCGCTTTCTTTCGTACATTCATTTCGGCAGTAACCCAGTTTCGGTAGTGAGTAAGATATAAGATAATTAAGCTGTCCCTTAGCGTATATTTGTCGTACTAAGTCTAAGAACACCCGTAATTGGACTTTGAGTACGACAATAAAACGGTGGAACGAGTGAGAGTGAAATATAGGAACTTAAATTACCTTTCTTAATAGCCATCATGCGAAATGGGTCGCAGTCGCCGGCGAGGTGTGCGAGTAGCTCCCGCTTTTCCAGGCCGGTCACGTGATCTAGGTGGTCGTGCATCTTGGTTCTGATGCCCGCGCGCACGAAACTCATTGCGCGTCGCCTCCACATTGATAACTGTTGTCACAAAGAATGTATTTAATTAAATAATATACGGTTTAATACAGTTAACAAGTTCTTTATAATTTAATTTATAAATTGTTCGATTGTTTTAACGAGTTTACATGGTAAATAAGATACAGCCATCATTAGTTACTCGACTGACTGGGCCTTCAACCACACTGACCCATTGCGGGTTGGTTGACTTTACAAATTTATGAATTTCTTCGCAGATATATGCGGGGGAGATCACGATATTCTCCTTTACCGTGAGAAAGGTGGGTAAAGATAAATAAATTTAGTAATGAAAATGAAATAATACAATCGTTAAAATTTATTTAAACGAGTAGAAGTTGAAGTAATATTTCTATTTATTCTTTTATATCTCAGTATAGTTGAAATAAAGACGCATATATTCTAACCTTAAAAAACAACTACTTAAAATTAAAAGTAAAGTTTTCATTCAACAAACGCCTGACAAAAGATTTTTCGATGTTTACTATAACGTTAGCTTGGTATATTTTTCAATAGGCGGTTTTGTATAAACAGTCTATTCTAGAACGGTGCGCTGTCACGCATGTTTACCTTCTACATATTAATCGGAAATATATTGTAGTTAATGAATACTTACGGTGTAATTTCCGAAGATTTTAATCTCAACAAACACTAACAATGTTTTAGTTTAAAACGAATTTAATCAATTTAAAACACTCGAACAACAGTGACACTAAATTGACATTGACATGTTTGTTTTAATTTAAATTTTGACAAGTAAATGTTACTGGATGACAGGATTTTTTTAGAAATCCAATTTAAAACAATAATCAAATAGCTTTTTTACATACTATTTGTTTACCCGCGACTCCATTTACGCGGTATTAAAATACTTAATTAGTTACTTAGGACATATAGGCAACTAATTAAATTTAGAGTATGTTTTACATCTATGCCTTTCAGCGAGATCTGTTCTAGAGATTACGTAGAACAAACATCCATTCATCCATCTTTATTTACATAACTAGCTTTCGCCCGCGACTCCGACCGCGTGGAGTTAAAAAAACAAAAGTAGCCTATGTGTTCTTCCAAACTATGCTCTAGATATACGCCAAATTTATTCCAGATCCGTTAAGCCGTTTAGGCTACAAACTCTAACAAACATTCATCCATCCATTTAAACTTTCACATTTATAATATTAGAAATAACCTATCGTATATTTAATTACGCAATAATTATGCAATAATTTCAGTCAGAATATTTACTCGACCTGCAATATTTCTTTTGCCCTTTAACACGATCTGTTTAAAAACCTGATCAATGTAACTTTACCGTGAACTTATTCATTTAATACCAAAAAAATATTACAATATTAAGGTAATTTTATCAAAGGTATATTTGTTTTAATGTATTTGAATGAGATATCACGAGATATTTACGATACAAATCGATTACGTTACTAACACTTTTTGCTAGGCCTCTTCCTTTTGTATTGGAGTTTTATAACCGAAGATCTGACTAAGAACTGAATTCTTCACTAAAAAGCCACAACCAATAAACTTTTGAACTATAGTATAATCCGAAATCTTGCAATAAAAAATAACTCTCACAACTTTATCTATCATCAGATAAATTAATTAAAAACCAATCTCACAAATCAAGTCTATTGTTTCCGATAGCAACAAGTGCATGTGAATCGACCTATATTTCCCTTGCGTTCAAGATGAAACAATAAAATTACGTCAGCGATGTATGCGCGTGCGCAAGGACATCGTGCTTGAAGAAAGCCGGCTCAATTAAAATGCAAGTGATCTTTAAGCTACAGATCAATCATAGCTACGGTAACCATGCTCACCACTTAAAAGAAGATAGTCCTGATTGGCAGAATAGTAGCCATAATAAACAATGAATAAATATATCAAATAAATAACTGTCCAAGAATGCTTTCCTTAATTATAGTTTACAAGTATAAGTAAGTGGTTATCTATTTTGTCCTTATCTTCGTGATGTTTCTCGGTGTCGTCGATTTACTTAACACTTCAGTTGCCAAAGTGCTTTTAAGTTCACTTAAGATTTTTAACTTAAGATCTGCAAATATCGGCTTCAGCAATTGCAGTTAGTTAAATTTGAAATGAGATCAAAGTAAGTGAAATATTTTCTAAAAAGTTACTTATTTCTGAATGTCCGATCTTAAATAAATATGATATGGATTTATTAATAAAGTGATATAGCCTACTTGATCTTGATATCTTGTTATACTAACCGTTTCGGGAGAGTAGCGACTTCCACAAAACGTTTCATTGTGACGAAACATTCAAACGCGACCGGTTTATACTCGTGAGGCTGCGAGCTGAGAGCAAGCGCAATGATATAATGCAACACCCCGGGCAGACGCTGAGCGTATAAAAACTGTTCGATGCTCTACTGAGACACATTCAAAATCAACTCCCCTCAGAGTGAAGTCACAGTTAAACCCTACGAAATGGCTTTCAAGGTGGGTTTAAATCTACTTGAACATTACATTAACAAACTGTAATCCTTCATTTATTTTAAATTATAAATTTTTACACAAAGCAAAGCTATCGTCTATTACAATTGGAGAGTCGGAATTAAAAAACATTTTAACCTTTACAGCTCGTAGTTCTGGTATGCGCATTCGCAGCGGCCCACGCTGGCGTGGTCTCTCCCGTAACATACACAGCGCACCCCGCACCAGTCGCCTATGCCGCTGCCCCAGTTGTCCACGCTGCCCCCGTTGTCCATGCCGCTCCAGTTGCCTACTCCGCGCCCATCGCTAAAGTCGCTCAAGTCGAAGAATACGACGCGCATCCACAGTACAGCTTCGCTTACGACGTTCAAGACGGTCTCACCGGCGACTCCAAGTCCCAGCACGAGACCCGCGACGGTGATGTAGTCCAGGGCTCTTACTCGGTCGTCGACCCTGACGGCACAAAGCGCACTGTGGAGTACACCTCTGACCCACACAACGGATTCAACGCTGTCGTACACAGAGAGCCCATCGGCGCCCCCATCGCTAAGGTAGCTGCCCCTGTTGTACACGCTGCCCCAGTTGTACATGCTGCCCCAGTCGTACACGCTGCTCCAGTTGTACACGCTGCCCCCGTCGCGTACTCCGCCCCCATCTACCACCACTAGGAACTTGAAAGCCGCTAGTCAAAATGAAAAGTATTAAATTATTTATAGTAAGCAAATAAACATATTTTAATAAATTTTCTATTTTCATTTACAACCTTTAATAAATACCATGAAAATGTTTAAACTTTTAAGGAAACTAAGACCTTCTGGAAAAGCTATTTTGTCTTGATTTCCGAAGTTTGAAAAATGGAAATTCATATAAAAGATTATTATGTTACAAATTGGTGCAGTCACGTATAGCAACATAAAAAATACACCTACAAATAACATCTATGCTTCTTAACATCAACTCAAATGATATAGTTAACTATTATAAATACAAAATTTTTACATTGATTTTTGGCTGCGGTTCGCTAAGTATCCGCAGAGTAACTTTTCAATCTAGTATCTCTTAGTACATTTCTCAATAAGTTTTCAAGCTCAAAGAAACAGATGTTGGCATAGCTATTATAATAATTTATTTACGTATTTAATTTATAATTAAACGAGCTGTTGCCCGCGATTTCGTCCGCGTGGTATTAGAAAACATACGAACTATATAAATAACAAAAAGCTACGTATCCCTCGGGAACCGGACACCTCGGGGATGAAGCTTATCCCATGTATACTCCAGACTTTGTTTTACATCTGTGCCAAATTTCAATAAGATATGTTGAACCGTTGCAGAATGATCGAGTAAACATTAAAAAACTACATAAAAGAATCCCACGGGAACCGTAACTTATCCCGGGATAAAAAGTAGCCTATGTGTTCTTCCAGACTATGCTCTAAACCTGTGCCAAATTTCATGGAGATCCGTTAAGCCGTTTAGGCTACAAACGCTAACCAACATCCATCCATCTAAACTTTCGCATTTATAATATTAGTAAGTAAGATAAATACTGAGATAATTTATAATATCAAGAAACATAACTGATTTTTTTTATTAATTTACTTCCACCCTCTGCTACTATAACTAATCTTTGACACTTCACATATAAAATCTACGGCCGTTTATAATTCTGGGGACAGGAGATTGTAAAAAGCGGTACATAGGGACACAAATACTCGTAAACATCTAATAATACCACAGAAGAGTGATGCCAAAAGACAGCTCATTCATTTTAATCGTAATTAAGTGCTATAATTACAATATACTAGCTTTTGCCCGCGACTCCGTCCTCGTGGAATTTAAAAAATAAACGAAAGTAGCCTATGTATTCTTCCAGACTATCCTCTACATCTATACACAATTTCATCGAAATCTGTTCAGCCGTTTAGGCTTCAAATTCTAACAAACATCCATCCATCTAAACTTTCACATTTAAAATGTTGATATAATTTCATATTGTATTGCTGTTTTAGAGAAATGAACAATTTCAATTATTCACCTACGATTTATTTTACACTAGCTTTTGCCCGCGAATCCGTCCACGCGGAATTAAAAAAGTTGATTAATAGACTATGTGTTCTTCCTAATAGACTTTGTTTTACATCTATGCTTTTTTGATACTAGTTGAGCCTTTCTTGAAATGCCTCCTAACAAATATCCATCCATCCATATAAATTTGCGCACTTATAATATTAGTAAGATTTATAATATAAATAAGGTAAAATAAAATTATTCAACTTTTTTTTTTAAATGAATAGCGTTAAAATCAACTGGTTTACAGCGGCAACCTTTGCACTATAAAAGCTTCATTCGTACGTCGCGTTGTGTAAATTGTCCATATTTATCACGTATTAAAATTGAACATCAACACGTTGTAGTCCTTGCGCCACTGGCTGATGCATGGCCCGATCGGAACTTGTCATCGGACCCAGCGGCCGGTTGCCTCGCGATCTTAAACCTACGATACATTCACAAGCGGAAGACATAGCGTATCAAATTTAAATGTAAGCCATGATTACGAGAAATGAACTATTTGATTACTAATAATATTTGATATTTAAAGGCTATTATTTTTTATAATGAATACGAAGAGTGTTCTTCTGCCCATATATTCCAATTTCCTGTTCTTATCATTTCTTAATCTATATCTATTCGATGTATCGTTGTAGTGTTTTTGGGTAGGTTGCTTGATTATCTGCCATTAGTATCCAAAACGGTTGTGATAACTGTGGCCAATTTCAATCCGCTATTGTTATCACTATGTGCGGTACCTTATGTCGGAGGGCGCGTTGCCTCAGGCATCTTGGTTGCAGTATAAAATCCCAAATTTCTTTCCATCATGTACACTTTCCTCTCTGCACTTCATTAAGGAATACATTTACCAGTAAAATGGCTGTCACAGTAAGTAAATCTTTTCAATATAAAAATTCAAGGAAAATAGTTTTTGTCCTTAATGTTAAAAATAATAATTCGATATTGAATAATTTATTATAGTACTCGTAAAATAAGAACATTTTCGAATATAACCATAGAAGCCGATTTATTTTTTCTGCTTTATTTCTTCTTCCACTGATAACTGCTACTTTAATTTCAGTTCATTGTACTCGCATGCTTGGTGGCAGTAGCCAGCGCTGGCGTTGCCCCCGCCCCTGTCACCTACCACGGAGCCCCGGTCGCGTACACCGCACCCATCGCCAAATACGCCGCCTTACCCTTAACTAAGACCGATGAAGATTACGACGCGCATCCTCAGTACAGTTTCTCGTATGACATCCATGACGCAGTCACTGGTGACACCAAGTCGCAGCATGAGACACGTGACGGCGACATCGTTCAGGGCTCTTACTCCGTCGTTGATCCTGATGGCACTCAACGTACCGTCGACTACACCGCTGACCCCCACAATGGATTCAATGCCGTCGTGCACAAGCAGCCATTAGGCGTGAAGGTAGCCACAGTTGCTAAGGTTGCAGCCCCAGTTGCGTACCATGCCCCATCCGTGGTTCATTCATCGCCAGTGACGTATCACGCCGCGCCAGTGGCTTACCACACCGCTCCCGTAGTCCACGCCGCGCCCGTCGTCCACGCTTCTCCTTTCGCCTATTCCGGTCCCATCTATCACCACTAAATAAATAATTGTTGTCTGTGCTTAATAACTTACATAATTATCTGTATTTATTGATATTAATAAAAGATTTTCGATTGAATTTGAAGTTTTTATTATTATTTTTAGCTTAATCAACATACCAGTCGTGAATTTGTTTTGTCTTAACTTTTTGGTGATGCATCCAAAACTTCAAAAAAGATATTAAAAAAGTGAATAGCCATATAAACGTATAAATTAGTAATGTAAGTGTATTTTGCATAAAGAATGGAAAGTTAAAAAGACATGCGCTACTTAATTAATTTTTATCCAAAGTGTGACATTAAGATTATTGTATAGTTATCCTTGTATTATTGAACGATAGAGCGTCTCAAACCTGACAAGTAATCAGTCGCGACAGGAGTCCGCGTGGTCTAGTTAGCAACAGTGCCCGAGGCGCCGCTCGCCCGGTATAAAACTCAGCGGCATGTACACAGATACATCACATACAACGCTCACTTGCAACAACCAGCAATGGCTTTCCGAGTGAGTACAAATTAATTTAAAATAACTAATATGAATTTATAATTATTTTATTACGTATGATGTGTACAATATATATATTTTTAATAATACTAAATAAATTAATTTAATTTGTCTTGTGACAATAGTTCATCGTCCTGACATGCCTCGTGGCAGCCGCTAGCGCTGGCCTGGTGCCCGCAGCTGTCTCATATGCGGCTCCGGCCTATCATGCCGCACCCGTAGCTTACGCCGCTGCGCCCGTCGCCAAGCTCGCCGTAGAGGAATACGACGCACACCCACAGTACAGCTTCGCTTATGATGTACAAGACGGCCTCACTGGTGACTCCAAGTCCCAGCACGAAACCCGCGACGGCGATGTTGTCCACGGTTCCTACTCGGTCGTCGACCCCGACGGCACCAAGCGCACCGTCGACTACACTGCTGACCCCCACAATGGCTTCAACGCCGTCGTCAACAAGGAGCCAGTCGCCGTCAAGGTCGCCAAGGTTGCCGCTCCTGTAGCCTACCACGCTGCGCCTGTCGCCTACCACACCGCGCCCGTAGTACACGCCGCCCCTGTAGCCTACCACGCCGCTCCCGTAGTACACGCCGCGCCCCTGGCGTACTCTGCTCCTATCTACCACCATTAAATGTGCCATTGCCAAAGGAACTTGTAAATAGTATCAATATTTAATGACAATAAAAAATAAGTTTATGAGTAAATGAAACTTTTTTCTTATTTTTTGTATGATTCTTGTGTATTGTCTAACCATATTTATGAACCAAAAACCCAGTCACTAAACGACGACTAAAGATGAAGATAGTCTTGTGATTTTTAGGGCGGTTCAACAGTAAATTAGGACGTGATGTGACATGATATGACAAAAATTGACTATGTTCAAGCAAGTTTTGTATTCGATTTGCAACTGAAGAGTTAGGCTAAATTAAGTAACAAATTTGGCCTAAAAACCTGCGTCAGTGCTATAATAAAAGCACAAGTTCCTTATTAAGAGCAGCAGTGTCGAAGGTTCAGGTTGTCATAATGGTTGCCAACCTCCGATAGGAGATGGCACTCGAAGAAGAAGAAGAAGTAACTAATGAGTTAATAATTTTTTATTTGGGTTTACGATAAATTTTATTGAATTGTATCTGTATTCGCCATAATAGTGTGGTGTTCTCGGCCCATCGACACCCTCATTTAAAAATGCGTTGCCTTAATATTTTTGCGATACAAATATTTAAGTAAATTTCTGATTGTTGCTTGCATGTCAATTAAAAAAGTAGTTAATGTACTAGAGAAAAAGTACATAATGTAAAAAATTGCGTAGTTCACTTTCTGTTAATATTGTGAAAGAACGATCCCAGTATTACCGTCAAATTTGTCTTACGGTGTTCCAACATGGGGAAAAACTTATAAGAAGAAAATGCATTAGCTGCTCGGAATGAACGGCGTCGATTGTATATTTTAAATCTTAAATAAGAGATTTGTATATACACATACGAGTACATATGTAGTTGATATACTTAGGTGCTTATGTACAAATTAAATGTGTTTGTTCTTAGAAATTCTTGTTTACTTAATTTCATATCGATATCTCAGATATTGCAAAAAATATTTAGATCAATATTGTAATAAAAGGTTTGACGAAAAGAAAAAGAATTTTTATGTAATTGATCAGCAAATAAAACTTTTCGTTTATGTAGTTATAACATGTAAATATAAGTTACATTTTACACAATTTTAACAAGTTACACAAGTATTTTTACAATAATTTTCTTAATTTTTCATTTTACAAATTGCACTCAAAAGATGCTGCGTTTTGACTTTATCGCATTTTAATCAAGTTGGCCCGTCACTAAAAGCACATTGATGCCCTTTCTGGATGCAGCTTATAAAAACTTATGGTTGGCAGGAAAATTACCGAACTATCTTAAAATAAATAAAAGTAAAATGTTGTATTATTCACTAAAATATTTTTATTGGCATTAAATATTGATTTTATTTACAAGTTCCTTTGGCAATGGCAAATTTAATGGTGGTAGATGGGAGCAGAGTATGCCAGGGGCGCGGCGTGTACTACGGGAGCGGCGTGGTAGGCTACAGGGGCGGCGTGTACTACGGGCGCGGCGTGGTAGGCGACAGGCGCAGCGTGGTAGGCTACAGGGGCGGCAATCTTGGCGACCTTGACTGCAACAGGCTCCCTGTTGACGACAGCGTTGAAGCCATTGTGGGGGTCAGCAGTGTAGTCGACGGTGCGCTTGGTGCCGTCGGGGTCGACGACCGAGTAGGAGCCGTGGACGACATCGCCGTCGCGGGTCTCGTGCTGGGACTTGGAGTCGCCAGTGAGACCGTCTTGTACGTCGTATGCGAAGCTGTACTGCGGATGCGCGTCGTATTCCTCTACTGCAAGCTTGGCGATGGGCGCAGCGGCGTAGGCTACGGGTGCGGTGTGGTAGGCCGGTGCCGCGTATGAGACTGCTGCTGGCACCAGGCCGGCGCTAGCGGCAGCCACAAGGCATGTCAGGACGATGAACTGTAAAATTTAAAAATGTAACAAACCACTATTTCTTACAACTACTTACATGTCACAAAAAAATACACAACTATTTCATATCATCATATGCGGGACCTAAAGCTAGGACAGTTTTTTTAAAAAAAACCATATGATTACTCTAATACCAAAGTAATAATTCTCAATATACAACGACGTTGCTGTTCACTTACTTTAAAAGCCATTGCTACGTGTGTTTCGGATTAATGCAGTTATGAGAATGATATTTAAATTATTGAAGCGAGAGCTTTTATAGTCAAGAAAGTCGGCTAAAACTTGCTGTACCTGCGCGGCCGGACGGTGACGTTTTTAGCTAGACCGCACGTGGTAGTAGAGCAAGGTCAACGAATCGATAATTTATTGCTGAAGAAAGCATTTTACATGTTGGCATATATCTTTTTTTCACTCAGATTTTAAAAAGGTTAAATGTCGGATGAATTAAAACATAATGCATTGTTATAAAGTGCATTCATTTAACTACTTAACATAGATTATCTACATTTAGTAGCCGACTGATAAGGTGACAATTAATTTTCATTGTAATTGTTTACATATTCAAATCAAATAAATGTATGATTTCTTACTTAAGTGCTTATTTCTTATATTATGTACCACGTAATTTCAGAACAGTTGTCATTCGACTGAATGTATCTCAATGAAATTCGAAATAGGTATAGATAACAGCTTGAAATAGCGCAATTTATACATTTTAACAACATAAAAATATAATACCACGTTCAATACAATATATATACTTTGAAGTCTTACTTATATCTTATATACCTTACAAAATTGTACACAGTATTAGCATAAGTAACAATTATGTAGTAATCGTCTCCATATAAACTTGGTACTATTTTATTTATTAACTTCAATATCTAAGTTAATTTCCAAGTCGCTTCGCTCACCTGCAGCGACCCTTACACTGAAGAGACGAGCATCCCAAGACTTTAAAGCAAGCATTTTACATCTCAAATTTGTGATCGTATGCTTATTAGTCTCCTATACTACTAAACCATTAAAAAAGTAACTAAATTATAGTAATGCTGAAACTATGCCTTAAAATAATTAAGTAAATCCCGTGATAAATCATATATAGTTAAGTATTTCGTTTTTGTGAAGTAGTTGTCAAATCAAAGTAGTCTGTTAAGATAAAGCTTTGCCTCGGGCTGCGGCGTTGAAAGTATAAAACCGTAGCGTTGTTCCACTCAACATCAAACTCAGTCGAGCAGTCGATCGTAACACTTGCAGAAATGGCCTTTAAAGTGAGTAACAGACTATTACGAGTGAGACAAGTTGGATTTATACGTAATTAAATTCTTGATCATTAACAAGAAAAAATGGTACAAAAACTGAGAAACTCTTCTTCGTTGGAAGACAGTTATAACCTAAAACAATGAGATATACTAACGTTATTTTTATTGTTCCCAGTTTGTCGTCCTGACATGCCTTGTGGCTGCCGCTAGTGCCGGCCTGGTGCCCGCAGCTGTCTCATATGCGGCACCGGCCTACCACGCTGCACCCCTAGCCTACGCCGCTGCGCCCGTCGCCAAGCTTGCAGTAGAGGAATACGACGCACACCCGCAGTACAGCTTCGCTTACGACGTACAAGACGGCCTCACTGGCGACTCTAAGTCCCAGCATGAGACCCGCGACGGCGATGTCGTCCACGGCTCCTACTCGGTCGTCGACCCCGACGGCACCAAGCGCACCGTCGACTACACTGCTGACCCCCACAATGGTTTCAACGCCGTCGTCAACAAGGAGCCAGTCGCCGTCAAGGTCGCCAAGGTCGCTGCCCCTGTAGCCTACCACGCTGCGCCTGTTGCCTATCACGCCGCGCCCGTAGTACACGCCGCCCCTGTAGCCTACCACGCCGCTCCCGTAGTACACGCCGCTCCCCTGGCGTACTCTGCTCCGATCTACCATCATTAATTACGAATAATGCTACGATATGTCACATTGTAAATAGAAACATGTAGAATGTATTTTTACTTGTAAAATTATTTAATAAAATAACATATTACATAACTCGTATTTTATTAATATTGAAACATTATTAAAGTTTCCTGAAATTAATACTGGTTACCTTCAAGTTCCTCGTTAGAAAGTAATGTTGTCGAATGTGTTGAAGATGATTCACCCGTATATTCACGTAATTAACTTTTAAACTCCGTTACGTACGCTCAGTTCTAACTGATAGTTTTAACCGGATAGTCGCACTGCACAATTAATATTTTTTCTACACACTCACAGTTTTAACATAATAATTCGACTGTTCAGTTTAAACTACACCTAGAACTTTGCTTCGAGAGAGTGTCAAGATGAGTGGTCGCGATCCTCAGGAATGAGGAAACGATCCGGAGAGAGAGAGAGAGAACATTGCGCCTGAAGCGTTCTTTCTTTCATCTTACTAATACTATAAATGCGAAAATTTGGATGGATGGACATGTACATAAATATTTTAAAGTATAACCTTAAATATACTTGCCATTAAAATAAATGTTGGCATTTAAAATTTCGGACAAGACCTTTATTTGTAAAACTGAGTCAAAACGTGAAGTTAAGTAATTCGACTTGATCTGACATTTTGCTTTATATTTATATCACGATGATAAATTTAATAATTGTTGATAAATTTAAAAGATAATTTTGCATGGTGAAATTCGTTAACACTTGTAGTAAAGCTTATTGAGATTTATTAAACAATAATAGTAATATTCAATAAACCACAATGAATAATAAGCTTATAACTGACTCCTTAATTGATCTCCCTATTAGTAAAATTAAAACGCAGAACTTCCGAATAGATCTCTGAATTTCGGTTAAGGATTCGTCTAAATAGTCCCATATATTAGTGTTACTCCACGTCGATCTTAACATTCGCATTTTTGTCCCAGCAACTCACTTTTCTAGTATTACTTTATCAGTCCAACACTACTATCCATGTTTTAGTACAGTTTTTACGACTGTACCAACGATAAAAGGATTTTAAATTCAACATTATTTTAAATATAAATGTACTAACTTCAACATAAGCCTGTACAGTGCGATGGTCCGATTCGAAGTGACCAAAAACAGTAAGCTTGTACGTGCCTGACTACAAGTGGTCTCCTAATAGAGTATATCGCACGCCAATCTGTTACAATTTCATAACAAACTTGGCCTAAAGTCAAGAACGCGTTCGAATTTTCCGCCATTGACAAATTACAAGCTCATTTCCAATTGCGCGCACATCCAGAGTGATGCACCTGAATAATACTAAGTGTTCACTCGGGTACTGTGTCACAACCCGACGACGGTATATATACTCTGGTGAACCCAACAGGAGCATAGTCACACTCGGCTTCTTCAAACCATCCCATCCTCTCTCAACCATCAACAATGGCCTTTAAGGTAATACAAATTACTATTACTAAGATATCCAATCGTTTATTTTAAAATCTTTTAGGGAACAGAGTTTTATAAGTATAAGTAATATAAGTCAATCTCAATTTAATCTCAAGCGCTCTGTCAATTTTTACGATAAAAAAGAAAAATAAATGTTAAATCAGTTACATCCATTTTATAACCAAGAATTTATACCCAAATTATTGTTATATACGTTGATTTATAAATACATATAGGTATGTAAACATTCCAATCAATTAATGGAACGACCAAAAAGAAAAAATTTATAACATATATTAAAATTAATATTTTTACAAAAAACAATTGATATACTAAGATTAGTCAGGATTAAACTTGCATCTTATCAACATATTTATCAAATATATGTTTCATTGTTTAGTGTAGAGTTCGACAAACTCAATATAAAACAATAACAATGAATAAGTAAAAGTGTTCACGACTCCAATTGTCTAAGAATGCTGTCAGGACGTGGCACACTCATCGTCTAAGCTCATTGAGATGCGAGGGACGGCGGCCGCGTCCTTGACGGCCCCACGCTGGCTTGTTTGTAATTTCTCCGCGCAAACCTTGCGCAACCGTACTAGTCTTGCCCTCTTAAATGGTGTCACTGTTTCAAGTACAACCGTATACTTAGTTGTTTTAGTCTACATAAGCACTAGAATGTAAATAACCAAAAGTTTCTAAAATTCTTTGTTTACGCACCTTAAATTTCCACAGCGAAGGGTCAAACTAAGTCCTAGATGTAATTTCAATCATTCTCACGGTCATTTCATATTAATAGTTAGTACCATTATTAATATTTAAAACGTCGTTTACAGTTCGTCGTCTTCTCCTGCCTATTGGCTTTCGCCCGAGCCAGCGCTCCCGTGGTCGCCGCTCCTTTGGCTGCCGCTCCCGTGGTGGCTGGGCCCGCGCTTGCCAAGCTTGAAGAGTTTGATCCCGCTCCCCAATACCGGTTCGGATACGACGTAGCCGACGCCCTCACCGGCGACTACAAGAGTCAAACTGAGCAGCGCGACGGCGATCTGGTCCAGGGCTCGTATTCCCTCGTCGATCCCGATGGCACCCGTCGTATCGTCGACTACTCCGCTGATTCTATCAACGGATTCAATGCTGTAGTACGTAAAGAGCCCCTTGTGGCTGCCGCGCCCGCTGTAGTCGCTGAACCCGCCGTAGTACCGGCCCGCATTGCTGCCGCCCCAGTAGTCGCTGCCAAGTACGCCGCCCCCGTCGCCCCAGTGGTCGCCGCCAGGTACGCTGCCGCCCCTGTCGCGCCGGTAGCCGCTCCCCTGAGTTACGCCGCCTACACTGCGCCAGTTGCCAGGGTAGCCGCCTACACTTCGGCCGTGCCTGTTGCCTACTCCGCGCCGGTCGCCAGGGTAGCGTCCCCTCTGTACTCCCCTGTGGCGAGGTTTGCTGCTCCTTACGCCGCCGCCCCCGTTGTTGCTGTTTAAGTCTCAAACAATTATGGACTGATTTTATTGATTGAATGAACAATAAACTTTTTTAACTGGGAAAAATTTTTCTTGAAAACCATCTCCTTAGCAGTTCTGACTCCTACCTTAGCAAGATAATTTTTTTTACAACAGTAAAGGCAACGGCGTAAAACAGATTTTTTGAAGACTACAAATAGTTTTCTTACTTTAAAGTAATTTATTATTAAGTTTTAAAGAATACTTTAAAACAATTTTATTTTATAGAAATAGTATAACAACGTACAAGGCCGCATTTATTCTTTCATTTTGATTTAAAAAAATATAAAAAATGCATTATGTCAAAATGCAATTGTAATAGAATTTTTATTTTCTAATTGTTTATTAATTTTTTTATCAATTTACTGTTTTCTAACAATTTTTACAATGGACGAAAAACCTCGTATGCTTGGTGCGTTAACCGTGTACAGGGAACGGGGGGCATATTTACGAAGATTGGAGCAATTTAATAAAGCGAAAGCTTCTTATGATGAAGCGTACAACAGTGCTCCTGAAGATGTGCGATTGCTCATCGGCCGCAGCCAAGTCTGCTCTGACGCCGTTCAACCTATCCAGGCCTACACCGACGCTCAACTTGCATTAAAATTACAGCCACGAAATATGGTAGCTCGCAATATGCAAGCTCGGGCTATGTATACAATGTCTGATTTTGAAAGATCTGTAGTTATAAATTATCGTGGCTACAGACTTCGGCGGTACCCTCCCTACTTCATCGAAGGCATCAATCAAGGCGTAGAAACAATACAAGATTGCATAGGTGTAAATGCTGGTAGGGTAATGGTTGATTTTTTGCCGATAATTAAGCGATCAGCTATAGCAGTAGTTGATGAAGATGAGCCCGAAAAACAGTCCCATGTTTCTCGTATACCACGTCAGGAAAAAAAACGTAAGTTAACCCAAATGGAAGCTCGAAAACACGCCATTTTGGCACGAGTACTTGCAATGAAATATTTAGGACCTATGGCTTATGATAAATTTTTCCTCCAGGCCCTGAAAGACGACTCGAGAATACAGTCGGCTAATTCTAAGGGTAGCAAGGAATTAAAAAAATTGGTTCAATACACGCTGCAAACATTAAGCGAACGGCAGGAAATGCTAAGATCACAAAAACCTTATTACACGATTAAACTATCGGAAAAAACTGTATCAAAACATCACATTCAGTATAAAGAAGCTGTTCTTGCAAAAGAACGAGAAATCGGGGCGCATGAAGCTGAACGTCTGTTAAAACACATCGAAGATAACTTAAATGACAAACGTATTATGAATGTAATATCTTATGCAGAAAGATTACAAACCTTCTTAGATACTAAAACTCCTCGTACTTTGCCAGATAAACAGAGCTTTATCGAACGGCTATACCGGGCAGTAGGAGAGGCCTACTTGTGTCAACATAGACTCTCTTATAGACTTAGTGAACGTGGAAATAGACGTCGCATCGCATTCTTAATGGGACTTTCCGTCGGACGACCGAAATCTTTTGACTCGGTTCTCGCAAATTACCCTCAAAAATTTATCGATGTAAAAAAGGTTACGAGTAAAGTTGCAGCACTCTTAGAGATGTGCGAAAATTCTACAATGAAATGTTGGTTATTGTACGAAATGGCTCGACTGCAATCCGCTCAAAAGAATCATCCACTGGCTAAGTTTTATGCTAAACGTTGTCAGCGTGAAGCACAAGAAATTTCTAATGCGACGTGGTGGCTGAATGGATTGTTTGTCCTAATGAGTAGTGACATGAAACAAGGAAATGCCAACGAAGTACGAATACAAGTCGAAGAAGCTATTGAATATTCCAAAAAACTACAAGATCCAGAAGATGTTGTGGTCTTCCTTAGGAAATGTGGTGAAATGATGGCCGATTTAGGTGCATCGGACGATCGGAAGGCAATGCAGCAGAGAGAAAAAGAAATATTGGGCGTTATGGATGAGACTACACGCGTCAACACGGAGGTATTGTTTAAACGAATGTCAAATGTTCCGCCAGGTAGGCGATTTACTGTTTTGCCACAAACACGGACGGAGTCAGAGCGTCAACAATCAGTACGTACCCGGCTACGTCAGAAAAGGCTTACTGTGTTACCCGGACACGAAAAGGCTTTGCCGCCTCCACCAAAATCTGATACGAAAGGTTTTCAAGTATTTGATTTGTAACATTTTTATATTTTTAACGCTTTATAATTAGATTTGTTACTTTGATGTACAAGTTTATGTATTGTTTTGTAATAAATTTACTATTTTTTAACAGTGTAGAAACTTACTTTTTTGATAATTCAGAAACAACGCAGACGCTTAAAAATACCTAAATACCTCACAATAATTAAATGCTCTTTGATTTAGGAAAGCATAAAATAGAAACTTATAAAAAAAGAAGCATAAAATGTGGAAAATAAACCACTACTCATTTTCTTTCCACGAACAACTAAAATGTTTCATTTGAAAAAAAAATCCTAGAGTCCAACATCAATACAAGATTAATCATACTATACATACATATAATATTCTCTGGTACTTATACCATTTAGTTTGTCAGTTTGTTCATAATCCCATTTTTAATGTTTATTGCAACATCCTCGTGGTACCTATATCTAACCTACAAAATCTTTTATTTTTGTGTTTGTTCCTTTTTTTGTAAATCGATATAAATCTTTTTTTTATTATTTTGCCAGTACTGTGGAAAATGATTAAGTCAAAAAATAAAAACTTTATTCTTATTCTAAAAATAATAATGACAGATATTGCTCTAAGTCAATTTATTCCACATTACTTTGTTTAATCAAGAACAGAGCTTACCAATAAATATTTAGAATATTTACACAGTGATATTGTATTTCCCTACTTATTGTTAAAGATTTTAACATGTTCGAGTCCCAATTATATGGTGCTTTGACTGTGTATCGCGAGAGGGGAGCGTATTTAAGAAGACTAGAACAATTTGAAAAAGCCAAAACAGCCTACGATGAAGCATACACTAACGCAAACACAGATGTACGGACACTCACAGGAAGAAGCCAGGTATGTTCTGATGCTGTCCAGCCACTTCAAGCGTTCACAGATGCCGAGCTGGCACTCAAGCTGGAACCTGAGAATATGATTGCCCGAAGCATGCAATGTCGAGCTATGTACACAATGTCAGACTTTGAAAGATCAATTGTCATGAACTACCGTGGAGCCAGGGTGCGCCGTCAACCGCCTTATTTTGTGGAAGGCATCAACCAAGGAATCGAAACTATACAGGATTGCATAGGAGTTAACGCCGGGGACGTAATGCTAGATTTTTTACCTTTAATTATGAAATCAGAGGTAGCAGTAGTTGATGAAAATGAACCGAAAAAAAAACTACATATTTCACGAATTCCACAACCGGAAACTAAAAAAAAATTAACTCAAATGCAGGCTCGAAAGCATGCAATTTTAGCTCGCGTTCTTGCTATGAAATATTTGGGACCGATGGCATATGATAAGTTTTTTCTTTTGAAGCTCAAAGTTGACGAAAGGCTTACGTCCGCCAATGTAACTGGAAGTATTGAATTAAAAAAAATTGCAAGAGAATCATTACGTTCATTGACTGAACGACAGGAAATGTTGCGCGCTCAAAGGCCTTATTACTCCATCAAATATGGCGAAAGGGCTGTATCTAAATATCAAAATAAATATAAAGAAGAAGTACTTGCTAGAGAACGTGAGATAAACGCGCGAAACATTGATCGCTTATTAAAACAAATAGAAAAAAGCTTGCGAGGGAAGCGCGTTATGGAGGTCATGTCGCACGCAGAGCGGCTGCAACAATTACTTGACATGAAGACACCGCGAACGTTACCCGATAAGGACATTTACATAGATCGATTATACAGAGCAGTAGGTGAGGCTTATTTTTGCCAGCATCGTCTCTCCTACAGGCTCAGTGAACGTGGCAACAGGAGGAGAATCGCTTTCCTCATGGGACTCCCAGTTGGCCGTCCTAAGTCCTTCGACTCAGTTCTGGGTAATTATCCTTATAAGTTTGTTGACGTTAAAAAAGCTTTGACTAAAGTTTCAGCAACTTTAGATATGTGCGAGAATTCCACGATGAGATGTTGGTTGATGTACGAAATGTCTAGAATGTTGACGACTCAAAAGAATTATGCTCTCAGTAAGTTTTACGCAAAGAGAGTTCAACGGGAGGCTGAAGAAATATCCAATGCGACGTGGTGGCTGAACGGCCTGTTCGCATTATTGAGCGGTGATATGCAGCAGAGCAATATTAACGAAGTCCGTGCCGCAGTAGAAGAGGCCTACGAATACTCGAAAAAGGTACAAGATGCGGAACAGGTGCAGGCCTTCCTCTGGAAATGTGTCGAGATGATGGAAGACGAAGTTCAAATCGAAGAAAGAAAAATTATCGAGAAACGGGAAAACCAAATATTGGACGTTATGGACCCGGTACAGCGCGTCGAAGCTCGCGTGCTGTTTAAGAAAATGTCGGCGTTGCCGCGAGGAAGAAGGTTCTCGGTTCTGCCACAGAAGTTTGACTTTGCTGGTATGAAGGCGGAGCGACGGCGCCGCCACCAAATGGGCCTGACCGTGATCCCAGGCCCGGTGCGGTCCTTACCAGCTCCAAAGAAATCAGATACGCCAGGTTTTCAGATATTTGATATCTAATTTTTTTTCTGTAAGTTTATTTATTCCTTGTGTTTGATAGTTGTTATTCTTAATTCTTCTTAGACTCCAATTTTAAGTTTTATATTTTAGTGTTATTAAATATATAAGCTTTACAAAATTTTATCGTTTTTTTGGTCCAACCTCAATTTATATTCAACCCAGTGATTTATTCCCATAATAAATAGACGAGGGGACATAGAATTATATTTAGCCTTCACAGAATTCAAATTTTTAATATATGCATGAGTGATATAATATTTGTCTATACTCAGTTTATTCCTAAGTTTAAGTTTATACTGTGTTGATTTGTATGGCTGTAGATCTATTGAGTTAACATACACATTATCATGCCATAAAAGTTTAGAATTTAATGATGAAGTTTTGCTGAAAATATGTGTATGAGTGAAGGAGTAAGTAGAACTTCGTATCATATTAAGATGAAATTTATAATGCTCGTTAAAGACGTTCAGATAAAACTGTGCGTATGTAGACTTATATTTAACTGAACCGTTGAAAATTTTCACACACTAATGAACGGCTCGTTTCTTCAGTTATAGTTTGTCATAAGATTGATTATAGGCTAGCTGTGATACAAAGCGTTTTTCCTTCCCTCATTTGCTTTTCTGATGAAACCTACATTACGTTAAAAAGCGGCAGAAGTATTTTTAATGATGATAGTTAGTTTTTTTTATCAATATAATCGATTTTTATTAGATAGATTTAAGAAGCTTTAAACCGTGGAAACCGTATCGCTTGCTAAGTTTTGGTGAGGCAACCCTATACCATTGTGTTAGCAACATTAATATGTTCATTTTGAGTATAATTTCATTAGGAAATTAGATAAAGGTAATTTGCCTCTATTTTGTCGCCATTTAATAGCTGGCAACCCCCACTCTTGCCAGGAAAAATAAAAGGGTATCGTATTTATGAAACAAACACGCATAGCGAACAACCATGAACTGTCGATATTCGGTTTGAATAAAAATTATCGAACTTAACTAAAATTATTAATAGTTACTTCTTAACTAATTTAGGGGACAATTCTAGTAATGATGATAGTGTAGAGAATATAACAATGACAATAATAATAATAGCAAAATACAATTCGATTACGTACGACTGTACTAGTAGTAATATTTATTATCTTCCAATATCGTTCTTTTTTGGAAAATAGTGTTTATCTATATACTATTATAATAAAGTGTAAACACACATTTCTTTGTTGCCTAAGATATCAGCAATTACAGCATATTTTTGAATAATTTTTTTTTAAATAAAAAGCCCTACAATTACGCCATGCTTTAGGCTATATATTTAACGGCATTAAACTTAGGGGGTAATTGTTTTGGATAAAAACCCTAATGTGGGAAAGAGACCATAAGTTGCTGCCAACATCAAGGAAATAAGATTACAACGGTTTCTCATTTGACATTTGCAATTGATAAATTGACAAATGTTAACAATAAAATAAATGCTTTTCATTTTCGGGTGAAGCCGCACGCGAACAGCTAGTTTTATTATAATCCACATGTTATAACTAGATATGAATCTATCGATTCTAACTTCTATGAGAGTAAAAATTGAAAATCGAAAGGACGAACACCTGATTTTGCACAACCTATCCCTACTAAATTTTCAAAGTAATAATTCTTATTTAGACAAACTATAAAACAGAACTGAGCGAATTTAGCGGACTTTAGGAAATTTAGTGGAAATAAACTTTTGTTAGACAAATTATGTATTGAGGCGACTTCTATGTTACATATTTCGTGAAAAATACAGCTCATTGTTTGATATATTACTTCGCAGCGGAGTTACGTTTCCTTTCTATACGCAGTTTTTTTTAAATACGTAATATTTTTAGATGATAGCCACTATTCTTGTACCAAAAGGGAAATGCAGATACTAGAAAACGGTAGCTTTTTCTTCGATCTGATATAAACACCTTATGACCGACTTCCCAAAAAAATGAGGTACTGAATTCGTATGTTTTTTTTTGTTACTGATAGGTTAATCTACCTCTATTAGTACCAAAACTCACCGCCGCTGCTAACAGCAGCTGTTAGCGCCAAAATGACGAAAATCAAGTAGGCACAAAATACCACTCCAGTAGCCTGTCTATTTAAATGGGAACACTTATCAACCTGCCCTTGTCCCTACAAAGGGGCGATACACAGTACGTACTGTTCTTCCATACGTCTCTATTGGCCTATAAAACTATAAGAGCAAGGCAGAGCCCAATGATTATTGTCCAACTGATATTAATAATGTCTTTTTGTTTTATTTATTTTTAATAAGAGGGTTATATTCATCTTTCCTGCGAATTCGTAAAATAATGACAATCTTTGCTATCTGTCAATTTATGTCACATCAGCAACATTACTTTGTTTGAGAATATTTCAATTGATAACAGTATTTTTTAATATACAACAATATTATATTCATTTACATATTTATAAAGTTTTTAAAATGGAAGAGAAGAGATTATTTGGTGCTTTGACTGTGTATCGGGAGAGGGGAGCATATTTAAGGAGACTCGAGCAATTTGAAAAAGCAAAAGCGTCATACGATGAAGCATTTAGAAATGCCACTGATGATGTACGGTTGCTTATCGGTCGCAGCCAGGTATGTTCTGATGCTGTTCAACCGAAACAAGCGTACTCAGATGCTCAGCTAGCTTTAAAGTTAGAGCCAAGTAACATGAATGCTCGGAATATGCAAGCTCGTGCTTTATACACTATGTCTGACTTCGAAAAATCAGTTGTAATGAACTGCCGCGGAGCCAGAGCACGCCGTCAACCGCCTTATTTTGTTGAAAGCGTCAACCAAGGAATAGAAACTATACAGGATTGCATAGGAGTCAACGCAGGAAATGTGATGCTTGACTTTTTACCTTTAATTAAAAATTCAGAGGTAGCACGAGCTGACGAAAATGAACCGAAGAAAACGCTACGTGTTTCTCGAATTCCTCGACCTGAGAAGAAAAAAAAGTTAACTCAAATGCAGGCGCGAAAGCATGCAATTTTGGCTCGCGTTCTCGCTATGAAATACTTGGGTCCGATGGCATATGATAAGTTTCTTCTCCAGAAACTTACAGATGACCAAAGACTGATGTCCGCCAATTCAGGTGGTAGCATTCAATTGAAAAAAATTGTAAACGAATCATTACGTACATTAACCGAACGTCAGGAAATGTTGCGCTCTCAGAGACCATATTACTCAATAAAATTGGCTGAAAAAGCTGAATCTAAATATCAACATAAATATAAGGCAAGCATTCTTAAAAAAGAACGTGAAATAGGCGCACTTACTGTTGAACGCTCATTGAGCCAAATCGAGAAAAGCTTGAAAGCGAAACGCGTTATGGATGTTATAATGCATGCAGAACGCCTGCAAACATTCCTTGATTTGAAAACACCGCGCACTTTACCTAATAAAGATTTTTATATTGATCATCTGTATAGAGCGGTGGGTGAGGCGTATTTATGTCAACACCGAGTCTCCTACACTCTAAGCGAAAACAGCAATAGACGAAGAATTGCATTCCTAATGGGACTCCCCACCGGCCGGCCGAAATCCTTCGACTCGGTCTTAGGTAATTATCCTTATAAGTTTATTGATATTAAAAAAGCTACGAGTAAAGTTTTAGCCACTTTAGAAATGTGCGAAAACTCTACAATGAGATGTTGGTTGATGTACGAATTGGCTAGACTGTTGACGTCTCAAAAGAACTATGCACTCGCCAAGTTTTACGCCAAGAGATGTCAACGAGAGGCGCAAAAGATATCCAATGCGACGTGGTGGCTGAACGCACTGTTCGTACTGATGAGCGGCGATATGCAGCAGAGTAATGCTAACGAAGTACGAGTACAAGTCGAGGAGGCGTACGAATATTCCAAAAAGCTACAAGATCCCGAAGAGGTGCAGGCCTTCCTCAGCAAATGCGCCGAGATGATGGCCGACCACGTCGCTGCTGACGAGCATAAAGTTCTGGAGCAACGGGAAAAACAAATATTGGACATCATGGAGCCGGCGAAGTCCGTCGAAACTCAAGTACTATTCAAGAAAATATCGATATTGCCGCGAGGACGAAGGTTCCCAGTGCTGCCGCAGGGAGGCGATTTCGCGAGTCAGAAGACGGAGCGGCGGCGACGGCGCCAGCACGGCCTCACCGTCATCCCCGGCCCTCCGCGTGCGCTTCCACCGCCACCCAAATCCGATACACTAGGTTATCAATTATTTGATATTTAATGTTTTCTTTTTAATCTTTGTTAGATTTTATTTTTTTAAGTTTTATACTCGCGTATTGTTGTAATTATTTTTTAATTTGTTATTAAGTCCTTTTGTAAGTTTTGTACTATGGGATATATTCTTAACGTTTTATTTTAAAATATTGTTAGACTTTACTTTTATAAGTTTTCTACTTTGGTATTAATATTTGTAATTTATTTAATGTTTTGTTTACAATTATTTATTATTCAATGATTTTTTAGGTTATATAATATTTTTTGATAATAAATTAATATGCTTTTGTATGTGTTGATTTATTTTATTTTGTCATGTTTGACTAAAATCACTCGCAGGTTTTATTCATATGGTTCCGGTGTGTTCCCTGGAGATCCCGGAACCTTCGTCTATGTCACTAGAGGATGGTCACCGAGGGGGTTTTAGTAGGTCAATTCCTACATAACCCTGTCTTTCCCCCAGAAGGCTTCCCTTGTATCTTTTGAAGATTTCCCCCCGACACCAAAAAAAAGGTTTTATTCATATAGTCATAATAAAGACATTGAAAGTCCTGAAATCATGGGCGTAGCCTACATGGTAAAATAAACATGTAAACAAACTCCTTCAAATAGGACCATGTTAATATTAGGTGAAAACCTAACCAGATCAACATCTGGTGACATTCATGGATAGGACAATAAAAGTTTAACTTCTACCATATCCTTCACATCCCGTTTTAATTGTTCCTAGCATTGTTTTGTTCTTCGCATGTCTTATTATTTCTATGGTGAATGACGTAACATAAATTATCCGAGCAATTGATATTCGAGCTTTTACAACTATCGCTTTCGTTCAATTGCGGAGTCAAGGTCACGAGTATAGGCGTAATGTCACTGCAAAAAAACTCGCCTCGCTGCCATAAAATTACATAAAAAAGTTAACGGCAATTTACTTACACACGCACAGTTTTAATTGAACAGTCCAAAGGTTCAGTTATAAGATCATTATACCGATGACTAATGTATTGCGATTCTCAGTTTTTCTTTCGCTACTGAGATTTGAGTTTGAATGACCTGAATTCAAATAGAATAAAAGCTTGTATAGAATTTATGTTTTTGCTTACATAATTTCGAGACACAATACATTGTCGGATATTAATTAATATTCATGCAGTTTTCTTCTCGAAGCATATCCTCACATTTCAAGTGATACATTAAAGATTCTTTGAAAGTCTGAATAAAATATTTAGACTCTTTCTAACTAAATTAGTAAATGCAAATTAAAGTTTTTGTCTGTTACGCTTTCATAAAATTTTGCACACAGTGTCACGGATATAGAAACGGAAAATGGCTAAATAAACTACCGGAACAACTAGTGTACCTATTGTATTATAATATTTTGTAGGTTATTAAATAATAAAAAAAACTCAATTCAATTCATTTTATAACATAAATAACATTGATATAAAAAGCCTTAGTATATACAAACAGTAACACAACAAAATTGTAATAATTCATCTAGAAGTAGTAGGGGCTCGGTAGTCTGGCGGCGATGACAGGGGCTGGGGCAGGCGCGACTACAGGGGCGGGGGCGACTATTGGAGCACGGGCGACTACAGGTGCTGGGACTACTAAAGGTTCGCGACGAACGACAGCGTTGAATCCGTTGAGGGGATCGGCGGAGTAGTCGACTATCCTTCTGGTGCCGTCTGGGTCGACAACGGAGTAGGAGCCGGTGACGAGGTCGCCGTTGCGGTTCTCCTGGTGGCCCTTGTAGTCGCCGGTAAGCGCATCCTGCACGTCATAGCCGTACGAGTACTGAGGCAGAGGGTCGACGCGAGCCACCACTGGGGCCGGCGCAAACACACTGGCGCACGCCACGCCGAACATGCAGATGAACACTACAATCTGCAAAAACACATTTATAATGAGCTACCACGTAATGAAACAAATAAAAACTAAGACTACAAGTTAGCTCTAAAAAAATGTAAATGCATCTAAAATTTTAGTCACTAAGAAGCTCTGGAAGTACAATATACTATTACTATGTTCAATTGATATTCTGAACTTGCTCGTCAATACATAACTTCAGCAGTATTGCATAATGCAGTTGACATAGACCAGTCTGAGTCGCACTGGACCGTGTATTCACATTCGAGATTCGTGCGCGCGCCGAATACGTGCAGCTTGCGACACGGCGACGAAAAGAAACGCTTATCGTAATCGATTGCACTACGAATATTAAATTGATAATCGATTTAAAAACATTCTAAGGGGTAGTGTTAGACTTTGTCTCGTTAGGAAATCAAATCTAGGGATCCTTAAAGTAATTAATAGCTCAGACATGATTTAGTGAAACTGTAATTGTACACATGAATACAATTAAAAGTAAATTATCATTATATATGACAAATTTTACGTTAAATATAATTTTGTACAAGTAAAAGCATAACACCATTGGTGTTCTGTATCTCGGTTCACTACAAGTAACATTAGCGACGACACCATGCATATTATAGGAAAACAATTAGTTATTCATCGTAGTATCTGAAATCGATTTTAGCACGTTAATTACAATTGAAATGACACTCTACTTGTATTCATGAGAAAGTGTGTGTCGCAAGGAGTCCCGATATGGATCCGTTGGTCAATTGAACGTCACGCGCGCGTTGCTATCACGTCTACGAAAACTTGTACAGGAACTATTGCGTGATAACGTTTTAGTTGTTAGTCGTTTTGTTAAAAACTATTTTTGAAACTGCTCTTTTTTGCATGAAATCTTAATCTTAATGTAATCATAAATGCGAAAGTTTAAATGGATGTATTTAGTGTAGCCTGAACGGCTGAACAGATCTCGATGAAATTTAGCGTAAACGTAGAGAATAGTTGAAAGAACATATAGGCTACTCACTCTTGTTTTATAATTTACACGGACGGAGTCACGGGTGAAAGCTAGTTAGAAATAAAATATGTCACGAAAATTAACAAGAATGATTGCTGGCCAGATTGTTTGGACTAGAAATCTATTGAGCTATCATCACTACACTTTTCCGCATACTGCGCATAAGTGTGAATTACTTTCACAATTGATTTTTTTTTAATCTTAATGATTTCGAAAAAAAAATATTTTAATTAATTGTTCAACGTACCTTGGAGTTCATGTTTGTTTGCTTGGGGTTGGTTGAGCAGTGCAGAGGTGAACTGTGAACGTCCTGGCCCGAGACCGCGTTATATATCGTTCAATGCGTAACAAAAGACGTGATCAAAATACTTCGAATCTAATTGAAGAAAGTGCTACAAGTTACGCTCCATACAATCAGCGATACCACGTATCGATTTACAAACAAAATGCTTTCATAATGTAGATCACATGCCTGCACTAAATCAATACGTTATAGAGCATGGTGTTCTGCGCTAAACAAGCCCTAACCTTGTTTGATACGTGCGTCGGATCTAATTGACGAGCGTTGACGGCTATAGAATAATTTATGGTAATTTACTTAACCTCAAAACCAGCTAATGAAGAATCTCCACTAAGCATAAATCATACCTATAACGTGATCTATCGATAATAGTAACACGGCTGCCAAAACACGTACATTTAATAAAGCTATATTCCCCTTTTTTAATATGAAATCCATCAAACTCGAAGGACTAATAAATCTTGTTAATACTTCCCGCGAGATTCTCTCCCATATTTCATCTATCTTTTACAAAAAAGGTAATGGTCTTTTGGATACTATACTTGGCAGAATAAAAAGTCCTTGTCTACCAAAGAGATTGGATAACTCATCCTGTGCTGAATAGATAGTTTGGTTGGAATTCAATCCATCCTTAAGAATTTTAAACGTAGCTGTGTTTTCAGAAATAACACTGCTTAGCAACAATTGCTTATGCGTGGTGAAGCAAAAGCTCTGTCTCTCCTCTCCTCTCTCTTACGTACAAATCAAGTCTTTACAAAATGAGTTATCAAGTCGTCGTCTGTCGAAACGGCAGAACAAAAATATGTTTTTTTTCGCAAGAGAATCTGGGAGTTGACAACATGTACAAATACATATCGATGGGTGAAAGACTATTTGTTTCAACCGCCATTTTAGGCGATAATGACATACATGTAATATATCCAAAATAATGCATAATACATTTAAATATTCTCAAACAAGCTCTGCCTATCCATCTCAAGTAATCAGACGCCGCAAATTTAATATATCTCGTGTTAATAACAATCATAAACTCAGAATAGGTTACGATGTACAATATATGCTTGCTTGCTAAGCTTGCTAATAACATTTTGTTGTTGAAATAAATAGCATTTATTTTCGCTTATAAAAAAAAATCAAGTGTTTTCTCTCTAGTTAATAAGTATTGGAATGTAAAAGTCATTATTTTTGATGAATTAAAAATAAAATAGACGTATTTAATTCATCAAGTGTAAAGAGAGTATCATATAGTTTCTAATCCTATTATAGATTAAAATCTAGCATATTGCTCAATGAATGGAGCTCTCTATTCATTTATGCTTGTAGTTTGTATTCATTCCTACGCAACGGTCACTTTAGAAGTAACATGTTTTAAAATTATCTGTCTACAAAATGCTTTTTTCAGATGTTTTAACTCATAGCAAATGAATAATGTTTACCTAACCATCTTATTTACGGTACAAAATGTTACTTTACATTATTTACTAATCTGAGAAATTGTAGATTTATTTTTAGATAAACGCTACTACCGCTTTCGCGACTAAAATAGAAAAAATGTACCAGTTTCTATGTTAGTTTGTGTTTGTGATTTTTTACTAGATGAGTCACACCGACCCTTAGATCATCATAATTGATGCTATTGTTGTTAATAACTTCACAGTACATACACTTTATCATTTTCTATTTAAAAAAATATTGAATATGAATTCAACAAACAAACAAATGATTGTTTCTTTTATTTTCTTCAGTTTTCCAAACGTCGTTACCATGTAAGTTATAAATCGTTATCATAACGCTTATTTTTTTAACTGTGAGAAATGTAATAAGAAAACATTCGAATAGTGAAAACATATTTATTATCTATGTACAAATCAAGTCTTTACAAAATGAGTCATCAAGTCGTGGTAAGGTTTAGGGGTATCTGTAACCGGCGGCGACTGGCTGGACGAGCTTGGCGGGTGCCGCGCGAGCCACTTCGGCTACCGGCGCTACAGGGGCCACGGGAGCTACGGCGGCGGCAGGTGCCACCAGGCGGGCAGGGGATGGTACAGCAGCGACTGGAGCCGCATAAGCTACCGGAGCGTTATAGGCCACTTGTGCGGTGTAGGCGGCGGCAACTGGCGCGGGATACGCGGCCGTGTAAGCGACGGGAGCGGCTTTAATAGCGGCGGCAACAGGTGCGGCGTAGCCGGCCGCTACCACGGGACCCGCGGCGTAACGCGCAGCGACAACGGGAGCGGCGGCGTAGGGCGCGTAGACTGGGGCAGTAGCATAGCGCGCGTAAACCGGTGCGGTGGCGTAGCGAGCATAGACGGGAGCGGCAATAGGTGCTGCGACTGGGGCGGCGGCGTATCTAGCAACGACGGGTGCAGCGACAGCAGGAGCGGGGGCGGCGACGGCGTAGCGAGCGGGAACTACAGCGGGTTGAGCGACCACTGGGGCAGCCACAGGTGCGGCAACTTTAGCGGCTACGACAGGTGCGGCGGCGATGCGAGCAGGAACGACGGCGGGTTCGGCGACAACGGCAGGAGCGGCGGCAACCAGGGGCTCTTTGCGGACGACCGCATTGAAGCCGTTAACGGGGTCGGCGGCGTAGTCCACGATACGACGAGTGCCGTCAGGGTCGACAAGCGAGTACTGGCCCTGGACAAAGTCTCCGTCGCGCTGCTCCTGTTGACTCTTGTAGTCCCCAGTAAGAGAGTCGGCGACATCGTATCCGAATCTGTACTGGGGCAAGGGGTCGTATTCTTCAACTCTTGCGAGGGGCGCGGCGTAGGCTACGGGTGCTGCAGCGACCGGCGCTGCTGCGATGGCTGCCGGCGCGCTGGCGTACGCCAAAGCCACGAAGGATGAGAAGATGACGAACTGTGAATATTTAATAGGATTAATGGTACATTTCAGGAAGTATATTATTATAAATTTTATCACCATTTTTTTCTTATACTGATTTTTAGAAGTCTGTTTATAGAAGTCGATTTATATAGAAAAAATTAAAACTTATTCGGGATGAAACACTGAACACTATTCACGATCACTTCGATATAACACTTCACAAAATCCAAATAGTTGTCGTACCTTGAAGACCATTTTGTTTGTTTTGTTGTGCACAGGGATGCTTGGAGCTGTGAACTGTGCACCCCATTGGACGCTAACAGTATTTATAGCGGTTGCAGTGGGTTGCCTCATCCCGACCGCATCTTCAAATTTAAATATATTCAAGTACGCACGTACAAGCGATGGGGCTGGACAATGCCGCGTAAACAAAGCGGCTACTTGTGCAACGCGCCCGAGACGTCGCGGCCACGCCAACTCAACGCTAAATTTTAAAAATTCAACATCTTTCCAGTAACTGAAATGTGAACTTCACGCATAATCTGCCTTAGAATTTTACTATGTGAAATATTTTGAAAAGATATGCAGCTAATTTCAATATATGCTGCTAAATACACTTGCCGTTACTATCGCGCAGGACCAAACTGTAGGTGTTGTTGACTATATTAACTGGTGCATGTATAGTGAAATACAATAGAAATGAGTAATAATATACGTATCACTGACAAATGCATTTATTGATTATTGATTTATTATGGACCTATTCAATTGTGGTGAAGTACGCAAAATAACTAAAGGAGTATCTGTAATCGACGAATATAATGAAAAAATAATTTAGGATCAAAAGAGCATTAGTATGTGCCATTGTAAAACGAATTAAACTATAATATGTATGTATATATACATATATGCCTTATTTTAATAAGGAGAATGATGTATTTTTATACAAGCAGTTCATCATCTCCCTGGCCTTATCCTCTTTACGTGAGATTTTATAAACATTAATGTTTTGGCATAATTATATCGGCCACCTGACTGCCGGTCAATAAGCCTACTTGTGAGAGAAATTAATATTATTCATAAACTAATTATAGATAGAAGCAAATATATGTATAAAATTAATATTACACCTGTTCAATGTTAAATCTAAAGACTTTTGTTTTTATTTATCCGTTACTGGTTTAACAACGAATCAATTAAAGTTATTTGTCAGGCTGTACACAACGTAATGTAGAGTAGGTCAATTTAACAACGACATCCTTAGTACAAGGTGAACTTACATCAGCTTCAATACGACTTCCGAATACTTTTATGTCCAAAAATAAAACAATAATCATTATTTTTTTATTTTATATCTTCGATTTCATAAACCAGTTTGTATTGTTTTTTTTTCTTGACATTTCGATCAGGTTTATATTCAATTAAAAACAATATGAGGTTGTAATTTACGGACAATAAACGTAAACGTAATCAAGGTTTGAAAATATTAAAATTTTAACAATTTATTGTTTGCATTGATTTTAAACATGACTCAAATTAACTTTGAATATCATTTAATTGCCAAAGAGAAATAACATATAAATTCGTATGTCACTAATTAAAAAAATATTGCATAATATAAAACAATTTTACAAGATAATTTCAAGTTGGCTGTATGTGTCATGCATTTGCCTTTGCGTCTACACATGAAGAAAATACTCGAGGTGAATTTTCCCGCGCGTCGCCGCGTTGCTTGCGTCGCACGTCCTTCACAAGGCTGCGTAGTTTTGCCAATCGTTTTGTAACCGATGTAGCTTACATGAACCCAAAGGATAACTACTTACTATAGATACGATTGAGGAAAAATACCAAGAGTACGCTAAACTATTTCTTTATATATATACGTGTTTAACTACGTTATGTTGACATATTTAGGGGAATTAGAGACGTTGTATTCTTATCATAAGCTAAATAACTCCAATTAAATTGACTAAACTCAATAGAGTCGAGATGCTCTTTAACGTTCAAGGAAAGTTGAAGTAAAAATCTTTTTAAAACGTTAGTAAAGGCTAGGTATATGTTTTTTCTTAAATTCAACGAATTATGACGGTTAATTATTATAACTATTGTAACTGTATAATTATGAAACAAAGTTATAAGGGTACGCTAATTAGGAGTCAATTCATATTTAATTACGAAAAGAAATGTTAATATATTTTACGTACGATTCGAAACGTTGCTACGTATCTGGAATGCTCATTAAATGATTTTAATTAATATTTTAAACTCGTACAAAAATAATTATATGTGTATTAAGAATAAAAGATGACGTAGAAGTTTTTGTGCCAAGATTTTCTGTTTTAAATCAATTTTTATTCTGTGCGCTTATTATTATTAAAAAGTTATGAAATGCAAGCATCACACAAAGAGTTACAATTGTAGCGTTTAACTCTAGTTGAACTATTAAATGTTTTTTGTAGATAAAATAATACGTAAATATGTAAAACAAGAAAACAGATTCTAGTTGTATTAGTTTCTAGTAGTACTTATACAGGTTGATTCTTAACGGACGGATCAACGGATTTGTGGAGTTAGAGGACCTCAATAGCTATTCATTTAAGTGCAAAGTATATTGCCCGATTTTCTATAGTTATTTTAGGTCCTCTAACTCCGCAAAGCCTCTGATCCGTCCGTTAAGAATCATCCTGTATATTAGCCGTTGATTTATAGCCTTTCGATTACTAATCCGGAACACAAAAGTGAGGCGAAGTGGATTCCAAGTTATTTTTTTTTAATGAAAATGATGTTTGTTACAGTTTGTAGGCTAAACTGCTAATCGGATATCTATGAAATTCGGTATAATTAGATGAATTGTAGAGGATATTCTGGAAGAACAGATGGGCTATTTTTAAACTCAGACATAGTTACGGTTCCCATGGAATGAATTAATATTGTTTTTTTCATGTTTACTGGATAATTCTGCATCGGTTCAACATATCTTATTGAAAATTGGCACAGGTATAAAACAAAGTCTGGAATAACACATGGGACACAGTTCATCACTAAAAAATATCTGGTGCTCGGGAGGCACGCAATTTTTCGTTTATTCATAGTTCGTCTTTTGTTTACACCGCGCGGACGAAGTCGCAGGCAACAGCAAGTAAAATATAAATCTATCATATCAGTTTTTGATCATCTATTAGCATAGGCTTTCTTTCACACAACTAAAACTAAGCTAACTTATAAAAAAATATTATTATGATATTTTAGAAATGTACGATTTTCTTTTGCTGGTAAGTATAACTGTTTTAAGCAGTTTGCATTCAGTAAAGCTCTATTTCATAGTCCTAACCGACTTAACCAAAGTACCAACTGGAGGCGGATCAAATGTTAGCAGTCGCATGAGATGTTACGTAAATGCCACTGCCTTGTGCGAATTTATTGTATTGATATTAAGGTGACAATACATAATATATGTCAGGTGAATTTATTTATTAAATAGTATATTTCGATCAATTTTCCAATGTCTATCCAAATATAGTTATGTTACTTAAAAACATACAAACAAAAAAAATTGCGATCGCTATCAGATGTTGATATATTTTTCACACAGTTAACGTCTTTAAAAAACTCAAAATCAATTTTCTGCCATTTTCTAAAATATCGTAACAATAAATCTTTCACTTGATAAGATACGTCAGCGATCTCAAACTTCTTAATGTGTGTACTTCGTTTATTGGTCTAGTGTGTAAGCACCTTTAATCTGAACGTGTAAGTAGCGCGTACCACCGACCTCGCGCTCTACATCTAGGTATTTCCGATCCGTGTCCACGATATATTAGTTATTGACTTTCAAAACTCACCACCATAGTCACGCAAATTTCTTAGCTAATATTTTTTCAAAATCCATGTCTACGTTCTGATCGTGGCAAAGGAGGTGTGTCATACAAAACGGGTTCAGGTCCCGTGTCAGAACCTACCTTAGTCTAAACTAAGCATGCACCGAAGGGCACAATATTGCAAACAAAGGTAGTGGAGGATATAGTGGTACTTACCTGCTCGTTACTCGCTTCACCGACTATGAGTACCTGGTCTCTGTCAGTGTCAATCGAACCAAGTCTAGTTATGCCAAGTCTATAGGCGCCAGCGATGCTGCCTGCAGCATCACCCGTGTGCACAGTTATTGTTCCGAACGCGAAACAGTAATTTAAAGCGATCCCGTTCGCTGACAAAAATTATTCGCCCGTTGTGTCATTCGCGTTGTCCGACAAACAACCACTTCCGATGACCTTTGAACACACTCGACACTGGCCCAATTCGCCGACGAAGTGCCATAAACAAGATACTAAACTAACCTTTGAACTCACACACGTACCCGACCGACTCGCTTGCTGCTTGCACACATCTCTCCCCCGCCTGACCGTATGGGAGCGCGATTTAAAACTACCCGCAAGTGCAGGAGAATAAAAATAATCCCGGTTACCCTCAATAACCCGAGCCGCAAAATTTAAACTACATGTTCGTAACCGAAAGTGTCGCCACCCGCATAATCAGTACCGAACAAGTAGAAATGAGCATATGGGAATATTTGTATTTATTACGTGAACGACTAGTCTGAGTAAGCATGTATATAAAGCTTGCTAATATTACGGTAGCATTAATCACTTTTACTTTTAATTTAAAAGGAAAAGTAACAAAATACACTTTTATGCATTTTTTACGCTAACGTATATAAAAATTAAACATCTCTCCATCCTACTCGTAATAAGAAAAAAACCTGAAATGACTTCAATGAAATTCTGTCTACAACAAGGACGTAATTTTAATTTATTTCGTAAGTCAGCGATAATATCACCTAGTGCCATTACCTGATCTGTGCGGGCAGGGGTACTGGCCGGTTAGTGGGAGACAGTTCCAAATGTGCGCACAGACTATAAAATTAAAGAGACTATAAAAAAATTTTTTTTCTTATCCTTTAAAAACAGTAATGTCGTACCTTTGTTTAGTTTTTAAATCTTACATTTAACTCAATATGTAACTTCCGACTGTTTAAAGTTATAAAGTTACAAGTTTACCTTTCTTTTAAAGATCGTTTTTAAAGATTTCCAATAAAGATATTTAATATTATAATACGACTTTAAATAACAATTTAATTATGAACAATCTACATGCTCAATACTCTGTGGTCAATCCCACGTATAATGTCAAGGTGAAGCCACGTATTGTTTCAAATGGAAGTGTTACGAGTACACGGGCAATGAGCAATGAGCATAGTACGGTCCCAAATTCAATCATGGCCTCTCAATGCTATTTACATGGTGTAATTAGTATTATTGTCTAAACTTAATTGTCTGTCAGTAGCTTCATAACTTCTTTATACAATTAAAATATTAGATGAATAAAAAGCTAGATATAAAAATACATACTATACCACTAAATTACATTCACTTGTAAAGTAACAATGGCCCATTTTTATTAATAACTTCATTAAAATTATGTCCCTGTTGTGTTGGGAAAAAAGCTCTAATGATAATAAAAATAAAAACAGAAAACAAGATAACTCATGGCTTTATTTGTACGATGTAAACAATTAAAAACCCCAGTATCGTTAAACTAAAAATAATCATATCATACTTCATACTTACTATACTATCTTACTATTGTAGTAAGTGCGAAAGTTTAGATGGATGGATGTTTTTTAGAGTTTGTAGCGAACTCGATGAAATTTATCAAAGACGTAGAGGATAGTCTGGGAGAACACATAGGCTACTTGATTTTGTTTTCTTTTAATTCCACGCGTCCGAAATCGCGGATGAAAGCTAGTATACTATATACAATACTATACTATCATACTAATAGTATAAATGCAAGGGTTTGTATAGATGGATGGATGTTTGTTAGAGTTTGTAGCCTAAACGACTGAATGAATTTCAATGAAATTTGGTATACATATGTAAATGTAGAGGATTGTCTGGAAAAAAAATAGGCTACTCACTTTTTTTTTTTTAATTCGAGTCGCGTGCTTAAGCTTGTAATTAATATGCATAAATCGTCTCATTTTATTAGCCATTAATAAGACAGCATGACAACAACACTAAAGTGTAATAAAGTGGTTACAAGATTAACATATTCACACGCGCGACATTCGATACTGGTCAGCGACGAAACTCATGAAATTGTGACCCTGCGCTACATTCCCTGCATGCAGCTATATGTGTTATTTAATACGCATTATACAAGTATTTTGTACGAGTTGTACTGGAATTGAAATCTCAGTGCGGACTGATGCAAGATGATTTCATTCTACATGTTTTGCTTTGCGCGAACGAATGAACGCGAACGTATATGATCAAAACTATAAAACAAAAGAAAAACAGGTAGATTAAAAAGAATTTGAAAAAACTACATAAAGATCAGATAAAAAAGTTAGTATACAAATAGTACATTGATTTTTTTTTTAACCAAATAAAGTGAATTTAATTTTTATAATTTAACTAAGCTCAGATTATAGGTAACAGGCGCAACGGTTTTTAAAGCGGTATTTACTTTCAGCGCCGTTTACTTTATTGTCTCAAATATTTTTTTAATAAACAATCATGATCACGATTGACATTAAATGATGATGTGAAATGAAATATGTTCCATTATAATTATCGCTGTACCTTGATAACTAAATAAAGAATTTGTTATACCGTAGTTCTGAACTTATATTTCGCAGTCTGTCATCTAAGACCCCTTTACAAGGCTTCCTGCACTGTCAAACAGGCTTCTAAGACATCACGCGATTTTAGTATAATTGTCTTACCCTATCGGGGTAGCAGTCGTGAGAACTAACGTAGGTAAAAGTGGTACTACTATTGACCGAGGATCCTTGAGTCGCCGGGCGTGGTCGTTGCACAATACAGTACTAAGTATGTAACAAGAGCATACGTGCTCGCATAAAATGACGATATTACACCAACCTCATGACTCAGTACTTATTTCGAATTTTTAGGTTAGAATTTTGGTTATCTTCTTGTCTTGTCAAATTGATACCTAATGTTAAACCTAAGTAAAACGCAATCTACGTACAAAGAATACGAGTGTTGTTAGGTTTTATTTATACCTTCTGCCAATCGTTTACAAATAATGCTGTTCTTAGGCTTAAGGGCCTGTCCGAACACTGGCTGTTAGAGGCACAAATAGCTTAAAATGACGTCCCTGTTAGATGGGTAACAAAATCCGATGTTTCCATCACATATTTTACTCGTTGGATTGTTATCAGACAATTTACAATTTGGTGGGAAAGGCCCTAAATATTTCTTTCTTACACGATCTTGCTACCCATTTGTTCATAGGTGTATACGTTCGTTATCGAAGTCATTTTTTTTTACATTGAAATCTCAAACTCTAGTTTTATCGGTCTACTCTCATCATAACATGGACATACTCACACTTTTAACATACTACTCATGCAACTTTTACAGATTTTTTCTCGTCTGTCTTGTTGTTGTGCATGTCCACACATCTCTGTAGACCGTTGTAAATGCAAGCATTATGCGCGTGCTAAGAACACGTGCAATAAACCATAACTGACAATAACAATTAAGTTCACTGAGCTTTACTTCGTGCTTTATTGGTTCGCTTTAATATCCATCCATGCGAAGAATAGCTTTATATTGTTAAATTATGATGCAAAATAAATTTCTAATTATTTTTTTAAGCAAATGTTTTATCTCTGTATACCAGTATTCATTTTTCTCGTAATATAAATAAATAGAAGGGGAGAAATGTGCGAAATTAGGGGAAAATGAAGCGGGTAGGTAATTTTAATAAAATGTCTCTTTACGAAGTCTCGTGTGAACTTTTGTCGCTTCTTAAGATCTATACAATCTCAGTACTTATGATGTAATTATATTTAGTAAGTATTTTTGGGACTATTAACACAATTTATGTGTGTTACAAACGCTAATGTATCCGTCCTACGCGCAGCCACAGTATCGCAACAATATGATTTAAAGCTGTTGATAAATTCGCGAACTTTGCGCAACAGTTAGACGATAATTTATATTTTTATAAGGACAATTACAAAAAGTATTGTTGTAGTTGAAAACAAGGGTAAGTTAATAAGAAATAGAAAAAGAAATTTAAGTTAGTCGGACTATCTTTTTGTTTTAAAACATTTAAACGTAAATTAAATTAAATTTATTACGTAAATAATAATTTATCAATTTGGACTCCAGTAGTTATGTAACATAAATAACAGGAGTTTAACGTTAATAATTGCTCCACCGGAACTAGTAAACCGCTTCTTGATAAGTTGATACCAGGGCTTCTGTACGCCGGAAATTCGAGTCAGCCCGGGGCACATAGCCAATGTCGCGTGACGTCACGCGGCCCGACGGTGAAAGGGTGAGCCCCAACGTCTCGTATAAAAGCTCCTTACGGTCCTCATCAAGTATCATTCGAGATCCTCAAGCAACACACGCTTATACAATGGCATTTAAGGTACTTAAGATGAAAATAAAATCAATCATTTCATCTAAAAATACAATACTCTTTTCTATATATTTTAAATGTTGTCTGGTTTACAGTTCGTGATCCTGACCTGCCTGGTGGCAGCCGCCAGCGCTGGCTTGCTCCCAGCTGCTCCCATCGCCTACTCCGCCGCCCCAGTTTACCACTCCGCCCCCATAGTCCACTCCGCGCCCCTGGCCTACGCCGCACCCGTCGCCAAGGTCGCTAAAGTCGCAGTCGAGGAGTACGACCCCCACCCACAGTACAACTTCGCTTACGACGTGCAGGACAGTCTCACCGGCGACTCCAAGTCCCAGCACGAGACCCGCGACGGTGATGTTGTCCAGGGATCCTACTCCGTGGTTGACCCTGACGGCACCAAGCGTACCGTTGACTACACCGCCGATCCCCACAATGGTTTCAACGCCGTCGTCCGCAAGGAAGCTCTCGGTGTGAAGGTTGCTGCTGTGGCGCCTGTAGCTAAGATCGCCGCGCCTGTGGCGTACGCCGCTCCCGTCGCCAAAATTGCCACCCCCTACACTTACGCGTCCGCTCCCCTGGTGCACGCTGCGCCAGTTGTGCACGCCGCCCCCATCGCCAAGTTCGCCGCCCCCGCGTACTACTCTGCCCCCCTCTACCACCACTGAACTGATGCCAAAACTCTCTAACTAAACTGCACTACGGTTATAGTCATGTCATAAATGTGATAAATCGTTTTGTTGGTAAACTATACGATAGGATTAATAAATTATTTTTTGTATTCTTGTAAATTATATTTTTTATTTACCTTAATTCAAAGTTACATTAACTTTTGGGAAACAAAGCAATCTTCAACTTACTGAACTAACTGAGCACTGAGTGGCTTTGAATGTAATTTCAATGTTAAATAATCCTTATCTCAATACCTCTGTATAGAAGTTTTTGACCAGACGTTGTAATTCACAATGTTATTATTACGAAACAAAACACACATACATACTATGAATTAACAATTATAAGAAGCCTTGATATTTAGCCATACCCACGATACTGAAGGCGCCCGCGTCTGACTGGGGCTTGTTATGCAACCGAGAATTCGAGCACCTACGCCCTTATATGAGTTCATGGGTCCTTTAACATCTGAAATAAGCTGTTAAAGGAGTGGTTTAAAATGTTAAAGAAACAAAAGAGATAAACAATATGAAAAATTAAGTACACCTAAAAAAATTGGATTGTGTAATATGTGTGAAATGTGAGTAAGAAGGGGATGAATATTAGATTTTGATGTTAACCATTTGTAATCTTTTATTAATTACATATCAATACTTGGTGTACTAGATTTGTCTGTTTAACTCTGTGCCTAGCCTTTAATTAATTAATTAGAATAAGTATTTGGCGCCTCTAAAAAATAAATAGCATTTAATTTTAGTTTCTGTATGGTCAGGGAATCTGGCGGTGTTCTACCTTAAAAGCTAGAATAGTTAGAACGTTTCGTACGCATTGTGTGTTGTAAGAAAGTTGTTGCAAAAAAATCCAGATAGTAAGCTATAGCTTAAACACGTTTAGTACCACTGATTCGCCTAGGATAGTCAGTTTTAAATCAAAATCGCAGTAGCAAGGAATGTGTTAAGAAGAAGATAATTTTAATGTAAATGTTCTTTGTGAATGTTTACTATTTAGTTATTATAAATCACTAACGATAAAATTGTTAGAATAGTAAAGTTTCCTTATTAAACTGTCAATCAAAATAAATTTTCTGGAGAATTGGAAAATCTTGCTTTGTTTATATGTAAAATGACAACTGTCAATGTCAAAGAAATAGCTATCAAATCAAACAAGCCGCAAGCTATTCTTTTAAATAAAATACTTCCCTACCAGTCTCAACATTTGCCTGTACAAAGTTATATTTGTTATATCAAATTCGATTATTTTGAATTGCAAACATATTCATTTAAGTGTTCTATGAAAGTGTTAAAAAGCAATCGTTAATTTCCATTTAGAACTATGGTAATATTCAGTATGATTCTCAGGCGGTTTGAATATTTACGACAAAAATAACAGTGTGACTCCGGTTTCAAAAACGTGTTGTTTTCTTGAAGTTCATATTAAAAAGGAATGGTATCAACGAGAGGCTTACGCTATAAATTTAGCGAAGGGGAACGCGTCCTTTGCTATGAACCAGACCCTACTAAGGCCAAAGTATTGTATGATTCTAAGGTTTGTAACAGTTTTTTTTTTTTAAACCTAAATTGTTCTGAAAAACTGTATGGGCTTTATTATTACTTTCGTCCTGTTATTCAGCTTGAAAGCACTATTTATTTCCCATAGTTAATATGTTTTTATCATGTTGTAACTTAATTAAATTTATCACTTATTTAAAAATTAAAACTGTTTCCTATTTTAGAGAACCTAAATAGGGAACTTTATGGTATTTACCAAAACTTTAAATTTAAATTACAATCAAGTTTATGTGTTAATAATGAATTGTATTAAAACAATTTGTCAACAGGTTTTAGAAGTAATAGAGAGCAAAGACAAAAGGGGACGTCGTACTGTAGAGTACCTAATACATTTCCAAGGTTGGAATTCTTCGTGGGACCGTTGTGTTAGTGAAGACTTTATACTTAAGGACTCACAAGAAAACAGACAGTTGCAGAGGGACTTAGCTGAGAAGTCACAGCTCCAATTGTAATTGTGACCCTTTAACTATATTTGATTGTAATCCAAAGCTTAAAATTGGAAAATGAGAAAAAAATCCATAAATGGCAGCCATTGTATTTCACATTTTGAGTTATTTTGTGAAAAGTGTTTGATATATTTAATTGTTTTACCAGAAATATTTTAAAAATTACAATTTTTAGTAGTAGTATTGGAATGCAATGTTTATGTTTCTTTTACAAATTTATTACAAAAAAAAAAATGTGCATTTATACTATACTGTACAAGATTTTCTTTTGACTGTAACCTTACCTGGCCACAAGTAAATTTTCTTACTGTATGTTCCGATTGATTTTACTGATTTTGAACTTACTTTAAGCTCAAAGCTAGTATCTTTTAGGATAATCTTCTATTTTGTTACTTTTACTTTCGTGATACTATGTATGTTTGTTATTTTTATTCTACAGAGGAGCATATTTATATAGAAGAGAGCCTAAGAAGAGAATCAACACGACCGCTCACCCGGGACCCGCGAAGCGCGCCCGGCACGGGTGCAGCGATGCTGGATCATCAACCAGTACACAGCCTGATGGTGAATACTATATAAAAATCTTTTTTTTTTCTAATGTCATAAATGCGAAACTTTGGATGCACGGATGTTTGCTACCACGTCACTCCGAAATAACTTTATGTATCTGTATGAAATTTGGTATAGGTGTAGACCATATTCTGTGAAAAGACAAATGCGACGAAATATTTTTTTTTAATTAATTTTTGGTGACAGTTAGCTAATTATTATTTTCTGTAGTGAGGTACTTAGTGACGTATTGTTTCTATGTTTTTTTTTGTCCATTCACTGTAAAAAATAATTTATTAACGATCTTCACATTATTGCTGGGGAAATGCCTACTTTTTTGCAAATATGGTTGGGTGTAGACAAACAAAGGTACCGGACAAAAGCTGTTGTGGATTTCGGGAATGTAATTATAGATCCAATATCTATAATTGAAAAATTGAATCGAACACCTATGACCAAGAAGAACCAATCAAGATGTTTGTAACAAATCTATTCTCCCCTTTACATCTCATAAGAGGAAACATGGATAATCCTGTAAATGAAACTTTTCAATGTTTTTTTTCTATATTATGTAGAAGTTGAGCCAGGGGACACTGACTCATCAAGTGGGTCAGCGACAAGTTCAGGGTTGGACTCCGGCAGTAATAGCTCCGGCTCCCAACAGCGCTTGCAGCGTAAGCCGCCGGGGTTCAAAGCTGATATACCTATACCACCTGCGCTCAGGTAACGAATACATATATAAATTTATGGCTGGTTTCCCAGCAACATTTAACTATTTGTTATTTTACTATGTTGAAACATAGATTAACCTAACACTAATGAATTGCTAGGTTATAACGAAATAAGTGGAGACTTCAGTAACCCAGCATAAGGCGACTTTTGTCCCGTTTAAATAAAATTATCATATTTTGATTGTACAATCATTGCACACTTTTCTCTCTTTTACTGGTGTTTAGAAACAGCATTTCTTTGTATTTGACAGACAAAATAGATACAGATTTTATTTTCTCATAGATAAAATAGATACAGATTTTTTTTGTAGTTAGTAGTAATGGTCGACTGGGGTCCTTCCGGGAGAGTATTCTCAGTTTCGCAGTGCGCACTTGAATATCAATTACTATGTTGTAACTGTACAGGGATCGTCTAACATTCGACTACCACTTGGTGGTGAAGCGCGGGCGGCTGTCGCGGCTGCCGGCGTCCCCGTGCGCCGCCGAGATACTGGAGTCCTTTGTGAAGTGGTTCGCGCACACCGGCGTGTGGCAGGCCACCAGGACGCGCCACGCGCCCCCGCAACGACCTGACATACCCGATGTATCTTGCAGGTAACGGACACCACGACTATCTTTCTGTTTATACTTCTATACTAATATAATAAAGCGTAAACACACACTGCTTAGTTATATAGCAATCACAGCATATTTTTCAATAATTAACATTTTATTAAAAATCCCTATAGTTAAAACACGCCAAAGCTATATATTTTCACGCTATTATTTAGGGGGTAATTTAATTGAAAAAAACAGTATGTTGGAACATGACAAAAAAAGAAATAACATCAAGGAAGCAAAGTTGCCATGGTAATGGCAATTGTTTTAATTTGTGCATTTAATTTTTTTCACATTTTCACAAATGTAAATAATAAAATAAGGTTTATATGATTTCACGCGGATGAAGCCGCACGCTCGTTCGTTAATAAACTTTTCAATTACTTCCATGTTTAGAAAAGGTTACTGGTGTAACAGCCAGTCCAGCACTAAATATATTAGAACAGTATCTTGCCCTGATATGATTTGTATGGACAAAAATATAGCCTTTATTACTCGTTCTTAAAAGTGCTTCTATAGGCGAAAGAAAGTCAAAGGTTTAGTCGTTGACTTTATCCAGAACACCAAACATAAATACATAATCTCTCTTTTCGTTGTAACATTTACAAGAGAGGGATTTTCTTGTTTTCAGGTTGCATCTAGTCAGAGAGGTCGCGGAGGGAATAAGAATATACATTGACTTTATCCTCGGCGACCATTTACTGTACAGACAGGAGCAGAACCAATACTGGCAGATCTGTGGACAGTATAATGAAGAGTAAGTCTTTGTTAAATATCAACAGTAATTACATTTGAAATACCCAATTTAATATATATCATTTCTTATTTCTATTTTTTTTATTAAAGCGTTAAACCAAAAAGTGAGAATGGAGATTCGCAAGAGGAAGATACCCTAGGGACAGATGAAGAAAGAAACAGTCCAAAGATGCCGGAATACTCACATCTGCCACCAGACCCTGTCCGCAATCAGAATGACAAAGAAAACGACACTGAGACTGAAGAAGATGAAGAGGATGAGGATGATGAAGAAGATAACGAGGAGGATCAAGAAGTAGAAAATGCTTTACATAACAATGTCGAAAACCATTCTCATGAAAGTGAAACAGAGGATGACGAAGATGAAAACGGTGAAGAACAGGACGAAAGTGATGTACAAGATAATGGTGAGAATGAAGAAGATACTGGACACAATAATTTAGAGAATGAAGTAGACAATGCTTCACAGGATGACACAGAAAACGAGGAGGATGATGGACAAAGTAACGAAGAAAACGACGAAGACAATGTTTTACACAACAATATAGGAAACATCCATAATCCTGTACATAACATAGAAAACCATAGAGATGATAGTGCAGACTCAAACGAAGATAATGACGAAGATTTTGTAAATAATGACGCTGAGAATGAAGACGTTGTACATAATAACGTAGGAAATAACGATAGTAATATTGTACATAATAATGGTCAAAATGTACCTAATAATTTAGAAAATGGTGATGATGAGGAAATTAGTGAAGGAGATGATGAATATCGTAATGTAGAAAATGGAGATGACTCTGTACAAAATGATGCAAAAGACATGGAAAATGACGCCAACAGACCAAACGAAGTAGAACAAAATAATGAAGAAGATGATGATGAAAAGATGGACGTAGATGATGAGGGAGAGAATGATGAAGATAACGGAGGTAAAAATGATGAAGAAAACTATGAAGATGGTAAGATTAAAAGTTTTATATACTTACAAAAACTATGTACTCGATATAAAATTTCTAGGGTAATTTATGATTACTAAAATGTTTGACTAATCCTAAGTAAATGTTATTTTTGTATTTTTTCTATTGTAGAAGACTCAAAATCGAAAGTAACGGAATCCATCGACGGTAGAAATTCATACAACTATGCTACCTCAAGTTCAGGTAAATATGAGTATTAAATTTTTAGAGGCAATACCTTTTACGAGATATACAAATTAAACCAGTTCGATTCAAAACATCGGAATCAAAAATATAAATTTTAGATTTTTAATATTATCATTACTATATTTAAAAATGATTGAATATAAAAATTCTTAGATTATAGTGAATATTTTCAGATCCTAACAACGAGTGCGACGGCGAGGACGTGAAGGTGAAGGTGGAGGTGGAGGTAAAGGTGGAAGTGAAGGTGGAGGCGAGCAGCGAGGAAGTGGAGCCGTGCGAGGAGGTGCGACCGCGCGCGCGCCGCGGACACTATGCACGGAGGTGACATGCTCTATATACTTATAACTAAAGACATTTAGAAAATGTATAGACGAGGCATAATGAACAAAATTTGATCACAGGTACTTTCTCTGATATCGGTTACCGTGTTTAGAAATGTCTCAAGTGAAGCGTTAACTACGCCTCATCTATATATTTTATTATTATCTTTGCCGATAACACTATTTATTTATTTACTGTTGGAAGCCAGCGTATTACATAAAACAATTACACCACTAAAATGTATTAACTACCTGTTCCCGTGCGGTATATTATAAAAAAAAATAATGTTAACATTAAATTCAAATGTACAAATGACAGCGACCGCCTTTGTCAATGGCTAACAATAGGCAATATGCATATGACGCCAAATTGTACTAAACTTTTTTAAGTATACTTTATTACTATAAAAATAGTCCTACAAAGATTTTTTAATATAATGTGATTTAGTGGCAAAATTTAATCATTTAAAAGTGTATTTTTTTTTTCAAATTCCCTCGCATAGTTCTAAAACGCACACTATTGGTCGAAGCAAGTGGCTTATCTAATATGGCGTCGCTGTGTTGACAATACACAGTTCATTTACTTCAGTTTATATAGAAATACACTCTTGAAGTATTTACACTGTAAACACGATATCAAAACCAACTTTAAAATAAAAAAATAAGAAATATAATTATTAATTACCACTTATTTGTACCAGGAATAATAAAAATGAATCGATTTTTGACTTTTTGACCTTGAGAAACGTTGTTGTGTTTAATTCGAAGTGACATCTGAGCGTATGTTATGAATGGAATAGACGATTGACGTCAATCGTCTCATGACAACTCCGGTCGCGTTTTAGTCGCTCGAAAATGGTCGTAATTTTATTTTATTATTTTTAGCTCCATGGTTAAATATTTTCGCGTCAATTTTTTTTGTGGTTATTTTATAATAAGTAGAATCGTTTAAAAAAAGAAAAAAAATACATGCATATTCCCTATTGCCGTAGCAACCTTGATTTATTGCAGTTTTGCGTATTTTTATGCGTATTCATATTAACGAAAATAATTAATTTCAGACTCCGATCATACAAATCCAACAAATCGCACTCTGAGAACGAGGAACAGGCGCCCTCAACCTCCACTGGCGGGGAACAGCGGCCCTTCGACACGCAATCCTCCAGGTATCATATTGCGAAACTCGTAAAAAAGTCTGAACTACAGCGGCCTCCCCCCCTCTTTACTCTCCCTGGCGACGTCCATTAGTACGATATGGTAGTATGGTTTCATATCCTGCCATTCGGCTATTGTAAACCATATTCTAGTATTACCTCGAATTTAGTTGAAAAGGTCACAAAACACGCTAATTTTAATAAATTTACTGCATGTTTCTCTAAGAGCCTGTCCCACCACCCGCTGATAGAGGCTCAGATAGCTTAAAAATGACTTCACTGTGATATAAGGGGACAAAATCCGATATTTCCATTACATATTTTACACGTTGGATTGTTATCAGAGTATACAATTTGGTGGGACAGGCCCTAAAAGTCTATAAGTAAATATTGTTTATGTTCAGTGTGGAGAGCACGATGTCGTCGCTGAGTGAGGAGTGGCGCGGTGCGGTGCGCGCTGCCCCCGCGCCGCCCTCGCCCCTCTCACCGCCCTCGCCGCCTGCACTCAAGCGCACACCCCTCTCACTGCTACTGGAAAAGGTACACATTTTTAATAATATTTCCATAATTTGAAAATTATCTATTCACTTCACCTTTTACTAACACGGACTGCGTCTCGCATTCGTCTGCTACCGTTAGTAACACGTGACGTCATGCGACCATCGGTAATTCTGCGCACGTTAAATACTTTAGTTCAAAGAACTATTTAAATTCTTTTTACAAAATATTTTAATCTATGTAATTAAATATGTTTTTATTGACTAGGTGTCAAAGTGGCGCGTGATACCCCGAGACGAAAGTACAAAGCATTTGCCCTGCAGGATCTATGGCGCCACACATCTCGCGAGGCTATTTGGTAATAATCAATTTATCTAACAATTAAACATAATCGATTATCTCATGGGTTTACCAATTTATTAATTTTCATGTATTTTGTTTGCAGTAAAACTACCGGAATTTCTCAATGCGACGAATATGGCAGAATCAAAACTAAAAATTATATTGAAAAACATCGATATGTTCGTTCAGTAAGTACCTACTTTGTATTGACGTCGTTACAAGTTTATATTCGAGGCAATAAGTAACGTATTTAAGAATAATATAATACATGAACTGAACATAGACTGTAATACGAAAAACAGACACTGTTTAAAGACTTATTGTAACTCTTTGACAGCCTTTCATGTTTTGAACCTGAATTATGTGGCAACATAAATATGTATCACTGCACTTACAGTGTATGAAATCATTATTAAAAAAAAATTATGTACAATTATTTTGTCAAAACCGTATTACAGATATTTGGATCAGCACGGAGAATGGTTCGGCGAGGTGCACTACATGTCTGACGGACGGTCGGACTCGCACTGACGGCGACGGAGCGGCGAGTGACGTCTCGCTCCCCACCACCGCACGCACACACGCGCACGCGCACGCGGCATGCGCGGGTGAAGTGAACATACGAACGTACTGACCTCTATATGAATACTGGAATACTTGCTGTAATTGTGACTATTTGAATCCATTTTGACGCTGACCGTAAAGTTCCACGATACTAATGCCCGATTTACACTTGTCCAGTACAGTACAGCTCAATATCAGGACTAACAATCAAATACCATAGTGTGAACACAAACTGCCGCCAGTCCACAATCTATGCCGGGCTTCGCAACTGTCCAACTATAATGCTAGTGTAAACCGGGCATAATTATAGGACAAATTAAAACTCGATGTAACGTACTACGTAAAACGTAGTTGTACGAAATATCGATAAACCTAGATAAGGAGCATCGACAACTCTATTGCATCTGTCTGTATAAATTAGTTCTCGGGAACTTCAAGTGATGTTTCAAATTGGTGCAGAAAAGTCCTTAATAGTAAAGAACAGCCATCCAGTGTATATCTATAGAGTTCAGTTTACAAACATTCCATCAAAAACTCTGGCAACGTTAAAAAACTCGAAGTACAACAGTGAAGTGATGTGATCATAGTGCATAAGTATTGAAAAGTATTAGATATCCAGTATGGATATCCAAAGTTAATAATAAGTGACATCACAATGGCATAATAAGTTACTTATTTGTCTCATTATTGTATATATGTTGTGCTATAAGCAAAAAAAGTCATTTCCAAGAATTATTCACCTTTCACTGATAACCACTTGATCAAGATGTTTACAAAAGAAAATACTGTTTGACGAAAATTCATATGATGGTCTTTTTAATCATTTTTACGTCTAACAAAGAAAAGTAACAGTTTTCTTTTCAGATAGGGAGGTAAGTAAAATACCATTTATTTAGGACATATGCTTCTATTTAATTTGAAACAGAAAATATTCTTTTCCATTGTTTTAAAGTTTTAATAACATGAATCACATTAAATATCAAATTACATTTACCATTAAGAAATACATAAACAATACATTGCTTGACATTTGAGCAAATGTTGCCAGATTAAATATAACAAAATGATAAATGTTAAGACACAAACTTCTCTATCAAATGATTATACTATTATCTTTTTTTGACCAAAATTAAAAGAGATCTGTTTTTTTAATAATCCATGTAAATTCGAAAATCATCTTATAACTAATTTATTTTCACACTATTAGTAATAAAGTTAAGCAAAAAAGATCATCAAAACAAACAGTTACCTTCTGCATTAAGAGAAGAACATCTGAAAATTGTATATAATTGGGATTTTTGTGTTTTTTAATCACATTTCAAATTTGGTAAGTTAAATCTAAATCTTACAGTACATACTAAATCTCAATACATTTTAAAAAATCTTCAAGACATTTCAGATGTATATAGACGGAATAACAAAAAAAATACAATGAAAAAGTTACATCTCTTAGTGATCCCTAAGTGATCGTCTATTGATCACATGAGCCTCGAGCGTTTGGGAGTTCGGTTAATCTAAAATCATATATCATGTGTTTAGTTTCTAACTGATGACATAAATTAATTGAATCATTAACATTTTGAAAATACCAACATAACTTTGTACTAAAAAAATACACGTGATTTTAAATATAAGGGAAGAGAGGATCACAAAGGATGGAGGCTCAAAGTTGCCAAAAAACTTCACATATACACGAACAACCCCAATTGAACTCTTTCATTATATTACTGCATTTAATCGAGGTCCATTCTATGTATAACTCGTCTGTACTCCTCCTCCAAGTCGAGGTACTGACTGGAAAGACGGCTCTGTGTTTCGTTGGCACCAGTCGATGTTATAGTCGCGACAAACTCATCGGACTTCAACACTTTTTGTAGCTTTTTCATTTCCAACTTCTTTTTCTGTGAAATGTAGGAAAACAAAAATTAAATTCGCATTTAGTCTACAATTAAGAGTGCCTATAAAGTGCTACAAACTTTATGTATGTATGCTTATGCTTAACTTTATGCTTTATGTATCGAAACAGCTCACTTGTATAACATCCCTCATATTTGAAAAAACCGTTCAAATTAACTTAAAACCTAGGCCGATGACGTCATTTATGATTTATAGTGTGCAAAATAATTTTTTCTTGGGATTATAAGAATTAATAGTATATACCTTTCCAAATAATTCATCTATACTGACGCAAGGCTAGCGCAGAAGTCGAGAAATGGCTCGCATTCCAGCGGTCTCAATTCGTTCGGAGTATACCAAAGATTTCCAAACTATATTTTCTTTATAGACCTCTTTTAATGTTATAATAGTTTCAGTGGTCCACCATTATTGTCAAATTGAATGTTTATTCAACATTTTGTTGTTTTTATATATTTTTTACATGTTGGTTGTTCACATACACACCAGCACACATAAAGACAAGCCTTCAGTGTTCAAAACCAGATAAAATTATTGTAGAACTCTAAATTTGTTTCCAATGATCCAGTGGTCCATTTAAGAGTCACTGGACTATACTACCAAAAATATCTTGTGACACAATTGACAAGAAGTACATCTCTAGTTTGCACTTCCGAAACATTAAATTAAAAAGAGATCTGAATGTTAAAGTTACCTGAAACGGTGCATTAAGTCTGTTCTTAACATCTAGCCTGTAACTAAGGTAAGCAGCTTTGTCCGATGTGTTGGTATTCTTCAATCGGAGTATCTCGTACACGCGGCGTGTCTGCTTCTTGTTTATCTTGAACTTTTTGCAAGCTTGCTTCTCCATTTCCGAAGAGAAACTATATAAAATGTAAAAATGTTGAAATCAAAACTTCAATCACATTTTTAAATTTTTAACCTAGATATAGCAAATTGTTGCTATGCACTTGGATGCCTAGTTTAAAAAAAATGTTTGACAAACATTGCTTCTATACCCCTCAAATGGTAAAATAAAGAAGCGAAAAAAGGGCCCCTTGGGATTTTTATGCTCTTAGTAGCAATGAACATATCAAAACAGTTATATTTAAAAAGACAACTATTACTTACCCTTGCATTAATTTAGCCGGTTGAAATGCAGACAGAGATTCACAATTCTTTGCATCAACATAGTCTCTTATTCTCTGGAACTCCGGTGAAGGGTCCTCCACTGTAATATCCACTACCTCGGGTTGTGACATGAAGTGTGAATATACTGACTGGAATAAATTATATAAATTGGACGATTATTCCATATTTATTTTGTGTAAAATGGAAATTATGTAATTTGTTGTTAATGCTGTTTATTTATAAAAGTTAGCAGCTAGCAGATGCATAAATATTGAATACTTTAGAGATATCTAGTTTATGCAAACTGTATTTAAAAGAACCATTACATTCTCTGGAATTTCTTCAATGCTGTGACTACTGTGAAAGAAATGATCTGTGTATTATTTTCTTAACTATAAAAGTACAAATATGGAACTAAATGATTATATTTAGTATAGAAGACATAGTTAAAAGTGCACTTGCCTGTAGTAAGGCTGCGCAAAGGCCCAGCTTGCGGAATGGTGGCAGTGTTAACACCTGTGAGAGACGGGGGCGCGTGTGTCGCGGGTATGCGTAGTAACGGTATACGGTCGCGTACGCTGCGGTGGCGTAACGCACCTCGCCGTCACTGCTCCAGTACTTCTCAAAACTGGAATGACAACATAAAATATATATGACACTGATTTGAATTTTATTTATGGATGTCTAACTGAATACTGAAATCTTAAACATTTCACTTCGTAAGCGCTACAAGCTGATGTGACATCAACATTTTAATGGAATTTAAAGCCTAAGCGTGGCCTTACTTTATATTTAAGTCATCATTACTCAATAGACATCCTAACTGAGGAGCTCATCCTTAGTCTACTATGCTGGACCACTGTGGGGTTAACTTTTCACATTTTTGAATTTCTTAACAGATATGTGCAAGTTGCATTTTCTTTGCCGAACATTGGATAAATGTATATGTGAAAGGTTTCAAATCCAAGACATGCAGGTTACAAATTCAGTGCTTAACCCCTGGGTGACCTCTAATCATATCTAAATGTTGTTTTAGTATTCCACGAAAATTTAAGTGACAGCAACGGTAACAATAGTTAATGTATTGTGATTTCTGACCTCAACACTATTCAATATGCACTAAATAATACAACAATTCACATTTTAAATACTAATAATTAAGAACCAATATTTCATCATAATGAAAAAAGTTATATATCAAAAGATATGTAATCTTTTTCAACAACTGGGTGAATATATAGTATGCAATTAACTAAATAATATTCTACTTACACTGTAAAGAAAGTCCACTGGTCATCATCCACATCAATGAATGATGCAGCATCCACATACCACAGGAGGAAAGTTTGTAGCCGCTGGTGGTATGCCAGGAAGCCAGGAGTTGATGTTTCACAGTAATATACTTCAAATAGCCTTTTCTGTCCGCCATCACCTGCAAATTAAATACATAAAAACTTAAAAAAGGAAGCAAAATGAGCATATTTTGATAACCCTACATAAATAATTGAATTCCACAATTGTGCAATGTTGGTTTAAAATTAACTTGATAAAATCATTCTCCAGTTAATTTGAAAGTATTTAAAATAGAAGGGATGTAGATTTTTATTGTCCCAAATAATCTCATTTTAGATGCTTTGTAATTAATCACATTAAAAACATACAATTACATAGGAGCCATTGATTTTTTTATGTGATTATAATATTCTCTAGTGAATACTTTATACAAATATGTACTTACGAGATTCAAGAGTGAATGCATGTTCAAGCTGACCATGTGGGACAAAATTCCGATCCTTCCCCAGCAAAGATATAAAACGATCCAAGTTTGTTACATAGCCTGGTGCTAAGACTTTTCTTAATGTCCCCTCTACATCATCTGCTTTCATACCATCTGATTTACTGGGTTCAATCTGAAAATATTAATAAATATAGACAATAGGTTTCTCTATGTTTGAGAAACAGGCTATTTTCTAAAGTATTGTTATCTAATATACATTACATTTCACCCTTCAACAATCTGAAATATACAAAGCAACTGTAATCCTAAACTACTTGAATATTGTTTATAAGTTACTGAAATCTTTTACATAAAATATTTAACTTTACCTCCCAAATACAGTTTTTAACAAAACATTACATTTTTTAAGAATACTGTCCATTTTATTATGATGTTATAGCATGATTAAGAGTACTTATGGAAATGTAATTCTAAATAGAGATAGCTAGTCTTACAACCTTCTCCATGTTATCATTTTACCAAATATAAGTGAAAATTATAATGTGCGTCAAATATTTTACTTAAATACCTTGTTTGCATAATCGATCCCCAAATATGTCTGAAGACTTCCTGCACTGTAGTAGAGCTTTATGTTCAAATCTGTGTAACCGAAAATGTTTTCATTTTCCCCAAATACTTGGTGACACATTTCAGGGCCAAAACTAGCTTCATCGTCCTCAATATCTTTTACTGTTCGCACTAAAATACAATAAAGGTTATAAATCCCATTCAAAACATTTCATGCAAGTGATACCAAAGAATTTTTACCTAATTTCAACTCCAAAACTTCATTTCCATCAACTACTAAATGGTTTAGTGCGTCGGTCATTTTGGATTACTGTGAATTAATAACTACTCTGGTCAATATATTGCAAATAAAAGTTTTCATTACAATACAGCTTCCCGCGCAAAATAAATTTGTCAACGGTATTTTTATTACTGCACTAAAGTGAAGTGGTTATAAATTTTAGCAAGTACTTTACAAACTATTGTTCTGTTTACAACAATTTTAGAACATATGATTTCACCACAATAAAACAACATTTATAGTAAGTCATAAAGCGGGTATATAATCAACTATTTAGAAGAGAATGAATGAAAATTCAATTTAGAGAAAATCTAAATTGTCTAAAAGTCTGATTTAATCCGTTTTCCGTTCAGAAAACTTGACATTTTTTCGTTTTGTTAATTTCAAACTTTCAAGTTAATAGACAAAGATAGATATAATTGAATGCAAGATATTTACACTTTATAACAAATAAATTAACAAAACTATAAAGTTATTATAGGTTTAATTATTTTTTTACATAAAATTAATGTTTGGTTTTTAAAATTCACGACAAAAGTAAATATAAAAAGCAATCTATTGTCAGAAAAGTAAATGTCAGAATTAAAATCCTTAGTTATTGTTATCTTTAAGCTTAATACTATTCTATTCATTTTAATCAATTAATTCAATAGTATTCTGGACGATGTAAGAAGTTAAATTATGGGGTAGTATATCAAAATGTAAATAAAAAATAATAATCTGTGAAAGTTTAAAATTAGGCAACACATAAGTCATTATGTGACGTCATTATGGCCTGGTTGGGTTAGGTTTGCTGGAAATTTTTGTTAATAATCTTGTATTTTAGTATATTATATGTTGTGCTACTTATTTTAGTATAGTAATATAAATACCACAAATAGCAGCAGTAATTCTGGTGCCAAGAAACGTTTGTATCGGCGACGTTTTGTGGCGAAAATGAATCGCCATGAAGGTGGGTAATGATAATCAAAATTTGTGCGATGCTTTTGTCACTAAATTTCTTTGCGAAAATTTCAAAGTGTTATTTACTATTTGTTTTGAATTTGACTGTCATAGTGTTTACGATTTAATATTGCTTTAGTATTTACTGCTGGTTAATTACGTCTTTTCAGGAGTCAGCTGTGATTCTTGTTTAAAAAATAACTTCAGAGGACGACGATATAAATGTTTGATTTGTATCGACTACGACTTGTGCGCTGTGTGTTATGAATCCGGCGCGGTCACGAATCAACATACAACAGAGCATCCCATGCAATGTATCCTTACAAGAAGTGATTTTGGTGAGATCTTTGTGTAATCATCATTTTGTCATCAGTGACCTGACCTAGTTTTTAACTGTTCTCTTCAACAACAGTTAGTGCATATTGTTTGAAACAGAAACAAAACATTCATTTATCAAAAACAATATTCTAAGGATGTATTATGTCTTTGCAAAACCATATAACATTTTCATTCATTTGTTAGGATATCTTATTTACAGAATGAAAACATTATTATTTATTTATCTTTATATTTTAGTACAAATATGGTATAAAAATCCTTGGCCAGATTTAGCTTATTTTGAGCATGTGAAAATTCTATATTTTTATGTATATCTGATATATTTAACTAATGTAACATAAGAACTATGTTTAATGACATAAAAGATAGTTAATTTCAATTTTTATTTATGACTCATTATTTCATTTATATTGGTAATAACTGTTGCTCGGGACTTTTACTCACTGATAACATAGCTTTATAATGCCGAAAGAATTTTTAAAATCAGTCCAGTAGTTTTTGAGTTATTTCAATACATACTAAAATCCAAATCTTTCCTCTTTGTAATATTCATATAGATGACATTAAAGTAAAAACTTTATAAGTTTACTATATTTTAAATAAAAAATACTATTTAAACCAAAATGATTTATTGTCACTTAAAATTTTCAGACCTTTACTATGCGGGTGAGTCACAAGCTTTGGAACAACCGCAGGCATACACATGTCCTTTCTGCAACCGAATGGGCTTCACAGATACTGCGCTTATGGAACATGTAACGGCTGAACATGCAGATACAACTCTTGCTGTAAGTTTTGTAATCTATGATATATGCTTTTACCACATTTTAGAGGTTAATTGGTTCAAAAGGCAAAAAATTCCTATTGGACCAATGCTTAAGTAACATCCTTAACAAATTTGTAGACAAAGGAGTAACTTTGTGAAAAAGTTTTAATCAGAAAAGTACAGTAAGGATTGCATGACTTATATGTCTGGCTGTAAAATTCAATAGAATTGACATTATAACATACTTATTTTGTCAATTCTCCCTATAAGGCTGTTATCACAGACTTTTTAAATATAGACATGTTTGTATCGTCTAAACATTGAAACTTTCTAAAATAACCCATAGACAATAAATGAAATTGTCTGCCAGTGAAATATGTAAATATAATTTGTCATTTATTTGAATTTTATTATGCTATATTAAGATTGCAATGCAGTTAATATCTATAGTGAGCTGCTAATAGTCTTGTAATTATAAGTTGATTCAGTGCTATAATGAAATTGATGCCCAATAACTTTTATTGAATGTGATTTTAAAAAATTGAATAGCTTCGGTTTTTACTTTTTCTTTTCAATATTTACACCAGCGGTCGCCTCATTATTCACCACAAGAATAAAAAATAAGTGACATATAATATTTCTGCATACATGTGCTACCTTCTCGTCAAAGTCCCGTCAAAATCGGTCTAGCCATTCAAAAGATTATCCAGAGAAAATGTGGCGTAACTTACAGACAGATGGACAAGAATTTACACAAATTTTCTTTTTGATAACAGCATCATCACATCATGTTCACGAAATATGACTTTTTTTCCAATATTACATTGAGAAGTTCCAATTTTAAAAGACATATATTAAGGCCAGGCCCTTTCTCCAAAATCCTTGTTTTTTTGTTATTTAAAACTACTCGGCACATGTGCTGGTCTTCCATGTGGATTTTGGATTGCATGGTTAATTTTGCCTTATATGTTATTATTTAGTTCAAATTAAGTGTTAAATAGTAATTGCATAACATGTATACTATTATGAACACATAGTAATTAGTGTATTTTTACATTTCAGGTGGTATGCCCAGTTTGCGCCTCACTGTCGGGCGGCGAGCCAAACTTTGTGACTGACGACTTTGCTGGACATCTCACACTCGAACACCGGACCGGACCCAGAGATCTCATCTCTTTTCTCATATCCTTTTTCATAGAATACTTTAGTATAGTTTATTTATATCATATGCATGTCTTTAAAAGTGCAATATTTTCGCTTCTTAATTGATCTCATTGGATTCATAAGAAATCAAATATGGAAAATAATTTTATATGACTTGTTAAAATTGGTTAAATCCAAGTTATATATACACCAGTTTTATTGAATTTTTTTTGTTTACTAGATAAGTAACATACTCTTTCCATGAACATTGAACATGCATTACATAAGCTTAATAACAGATTTAACTTATGAAGCCATACAAACACCTAATAATTCTGTCTCACGGTTTGTAACAAAACTGTACTGTACTGTGGTGTTGTTTTAAACTTTTTTAATGTAATTCATAAATTTACCTTTTAAACATTCTTATATTAAGCAGATAGTATTTAAGCAATATAATTATGAAAATTTTTTATTGTTACATTCCTATCACTTTGTTCAAATAATGCATTTCTCAAAAATATATCATAGACATAAGACCTTTATAAGTCAAATAGCTTTTGCCGCAATGTTGTCCACCTGAATAAAAAAGAATAGCTCAAAATTCTCACATATGCGTCAAATTTCATAGAAATCCTTTAAGCCGTTTAGGTGCTAGAGTGACAAACATCCATCCATTTAAATTTTCGCATTTATAATATTAATACGAGTTTGAAGTATGATATGTTGAGTATGTTGATATTGTAATGTATTGTGTATGAATAATAACTTAACTGCATTGTACGACGAGCCGAGCGGCATCCGGCACGGCGGCGTGCGGCGCATACCCGCCTCCGGCCGCGGCGTCAGTCGCGCGAGGCGCACCAACATGCAGTTCAGGTAACTAACACATCATCACCATCATCCTGCCCTTGTCCCTAAGGGCCGGCACAGCATGTACTACTCTTACATCTTTATCAGCCTTCATATCTGAATTCACTCCCTTCTTAAGCATATTTTAATAGCACATATATGAGAATGTGCCATCTCAACTGGTGAGATACCATGAGCTTACAGATGATAAACATGAAAACCCAATTGTGACCCTCCTGACCCTTCCATCCATTATAAGCAAGGAATTGATAGAAGATAGATATCTTTTTTCGGTTTGTCCTCTTTTATCTATGCTCGATTAGCCTTGTCTGTATAACACTAATTTACCAAAAACATGTTCATTGTATAGGTATTTTTTATCTATCTATAACCCCTACCTACTTGAATAAAAAAGGTATACATTTTGCACTATATCATCCCTAATTTAGTTTAGACTAGTCCCTAATTAGTATATGAAATGATGTAGTACAACGACGTCACCAAGAACTCGATAATAAATAGAAAAACTACTTTGAATAAGATATTAACCCTTCGATAGTGTCCAATGTGACGAACTAATTTAAAAAAATTACCTTTTTTCCTGTACTTATTTCATATGTAAAAATGTAACTACTAAAAATCATTTTGCTTTGTTAGAAACAACTCCTTCGAATTATGGGTTAATAATAGTTGACCCTGTAGACGTAGCTTATACGATAGGCTTAGCGCCTGCTATGATGTATGTATGTGATATACGCAGAGTGTGATGTGGCATGTTGTGTGTTTGTTTAAGCAGCGATTGGCACGTTGTTCGCAGCACCGGCGGCGGCATATCGTCGCTGTCGCCGTCGTCGCGCGACGCCGTGGTGGACCCCATCGCGGAGCTCCTCTCGCAGCTGTCGGGCGTGCGGCGCGGCGCCGGCCAGCCCGGCACGCAGATGCAGCTGCAGCTGGAGCGGCAGCAAGCAACTGTAACAGACTTTTTGTTTTATACTATAGGGGGTAAAACGGCCACCAGAATTCGCAAAAATGGTGATAAGTCCGCTGCCCATATATCCGTATTTGCAGATTTGCAGATGTGTTGCTTTTAATCATCACAGGAACGCACAGAAAGATGATATTGACAGGCTATTTGTTTCAAACGCCATTTTTTGCATTATGTTTATGTTATTATATTATTTTATGTTTTTTTTTGTTTCTAAAATGAAGACTTTACATGGCTCTCATGAACATTTAACCTAATGGCGCTTAAAACAAATAGCCTTTCACCCATCGATATTGTCCCTATGTGGCCACATCTTAGTAAAATCTACTTTCACCGTTCTCATCCTTCCTTGCACGAAAATGGTGGAAAGGCTAGAGGATGCGTGGCTTACATTAACTAAACGGTCATCATAAATGAAAGTTTGAAAAAAGTGATCGGTTTAATAAAACCAGCAACATATGTAGTTTTTTTTTACTTTTGGCTAGTTTGTGAGTATAATGGTATATGCGCAGGCCGCCCGCCAGCAGCTGGAGCGCCTGCCGCGGCGCGCTGCCACCTCGTCCAGCAGCGCCGCCGCGCCCCCGCCCGCCGCGCAGCCCGCCGCGCCGCCGCCGCACCCGGACGTCTCCGAGTACACCTTCCTGCTCTCAGCCTTCCTAGGTACATATACATCTATCTAAAATTATCATGCCATTTAAGCTTTTGCCTAAGATTTCGTCCGCAAGGTATTAAAAAAAAATCTGGAAATATATTACCCAATAGTCCTATGTTACCATGAGAGAGATTTTCTTGGGAGTGAGTCATAATGTAAATTTCTAATGCCAAAAGGGTTTTTAAATTCGATCTACTTTTGAAAATTTCCAGTTTATTTGTTGCACGCTAAAAATACAAACATGACATTATATGAAGATGTAAACTACTAATTGCCGGAATAACTCTTCAAGTAGATACTTAGTAAGACCCAAATTGCAGTTTAATTATGTGAAATCTATATTTAGTGACAATTTTAGAAATTACTAAACATCACTAAGAGCAGCACTAAGTATTGTAGTAATGCCCAGATTAGACTACGGAGCCATAATTTAACAATCAAATGAAGATTGTCAACTTTGAGTGTTGCATTGGTAAAATTAATATGTTTCTGTGATGTTCCAGATGCGACAAGCTCTGCTAGCAACGAGGAGGCGGAGTCCCGTGCGGCGCTGCTCCGCGGGCTGATGCTGGCGTCGCTGGGGCGCGCGCCCCCCGCGCCGCCGCCCGCCCTGCCGGCGCCCCCCGCGCCCCCCGTGCAGCCCGCGCCCCCCGCGCACCCAGCACCCCCCGCACACCCCACGCAGCCCGCACAGCCCGCGCAGCCGCCGCCGCGCACCAAGCCGCAGCCTCGCACCAAGGTACTATCGGGAAATGTTGCGGTGTTAAAACTCAAACAGTCGTGTGAATATAATATGAATATGAAAACAGTTTGGTTTTGACGCAGGAGATGTTTCATATATTAGCCTCTATATCTGCGTGGCTTCTCTATCGATTCAAACTAACAGCTAGACAATGCATTTTTTAAAAAGTAGAATACCTTGAAAGCCTCTTACTATACCTTAGTAAGAGAGTGTCTTAAGCTAGCTGCATACGCATTCCTGACACGTGTGTAGGCCATGTTTTAACTGTGTAGTTGAACTGTCAGTTAAAATTTTGCTACACACGCACTGAACTGTAACTTTAACTGAATATTTCGACTCTTCGGATAAAACTCTCACTTAGAACTGAGCATCTGTACTGGGGTTTAGTTCGGGTTTACTAAAGAAAGATGTTTTTTCCAATAGTAAATGCATATGCGTTTTGTAGTTTCGTGTGAGCATATATTTTCAGTGTTGTATATCGTACATTTGTTGCAGGAGGCGGCGGCGCGTGCGCACCCCGGCGCGCGGCAGCTACCCGAAGGTAGGTAGGAGCGCCGCGCGGCGAGCCCCCGCCCGCCCCGCGCCCCGCGGCCCCGCCAGCCCAGCTAGACCCGCGCGCACCCCGCGGCACCCCGCGACACCCCGCGCAACCCCGCGACATACCTACACAGGGATCGTGAACTACACTAACAGGGCCACAATTAACTCTATCATACTATTGAACTATTGAATAGGGTTGCCACATTGCCTTTACCACGATAATCGCGATAGCTTTATTTTTAACACAAAACACCCGAAGTATTTGGTTTTGCGTGTTTATATCATACAACCAAAAGTTGATGTAGTTTGTAACACTAAACTGTGAAGTTTGCGAAATACTCACATGTGCAGATTCGAGCTTGTAGCATACTTCACAGTCTTTATTTTTCATCAAACATTGGCATGTTGTTAACAAATTATGTCCACAATGATAAGTCAACATAAAATTTAATGTTGACCAGGATTGACGATTCTTGGTACTGTTTAAAAAAAATACTTAAACACAGTAAAATTTTACTAAAAACAAAGAATAATTATAGAAACAAAATGTAATTACTTTAATTATTTAAATTTTGCGTTTTACGATAATATACTAATATAAAGGATGTTACGAAATAAGTTGTGTGCTCCTTCTCTAATGAAATTTTGATCGAAATTATGTAAAAGAGTCGTATCCCAAATATTTTGTGACGTGTGTAAACTCTTCCAAGCAGCTGACGTGCAGCTGGTCAGTGTCCATCGTGCCCCTACTATGAATTACAAGGTCTTATGGTTATTAAGTGGTATTTACCGAAGTGTACTATAATAGTACCGTAACCGTAACCGTACCACGGTGCGCTGTAAGTGTGTGCGGGTCGCGAAACGAAAAGGTCTCGAAGTGTTCCCGCGGGCGAGAACTGATCGACTTTACTTGTATCTGTATCGTATCACACCGTACGCCAACTACGAAGAAACATTCGGCAACGAAATTGTAGTAAAACATTTAGATATATTGCTGAATATTTCATTCGAAGTTAAATTTTTTATGCACTTCACTGTAGTGGATGCGGTCCGATGCGAGCAGTGTTAGCAGTGCTTAACAGCCGCCACATATGTGTGTCAGAAACGAAGTCAAATGCCGATAAATTGTTACGTAGCATAAACATATGACACGGAGATATTTTTAAAATGTTACAGTTTGGCTTTAATTCGAATACGTCGAACTAGAAATGTATCACCCAAATCTGTCAAATATCACTCACAGTATCAAAATTACTCGAGCGTAGTATACTATGACGTGTCAAATTACAACTGTTGGAAAGGAAAGGTGTACATAATAGTTGAGATTTAACAATAAATTTGATTGTGAGAATGTAATGTATGGGCATGTGATGACGTCACCGCCGGCGGGCTGCGCACGCGCCGCTGCAGCGACAGTGGGGGTCAGGCCGGTGATACATCACTAACTGGACTTTCATTGTTTTTGCTAACACTTATTAGTGGATGCTTATGTTTGTTTTGTTGGCTTTCGAAATATCAGTGTGATTTTCCTTTAATATAGAAAATAAATAGATATGGAATGTTTTTATTGACTTACGTAAGGTCAAAACGATCATCGAATAAACAGCTTGAAACAAATATACACATATTTTTTTGGTTTGTTACATGCCGGAGGTGTTACTTTTAATTTATATTTCACGGTTAATTTTCAAAATGTTTTATGCATTAGCGATTTAGTTTAAAATATTTAATATTGTAAATTAAGTTAAATGTGTACAATAATTTATAGATAATGCATATGTATAAAGTGTTTGATGTAATGCCTTATCATTAAAGTCACTCATCTAAAATTTCATTGTTTGAGATAATGAAGAATTAACTTACATTCAAATTGTCACTAGCTACTCAACGGAAGTGCTTCTTAGTATGGTAATTATACTCCAGCATTACAAAATGTTTGTATGTACCCTAATTAAATTCTATAATATTTAAAAGTTTTTTTATTTCTTGACGTTTAGTGTTCATGTTCCTTTAACCTTTACTAGTTGTGTTTTCAATTTAAAGTGTACAATTTTATTTCGTTTGTATACTGTTCTGTTATAAAAATATAACATAACGAGGGCCCTGTATTCATGATGCGAATTATATTAAGTACTTATAAGAAAAGTGTAATCTTAAGAAGCAATAATTTATATGTAAGTAAGCTTTTACTAAAAGCTTTATAATAAAAGTTTTATCACACTACTACTTTTAAATCCCCCAACTTCCTTTCCCAAATGTTCTTACCTAAGGAAGTTATCGAAAATTTTATGTCAATATTAAAATGATATTATACATCAGTCAGCTCTGTCCTTATTTTGGCAATGAAGAAGGAATAGTTCAAAAACTATAGCCAATAGCAGCAAAACAAGATTACCACGGTAATTTAAATCCTAGATAATGGCAAGAGCCATTTGATTTTTGCTATAGAAAGTTTTACTGAGTACAAAAATAAAATAAAGTCCTGAAATATTTAAACGAAGCCGCATGGGTACAACTAGTATTTTGATAACTTCTCTTTGTCTATTTTAATCTATAATCTTTGATTGTCACTGTCATTTGTTTGTCGTTGTCTAAATGTCAATGTGTTTGCGAAAATCCGAGTAAACAAATTTTTCCAAGGAAATAAGTTTCATTTGAAGAAATATAAATAATATACAATGGCTGATTCAACAGTAACTGATGTAAGCAAGATGAAAGTGGTTGAATTAAGAAAAGAGTTGAAATCACGTGGACTGTCTTATGTCGGCGACAAAGCGGAGCTTGTGGCTAGGTTGCAAGCCGCTATAGCGCAAGACGACCACGGAGATATCAACTTAGATTCAGATGAAATAGATTCTGACGGAGTTCTAGAAGATGAAGACGATAAAAGCCACACAGACATATTAGACGATTCCGCCGTAGATACACTAAACGAGGAATTGGCACTTGAAGAACATCCCGATAAACCTACAATTGAATCAAAACCCCAGAGAACATTAAAAAGAAAAATAAATGCCCCATCCGCAGAACCGGCCAAAGAAAAATCACAAGATACAAAAGAATCTGGTACAAAAAAAATTGTACTGAATAGAGCCATATCCTTTACACCTAAACAAACTGAGGAAAATGTAGAGACAAAATCCGAAGAACCTCCGCCATCCAACGTTAGCAAAGTCAAACTAGTTACAGACATAGATCCCAAGACTAGGTTGGAGATGAGAGCCAGACGATTTGGCTTGCCTGTAAAAGTGACAGAGGCAGAGAGGAAAGAAGCTAGAAAGCAACGGTTCCAGAGTTCAGAGCAAAATACCATCAGCTCTGCAACTCCTGGCTCGTTACAAGATAATCTGGAGAAACTTAAGCAGAGAGCTGAACGATTTGGACAGTCTGTATCCTCAATAATGGCAGACATTGAAAATAAAGAGAGGTTAGAAAAACGTAAGGCAAAGTTTAATGCTGCAAAATGAGTTGACATAAATTTTAAGTTACTTTCATTATTAATTTACAGTTAAGGACATTACTAATTTTAGTAATAAAATAGTATTCAATAAGTCATTTAATAAAGTGGTAATAAATCAACTTGCATGTATTAATCCCGGAGGAGTCTTTAAAAATTTGAAGTCATTAAATAAAAATGCTAAGAAATTTTGTTACTACTTAAACATAAGTGGAAATATAGGCAGTAATGTTACTAGTCCATAAAGTTCAAAATATCAAATTCCTGCATATAACCCTTAGACAATGTCACTACATAACAAAATAAAGTGTCTATCACAAATAAATATGTTTACTCTACATAAAATATATCCCCATAATATACTAATTTACATTAAATAAAATATTCCGATATAAATCAAATTTATTTAATTATTATTAAATGGTAATTCAACAAAGTATTCTGTAATGTTTGCACTGTTGGTAACATGTATGGATGTTTTATCAGGATTTGTTTGATTCTCTTCCTTGTCACTTAAAAAATCTTGTGGAATAAATAAACCATACTCTATATTAGGCTCTTTACATAACAAAGTCCATCTTTTAGCTATATCTTTATGTAAAGATTTTCTAAAAACTAAGCAATGCATATGTTTAAACTTTTCATATTTAATTCTAGAAAAACCTAAACATGCTAAAGTGTATCTCCAACATTTCATTAATCTAGAATTGGCTCCAACATGCTTAGAATCTGGAGTGTTTATTATCAATATTCCTCCTAGTTTTAAAAGATTGTAAGCTCTCACACATGCCTCTATTCTTAATTCGGAATTGGGAATGTATTCAAGCAGGAAGCAGAATGTAACTATATCATAAGAGTTTTCTTCTAATTGGTTTATTCTATGGTTTTCTATAATGATTTCTTTGTCAATGCCAACATTTAGAAAATCACATTGGTAGACAGAATTATTTGCTGGGCACAGGTCAATTGCCAGTACATCCAAGTATTCATAATTTTTAAATGGATTATAACAGCTGCCTACATCAAGCAATTTTAAAGGTAAGGTAAATTGTTCTATACTATCAATATTAATATCAATTTTGTTTGATATGTCTATTTCTTTTTCACGAAATTTTACATACTGTTCATTAATGTAATAATTATAGCAAAAATCAGCAGACCATTGTATTCGAGACACAACATGTGATTTATCCAAACAATTGTTATCCCAATGTACAGTTGCTAATCGTTCCATACATTTTGCATACTTTTTTAAAACATCTTCATTTTCACAATGTTCAAGCCATGCTCTATGAAATCCTATTTTTGAAGAAGACTTTCTCAAAGAAGCGTGTACTTCCTTAATATAGTAAGCCAATTCTTTGTGCTCTTCAGTAGCCATGACGTCTGAATGAATTTTAGATTATTTTATATAGATTTAAATGTTTTTCGTGACATTGGAAAATTAAATGAAATATGAACATTTTTAACTCATAAATGGGTATTGCGTATACAGTATTGGTTCGAACTTGTTTGACATTGACAGTTGTGGTTGTGTTTACGTCGATTTTTTAAATCGCAAAAAGATAAAATTTAAAACACATCCTTGGGCCAGTTTTATAAAAAAATGCGTACGAAATAGAGTTATATTCAAATTAGTTAACATAATAATGAAAGCCTAGAAAAATCACTAAGCTTTTAAAGGTATATTAATTTTTTTTTTAAGAATTACAGATTATATACTACAACCAACCTGGCAATACTAGTCTTTGCTGTCAAAACAAAATAAATTAACAAAAAGGTGGAGGCGCTAAAATTATTTAATTTGGATTAGTTATTATTTTAAACAATATGAGTCAGATATGGGAAACCGAAGGCCAACATTCTGATGACATCGTTGACCAAATACTATTAGACTACGACAAAACGATAATGTCAATACCCGATATAGAAAATGAGCCCCATTTACTTATATCTAAAGTAAGCTTCTATTTATATATTATTGTCTACTTTAAATCCTTGTATTAGCTTTGATTGGAAATTTTAATTACAGGTACGTAAGCACTATATGGAGTATATAATAAAACTTTTGTCAGTAAACTATGAAAAACATCAAAAGCAATTTAACAAAAATATTCGTTTACCAAGCGCAATATGGAGGTGTGCGAAAATTATAGAAATGACTGCCGCTCAAACTTGCATGGTAGTTCAGATATATAGAAAAAATATTGTCGGTGTTGTATGTATCGATATTTTACCTTATTTTTTTAACATTCCATGTGCAAACTTGAATTATTTAAATATTTCAGATTAATGAATTAAAACAGGACACGACCAAGGGTAAACTGTATAAGACTTTGTATGATTTTTTAAATACAACCCCAAAGAATGAGAAGAGAGTACAAACTACACTAAATAAGTCTAATAATTGTACATGTCAATGTACTTGCAATCAGAGGAGAAAGCGGCGTCGGGAAAATATTCAAAATCAAACCATAACTGATAATGTAACATCTACACCCAGTGAAAAACTACTAGATCCCAGTAATAACAGTCCAGAACAGACAATAACAAAGCTAACAGAAGTCAGTGTTATGACAATGAATAATGTACCCCCTGAAACACCTCTCCATACACAAAATGTAGAACCACAAGACTCTGATAATTTACTAAGACAATTAGAGATACTATTCCAAGATGACAATAATGAGGATGATATTTTTGAACAATCATTATGGAATGATCCGAATCCTGCCAATGAAGAAATACCCAATGACAATAATAAAGATAATTGTGAACCAGTAAATATAATAGAAAGTAATAATATATCAACTGCAAATATTACCCAATCTTTAGATGAAAAATTAGCATCTTTAGCTGGACATTTTGTTGAGAACAATGACAATAATACAAAGTCAACTAATAAAAAAACAAATCCAACATCCAATAAATGGTTGTGTGAAGAATATTTTATGAAGTTACAGCTATATGAAATATTGGACCAATTGAGGGATTGTAATAGAGCAAAGCTTGCCAGGGTTAGTAGAATAACTTATTTCTTAATGTAATTGTGGTATCTAACAAATATTGTTTTAAACTTTGATTTAAAAGAATACTTTTTATGTATGTATGTATATGTTTTGACAAATAAAATCTGACATTGTTACTGTTAAAAAAAATTATGATGCAACCTGAAAATATTGTCAACATAATTCAAAGATATGTGTTAAGTCAACCTGTTGTGGGCCAGAAGTCACCATTAACTTAGGGTAGGCACCAAACTCCATAGTGAGCTGATAATAGTGATAAATAAATAACATTCTGTCTTACTATAATTTAATTATTTACAGTATGTTTATATTTGCATTATCAGACAATCTCGTAGTGTTCCACAAATACCTAGTTTTTAGAACATTTTTTATGCATTTAAGACCAATAGGATACAATTTATAAAGGTTTATTTAATCTTTTGTAATTACAGGTAAAAGATATATTGAAAGATATATTTGGAGAAGATAGTGATGATGAAGGTGTTATGTCACCGCTGGAAGAGACACCCGAGTTTGTGAGGAGTTGTAAAGAGAGAATAGCACCCTGGGTGGTGAAAGTTCTCACCCCATTCTATATCAAAGGTCGGATAAAAGGAAAAGCCTTGTTTAAATCACTTGCTAAACATTTAATTAGGCTTATATACCAGTGTAGTAAATATCCAAGTAAGTATCTTTTATAAAGATAGATTTCCACTGTGAAAATACTTTTCAAACTTGAAATATTAATACAATTAATAACACATTAAACATGAACTTATGATAGAAAACCAATATATTACCTTAAAATGTAATAATGTAGTATTAGTAATGTGAATTAAAAAAAAAAAACCTAAAACAAGGTGTAAATCGCAACCTTGTGTCTATGTAGAAGCCATAAGCCAGTATTAAAATATTGTGCGCTGCTATATGTATGAAAAATCTATATTTACAGATGAATATGAAGTGAAAAGTTTTGTAAATGATTTTCTTGAGAGCCACAAAGTCATTAGATGTGAAGCAGACTTTAAACAATTCAGAATTAACAATATTTGACTGAGGAGAAATTTTGGAAGCAATCATGTTCCTTCGCCTATTTACCATTGTGGTAAACGATTTTCAACAATTATATCTATAAAATAGGTAATGTTTTTGAATAATTAAAATATCAGAGTGAGAAAATACAAAAGTACAGAACTGAACCTAATTAGATAACATAATTTACAGTCCATCCATTATTTAATCTATCATTTAGTCTGAAAAATAAATAAAGTCCCCCACCACAGTGGAAACTCTTAGATCTCAAACCTTGTAAATCGATAACAATAATGTTCTCTTCCACCCTTCCACTGAACCCTTAAATACCTTATCTTATAAGTCTATCCATGCCTGTAAAAAGGAGTTATATTATTTTTAACAGTATTATTGCTCGTAATTTAAAACCCGTCCAAATTGAATTAAAAAGTTCTTTTATTATTAATAAAATCTTATGATTATTATCTACTAGTTTATGTTCTAATCTCATGACAATTAGTATAGCAATATTTAAAAATATTGTAAACAAAGGTTAGTTATTATTTAGACATATTATCTCAATAAGGGTCCATACACACAGAGCAGAACAGGGGGTGGAACAAATTTTTTTTAATGCAAAAATTGTTTGAATCAAGGTATACTTCTACTTTGCACATCTTTTTTTATCAAAAGTAAGCATGTAAAGAATTCTAAAGTAAAATTTACCTTGCTCCAATCTAAATTTCATTTGTTCTGCTCTATGTTTTGGTGTGTATGAACCCTTAGTATCATATTATTAGTTTTATTATTTTGTATAATTTATAAAATTCTCCAAACATATGTCAATTAATAATATTTGATTATAATGAAAAATAGGAGCAGGTTTCCTTTAATGATTACAATTTCTGTGTGGTTAATTATTTAAGTGATACAAATTCTGTTGTACCCTGGACCACTAATCTTAAAAAAGATGGATGGCGACTGTTTAGAGTAAGGTAACTAGTAACTGGCAAGACTAGTGAGGCTATAAATAAGGACTGTCTTAATTTGTATAGTTAGGATTGTTTTTATTCAGACAGGGAAGTATAGTCTGTCAGAGGTATGTTTGAGAAACAGGCATACTAAAGTAATTTTCCTTGTATAATTGATATTTGTTGATTAGATAATCTATAAAATAGGTGTATTACAAAGACCAGTGAAACTACAAGGTACTTTAAAATACTCAGATCTTATTTTGCACACCAAATTGTGTATCATTTGAAATATGGTTTATGAAATTAAGTGATACCTCTATTTGTTCTTCTGTTTCTAAAATGGCAGGCATTCTGTGATGTAACCATTCTAATTTACTGCTTGAATCCATAGTTATAATAGTGTATGAATAAATAATGATATCATTTTCTTGCCAAATGTTATACAGCCCAGCTATATATAATAGTTTGATGCCTTTCCATCCACTTTTTTCATCATAACTGTTTTGCCATGTGCTACAGTCATCAATCTGGAATTTTATAAATAATTAAAAAGCCATTTAAAAATTTATTCTTTTATACAAATAATACTTATCAAAATAATAATTACCACTGGAAACATTTACACACCAAAGTTAATAAAACAATCAGTATTTAAAATATTATTCCACATCAAGGCCTAAGAAATGTTGAAAACAAAAAGTAACTTGCAATTTTTTTGCTTAAGGTTCAACATTCACCAAAAGAATTGTCTGTTAATATATAAACAATTTTTGACTTTCTTTAAACATGTTGAGAACTGTTTAAATAAAATATTCAGAAACACAGCATGTGTTTTTATTTCTTCATGTTAATAGATTTATGATGCTACATGCTAAAATGTTGGTAGGACCAAAATATGCAAGAGTGGTATTTTTGAAGGTAGTTTTAAATATCTTACCTTTATGTGTTCTTCTTGTGGAGTGTACATGTAAAAAGGTTGCTTAACTTTATTTTTAACAGTAGTTTGCCATTCGTAATAACCCTCAACCATTATTATACATCTGCCTCCATTTAACAAAATAGGGCTATAAAGTTTTGATGTTCTTATGTTCTCTATTCGACAATTATTTGTACTTAAATTATTTGTGCGGTAGTTACCCTTAAACAAAAGGAATGAGGTATAGCATATTTTTAAGCACATTAACCAGATGATATATACAAAAAGAACAATGTTTTGATTGTATATAACTTTAAGCTTGTCTTGAATTAAGTACTATGTTACATTGGCTTTCCTTAGATTCAAATATGAGAATGAGTAAACGTAAATATGCGTTAGAAGTTTAATAAAGCTATTAAGATTTTTCGTGCATATAAATCAAAGTACAGATTTTTGTACCTTATGCCATGGAGGTATTAGCCCCCACATCATAGGCTTTAAAATTCTACTGCCTTCAATACTTTTATAATTCTTAGAAGATATTAAGACTGGCGTAACATCAGTTGGTGCAATGTTATAAGAAGGTACGTATTCTTTTCCGTCATTATGCTCGTGTAGCCATTCTGGTTTATTAAAAGAATCTTTTTTCTTATCCTTGTAACTACAGGCACAACGAAGTTGTTCTTTATTTAATGATCTAGAAAATATTTAAAATTACTCAGTATTTACTATTAGTATTACAAAAACATGACTATTATGAAATATACACACAGTCCAGTTCGACCACACATATTAAACGTTCATAAAAGTTTCAATTTAATTTGATAAAATAATCAGTGATTTAAAATTTATGTTTTCCCGCGTAATCTGGCGATAGTGCAATGTGCAAGGCAAGTCACTGTAAGTTGAACTTGAAAGTTAAATATTCGTATCCGCACTGTGACCAGCACTTGCTTGACATTGACATTATCAACTGCCCTATACAACTTTGTGCCCTTCTTAACTTTTGAAAAGTATGCACATTTAGGATTTTCAAGTATTTTTTGTCCTCCTATGGATTCTTTAACATTTCTAGCATTTATGTAAAATGAAATTGTATTTTATTTCCGTATTTTTAACCTATTTTCTCAAGTATTTATCTATGGAACATTCACTGATTTCCTTATTTCACTGGACAGGCTATAGCAGTGGTATTTTGTGCATATTTGACTTTCGCCATTTTGGCGCTAGCGGCATCATTTAATAGCGGTGGTGAAAACTCGAACTAATAATGGAGATAAAATTAACTGGAATTAACCGTCAGTAACACTAACAGGTGCGTTTATGTCGAAACAAAATAAAAGCTGTCATTTTGAAGGAAGGAAGGACCAATAGGAGGACATCATTGTCAGTAATTGACAGTGACAATTAATTTATAGAATTACGAATTTGTGATAAGATTGGATAAAAGTGGTTTGGTTGGTTAGATTGAATGAAGGCAGACGAGGGTTACCAAACAATGTCAACCCAAATTTGTTGAAGACTCCGTATGGTACTTCAACAATGGCCTTCTAACTTTATTATTTTGTGATGTTTATTCGGAAATAAAACCATGTGGAAATATGTTACGCGTCGTATACGAGATGCTTTAGAGAAGAGTGTAAACCATTTCGATAAACGTAGTTCAACAGGCGTCGTAAATTCAGCTGGAAGCACCCTTTCGGAGGAGCAAAATAAACGCATAGGAGCACCATCTTGCTGGCAAAATCCACGAAAATGTTGGAAATCGTTTTGTAATGACAACGATACTAAAAGCAAAAGGTGGAATTTTGATGATCTAAATCGCACTTGGATTGGTGCCATAACATGGGTAAATATTACTTTTGGCTATATTGAGGCAATACTTATTTTTATAATGTAGACAAATACAACTTTAACTCATCAGTTATAGATAAGTTATCCTTATTTTTACCAAAAATAGTAAAACTGTAGTTCTAAGAAAGACCATCGTTATTTTTTCTTCTCCACATATGATAAGATTATTTAATACTGGTCATTTTATTACTATTTATTTCTTTATCTTACAGAGCAGTGCTTTGGTTATTGGTTGGTACACAAGTCAGCTTATCCATCTTAAACTCAAGTACAAATGCAGAGATGATGAAAAGAAATGTTATCCCGTCAACTGTTTGCTTTCATCACTGCACCCTTATATTAATTACATCAGTAAGAGTGCAGTTGAATTGAATTCAAGCAGAAAGATCGAAAAAGCTATAGCAAGTGTACCGATACATGTACATTTGTTATCTAATGAGAACAAAACAAATGAAAAAGCATCAACCAGTGGTAGCAACAGTTCTACAAGTACTGATGATGAACTTGGAGAGGTGTTGAACTCCATAGAGAACAGACTGGGCTTAGCTGCTATTGAAAATGGACAGCATCAAGATGGCCTAAATTTGCTGAGGTAAATAACTGCTAACTATGGATTTGTGAATTAATGTTGTTTTATATTTATGTAGCTTTGTTAAGATTGTTCAATATTGATATTTTATTTTAGATCTGCAGCAAACCGTAATCATGCACCAGCCTTGTTCAATCTGGGCTTATGCTATGAAATGGGCATGGGTGTAGCCATTGATGAGAAAATGGTGAGTTTTTGATTTAAGCTGTTGAATCTTACAAATATATTTTAGTGCTTACACTAATGAAACAAGTCATTTATAAGAAGCTGTTTTTTAACAAAATCTATTTCACAATTTCCACCTTTATAGGGTAGGAGAGGGCAGTTGCCCCCCTGACAATTATGTTGTTATAAACATGAACTGCTTCTAAAATCTATATTATTGAAATTTCAGGCAATGGAGTTGTATCGCATGGCAGCTACACAGCAGCATCCCGGTGCATTGTACAATCTGGGGATCTACTATGGTCAAGGTCGAGGTGGTCTAACCAGAGACACGGCCACAGCCAAGCGACTTCTGCGCTTGGCCGCTGTGCAAGGCCAGCAAGACGCCATCAAAGCTCTGAGCGGTCTCGATGACACACCACAACCACAACCATACAATGATAAATGGGAGAGTAACTTATATTCCCCCGACGAGAATTTTGCACCAACACATTCAGTGCTTTTTGTAGAAAATACTGGACTTAATTATAATGTTTTAGTTTGTTAAGTTGATTATGTAGGTGTTGGTTGCGCATTTATATTGTTTTTTTTTTTTTTTAGAAATACCAGATTTGTCATAAACTAACATTTTATATTTTAATCATTAGTGCTTCATATTTCAAGCACCTAATAGCTGAGGTGTACAAAAGGACTGCTTGCATCTAATTTTTTCATGTAGTTATAGAAAAATTTTGCTTGTCTTATTAGACAGCTTATTAGCTACAATTTAATATGCCTAGTTTAATAAATTGTACTGAAGCATATTTGCCTCTACCCCTCAGTCATGATAATCTGTAAAACAGATCTATTGTATAGATAATAGTTTTCTTAACATTTAGCCTCGGGCAAGGTTAACTGAGTTTACAAAGTCCTGACTTTGAAATATGTAAATTTCTTTAATATTTTACATTTTTAATCACTTTCTTTTAATAATTTTTATCTTGACTAAAATTACAGTAGTTAGAATGAAATCAAATTTCATTATAGGGTTTTCTATAGTTTTTACTTAATAAATTAAATTTTACTTGAATATTTTTTGTGTTTATATGTGCACTTGTTTTTGGATATACTATTACATCAAGTATGAATTCTAATTTCATAAAAATCACTTTAAATTGAATAATTAACTGAACATAGCATGTTATTCATACTAATCTACAGTTCTGTTGTTGAATATTGAAAATTGTAATAAAAAGGTCGCTTTTACGCTATGTTTAAGTACATTACCATTTTGAAATAAATTTGGTTATATTCAACATATGATAAAAACCTAATAAAATAATTGTTAAATGTGTTGTTTTTTTCGTAATAAAACAAAAATATATTTCAAATTACGTTTATTCTTTGCCAATTTTAAAATATAAAATGCTATATATTACAAGATCCATTTTTTGTCACTTAACTTGCATTCACTATGCTAAAAACTTAACATATAAGAAATATACGAAGTTTATCCTTGTAAACACTCGCTTATAACATAGTTTTAATGTTAAACAAATTTCTCTATTTATACATTTCTTCCATACAATGGTCCTAATATTTCGCAAGAAAAATAAAACTAAGCTAATATTGGGTATTTATGGGAAAAAGGTATGTTTGTCATATATGAATAAAAGGTTAAAATAAAATGGAATATTTAAACTATAATAATAATAGTTTGCAGGTCCCAGCATATGTGAAGTCCTCTGTGCATTTGTCTCTCCAAACTACATTCCTTTGAATGCTGTGTGGCCTGTAATAATAGAACTACCGTTATACCTTTTAAACACAATTTTAATATGTTTTATGTTATTATTTAGTGTTATTGTAAAATTACTATTTGTTCAATAAAATAATCCGACTATGACACTCTGGGGCAGAATATAAATCAAAGGCACTTCCCTCCAAAATCAGCTTAGGCTACAGGAGGTAACAATGAAACTTACGTACACAAACTCTGCCCTAAGTTAGTCAGGTAAAAAAAGATTCACCTTTTAGTTAACATAATTAAATTTATACTCTGCTACACCTGGGTAGCGACTCATATGAAATTTATTACTTATATTTCTTATAAGGCAATGTTGGATAAAAAGAGAAACATCGTAACATTGTGTCAATTATAGATAGACGACACATGCGAAGACAGTTTGCTCGTTTTCCACCTTATAAAAAATGTGTAGATTATAAACAAACCTGTGTGTAGTGCTTCTAGTACTTGCGTGCGAAGTCCCTGGCGGGCGGCGCGTAGCGGTCGGGGTAGGCAGCGCCGGGCGGCGGCGGCTGGTAGGTGGCGGGGTAGCGCGCCTCGTACGCGCCGCCGTACCGCGCATCGCTCGACCACTGCTCGCCGGAGCCGCTGCCGCCGCCGCTGCTGCCTATAACAACAATATTATTATTTAACAATATCTCTATATTGGCGGTATAAAAGGCACACCAAATTATAGTAAACTAACTTATACTTGTCCACGTTAAATTAGTAATAAAAATATAGCATATGTTACTCACAGATAAATTACCATTCCAACGGTAAAAGAATTTTTTAAATCGGCCAAGTTATTTTTGAGTTACTTCAAAAACAAAAATACAAATCTTTCCTCTTTATAATATTAGTGTAGATATAATAATATAACATGCCTAGTTTAAAAAATGAAAATCTTAATGAGTATTTGCTTTTATACCCCTCATATCCGATTTCACTTCACAGAGAGACAAAAAATTTGATTGAAAATTACTTTTCCCCGCGACTTAGTGAGGACGAATAGATAAACAACTTGGATAATCGAGTGTACTATAAAATGTAATATGAATTTGAAACTGATTAAGCATTAAGAAAAGCAGTCTAGACAAAAATGAGATCATCATTCAAATATAATAATGTGATGTAAATAAATGCTACATCATCATGAAATAAGATAAAAGAACATATCTTATTTTTTAACTGACACAATAAGATTAGGCGATTTGCAAATATTATTAAAATTATCAGCTATTATCTTATCAACAATGTTTTTCTCAAAAGAGATTCTTGTGGAGTTTACAACATACAGTTTAATGGGTAATTGAAAAAAGTACTAAAAAGGCTTAGTTAGATATGCAATTAATGTAATAATGAATTCTAATAAATTTGTTTCTCAAATATTTTACCTTTAACAAATACCAGCTTTTCACCTGCGACACCGTCACCGTAGAATTAAAAAAAAAAGCTTAGGGCCTGTCCCATCACTGGCTGATAGAGGCTCAGATAGCTTAATAGTGACGTCGCTGTCATAGAGTACCAAAATCCGATATTTCCATCACATATTGTATCATGTTGGATTGTTATCAAACAATTTACAAGAATTGTGGGACAGGCCCCAAGTCAGAAATGAAAATAAAGAGTCCATAGACAATTCTAATGATTGTGTGTTTCCCAGATGTTTTAAGCTTAAGAAATATTAGAGAAAAATAAATAATCAGTATGTAGGTAGAGGTAGGGGTACCTTTGGGTGGCGGCGCGGTGTCGGGGTAGCGGCTGGAGGTGCTCCAGCTGCGGGGCTCGGGCTTGCCGGGCGGCGACGGCCGGTACGACCGGCTCTCGCGCGACTCGTACGACCGGCTGATATAAAATATATAAATAACCAGAAATACGCTGTATATTAATACTTCCTAAACATTAGTAATAATCAAATATAGCCTATGTTACTCACAAATAAATTACCTTTTTAATGGTGAAAATTTTTTAAAATAGACTCAATAGTTTTTGGGTAAATCAAATACATACAAATATACAAATCTTTCCTCTTTATAATATTTGTACAGATCACACAAGAAAAGGCAAATTTTTAAAGAAAAAGTCAAAATAACGCAATACATTTATCTTCTACATAAATAAACAATTACTCAAAATATTAATATACATCTTAACTGCATTTTGTAATGGTTTATAATAAAAACTTTGCTCACCTTGGCTCTTTAGGCCTAGTGCCGGGAGGCATTGGCTGCCTGGAGTCATCATTAGCGCTGCCATTGCTCGGGTATTTCATATTACTAGCTGTTGGAGAAAATAAATGAACAATCACAAAATAGATAACACTTTAAATATATACTGTTGAAATAAAATTTAAACAATCTTAAACTTTTGCATTCTTAAGTGCAGTTTACAATCGGACAGATACAAAAATATGATATTACAAAAAGGTGATATTTTACAAAAGCAAATCATGCTGAATTTTCATAAAATTAGCTTTACATTCTTATGAAATTTTTCATTGTTTTTATATTTTTTTCTAATAGAAATAAATAACGACTCAAAAAAAACTGTATAACATTATAAATAAGATCATTTCGTATTTTTTAAAAGTAACTTTTATTAAATAGAGGCTTTATTCGCTATTGTAAAGTATTAGTTAAGCGTGGCCTTATCATTAAAAGTATACATGTTTTGGTAACATCAAATGTTTCAATATCCGACTGAGTAAGAGCGCGTCTTTGACTAAACTATCTCACAACTGTTTAGTCGCGCTTTGATACCTATGAGCTTACATCGAGGTGTGCAACTAAACTGAATTTGCTGCGAAACAATCGACAATCGCACAACGTTGTGCGATAGTTTAGTCAAAGATGTGCGCCCGCTGTAAAAGTTAGTAATAAAAAAATAGTCTGCTCACAGGAGACGTGTCTCGTGTAGTCGCGTTTATAGTCTCTGTCGCGGTCGCGTTTGTCCGGCGCGCGCTCGTACGCCGGCGCTAACTCGAAGCGCGGCGGCGGCGGCGCCTCGAACTGCACACAACATATATACACACACATACAAATAACCCCTATACTTTGTCTAAATAACATTGATTAGTTTGACAATTTAGTAGGGATGGTTTGTATAAAGTCAGACATGAATCTTTTCGATTTTTATTCTTATTGAAATTGGAATCGATAGATTTCATACTTATAACAAATGAATAAAGAAAAAACTGTTTTCTCAAATTAATAGTGACCTGTAAAACCATTACAAATAATAAGAGTATATAGGTAAATATTTATTACTACTACAGCTGTACGTAATCGAATTGGATTTCGCTAATATTATCATCGTTAAATTCTCTACACTATAAACAATACTAGAATTGTCCTCTAAATCAGTTATTAAAAAAATAATGATTTTAGTTAAGTCGGATAAATTTTATTTAAACTAAGTATTGATAGTTCAGAATTGTTCGCAATGAGTGTTTCGTCACTACGATACGTGTCTACGTGTGTGATACCCTTCTTTTATCAGACTAATCTATCTTATTTAGACAAACTATAATATTAAAACCAGTCCTTTAATAACCACTTTAGTAATCCCTTAGTGTAAATTTCTATAAATGGGGCATTTCAATTCTGGCAGATCTAAGTCTTTTGCTCCAGTCCAAAATGTTTGAAACCATCGTTACTTAGTGGTCATTAAATGACTTTAAAGTATTTTAACAAAAACAGATTTTAATACATTGATGCTATTTTATTGCCATTTGCTATATTTCACTCATCAGATAACCCTAAAATTGTTTTTTTAAATACATTTGTTTAATTTAACAATTCTGGCAACATAAGAAAAAAAATATGGAATTCAAAAGCTCGTTTTAAAAGTAAATAAAGAGTATACTTGCCAATTTTAAGTACTTATTAAATGGTAATTTGAGTTTCCGAACTGATGCTTACATGCTTAGGTTTATTGGAGCGAGGGATGTTGTTCTGCGCGGGAAAAATGACAAATGTCAGCTTTTACACAGATTATGTATCGTATTACATGACATCTAATAAAGTAACAGACTATCTATTTAATACATGAAAGTTATGTGAAATTTTGTTAATGAATGTCTCAAATACTACTAAAAATGTGATGTAAATACTTTATAGTACACTATATAGATGTTGGCACCGACCTACATAAATGGACAGGCTACAAGACATATTTTGAGTCTATTTGATTTTTGTAATCGGCGTCGTAGTTGATCACTGTGAAGATTTGAACTTAAAATAGAGATAGAACTATACTATTAAAACATCAACAGGCCGCTATCAAATTGTAACAAAGTAAGAGCTGTCCAAGCAATTACCTGTCCATTTATATAGGTCAGTCAGTGGATGTGATTGAATGATATGAAATGGATTCTTACACGCTGACTAAAGCATGTGTGTAGAATAACTGTTACATGAGTGATCAAGTTACAAATTAAGAATGTTTAAGTTATTGCTTATTTATGAAAGAATGTTAAGTATGTTAAGTATTGCTATGGACCATGTGAATTTACATACAATTTCATATGTAACGTCATAAACGTCAGAAGTTAATACTGAATTTGAAGTTGAGTATTTTCATTATAATAACTTATTTATTTGCTTAAAATGTAAGAGTAACTTCTATAAACATTTATATTTTAAGGTAATTTAGTCGAGTACTGAGTAATGTAATAGCTAAAATAATCTACTACCTAAAATAGTTCACAATACTGTCGCTGTATAGTACTGTAAGTGGTATTTGCTAATCAACATTAACATTTACTAATCACCTCGAGTATTCAATTAAATTCCAATCATAGTGCGATTCTAGAGTTACATGTGTGACTATAGAAACTAGACTACAGTAGGCCCACAGGAATGACGTGTGGGGTGTTTTCTGATGGGCCAGTTGGCGCACCGATCGATCGAACTATTGTGAAATACATATATTTTTTTATTTAATATAAGATATTAAATAAAAAAATATATTACGAGCAAACGAGGAAGCGGTCACCTGTATCTACCTAAATGGAAAGCGATCGCTGCCCATAAACATCCGCAATTGCAGATGCGTTGCCTAATTGACAGAGGAGTGGGTCTCCTCCGTCAATTAGGCAACAAGAAGACATTTCCCCTTCCTATGCATCTCCTCCACTGTCATATACACTTTTCCTTCCCATCCTTTCCTCTTAAGCAAAAGGTGGAAAGGGAAAGGGACTAAAATTAGGCCTCTGGCACCAACAATATTTCTCACTGGATCGAGATTGTACGGTTTTGAATGGCACAGTGGAATAAAATCCCATTGGGCGATCGATCGGTGCACCATTTAGTCCATCGGGAAACACCCGTCATGTGTATAGTGTGTGTGTTTGTGTGAGAGGTGGTTTACCATTGGCGGTGGCGGCGGCCGCTTGTGTCGTGTGTCCCTCTCGCGCTCGTAGGCGGTGTCTGGCGGCGGGCTGGCGGCCGGCTTGCGGTACGCGGCGCCCTCGTAGCCGCGCTTGCGACGCTCCTCCTCTAACCTAAGCATTAGGCATTCCTTTTCATACAAGATTAAGTTTTTCTCGCGTGAAATAAAAAAAATAGCCTACGTTATTCATAGATAATAAAACTTTCTAAAGGTGAAAGAATATTTAAAATCGACCCAGTAGTTTTTATGGGAATTGAATACAATATTACAAATCCTTGAATGTATTCGATTACTGTAAGTCAAAAATTAAAAAGAATTTAGATATTTTGAGTGTCAAGAAAACTGCAAAAAAAATTCGATTTCACAAGATATTTGAGAAGTGAAGTATTCAATGATACCGGAATGAGAATTCCAAGATGCCATTGTATTTAACTAACTTCGAATTAGTCAGATTTTAGAAATTCGAGTTTTTTATATTACTAACAAAATAGTATAATATACTGTATGGACACAATAAATGTACCAACCTCAGTTGTGCTCTCTTCAGCTCCAATCTCTCCAGTTCTAACTTCTCACGCTCCAATCTATGTCTTTCTCGTTCTAAACGCAACAGTTCATTCTTTTCTCGTTCGATCTTCTCTCTGAAAGAAAAAAAAATACGATTTTTCTGCTGTTCATGGCTTTGATTTCCGCTTTCCTAAAATAGTCTCCAAGCATCTCAGTGGGGTGATGATGGTGATGATTTTAATTACAGCTTAATGTTTGATCACATCACACATATGGGGTTAAAGGGGGGGGGAAATATTACCTCTCCGAGCGTAGCTTTTCCCTCTCGATAGCGAGGCGGTGCTTCTCCTGGCGCTGCCGCCTCTCTCTCTCCCGCATGGCCTCCTCCGCAGCGCGCCGCCTGCGCTCCTCCTCGCGAGCGGCGCGCGACCTCTCCCTCGCACGCGCTACATCTCGCTCTTTCTGTTGCAAAACATTTCTTTTACCACTGGAAACTAGTTTACTGGCTAAGGGATTTCAGTGTAGATGTAAAGGAGGTGCACAATTTTGAATAAACAATCGCACGACTGTTGTGTGATTGTCGATTGTTTCGCAGCCAATTCAACTGTTTATTGCACAACTAAAAATCGAGTAGTGTGCGCAACGTGCGCGTGTTCGATAATTTAGTCAAAGGTGTGCGCGCGCCCTAAAATTCTATACAATGACAATGGAATATAGCAATTAGTCTTTATTTTAAATTTCGTTTTTTGTATTTCAAAGCGTATTAAAAAGTTTTATATAAATGGAAATTAAAAAGTATTTATCAAATGTATATTTAAGACGGTAGCTTACCCAAATCTTAGAAAACGAGAGTACTTCTCTAGGCGACCGCCTGCGCTCGCGGCTGCGAGTACTGCGCCGGGCACGATCCTTGGACCAACGTAATATTTTTTTCATATTAATATTAGAAATGTTTTGTATTGTAAGTAATAATGCTGAAGAAATTCAATCTATCCATGCAAAAATCCGAAAAGGTACAAAAACGACAATAGCGGCAAAAACGCAAGATTGCTATGGTAACAGTAATTGTTAGCCAATTTCATTCATTGTTAAAAGAATTTGAATGTTGATTAGCAAAACAAAGCTTTATTGAACGTAAATAAAAAAATAACGTTTTTAAACATGGAAATAAAGCCGTACGGGAAAGTTAGTCAACAATAAAGTGTGTTTACCTTGTCAGATCTGTGCGATTTCTCCCTGGTACGAGAAGTGGATCTATTACTCTCCGCGCCGGACACATCGCCTTCTTTTGTAGTCTTCGGATCTCCAGACTTCTCACCACCTTCTTTATTCTCCTAAAAGACGGATAAAGTATTTAAATAATTGTTATTTTGCACAGAATTACCCTAAGTCACTCCCGGATATCAGCTACCTTCTATTGAAAGTCCCATCAAAAATCCAGCCATTTTGATAATCAGGAACAAATGCAGACTTGGACTTTTTATTAAAGAACTAGCTGTTAGCATGTGGCTTCATCCACGTGAAATTATGAAATTTTTATTTAATGTTTGCATTTGTCAAATTATCAATTGCAAATGTCAAAATGATATAATATGTTGACAAACCATAGCAATCTTGCTTCCTTTGATGTTGGTAGCTTGTGGCTTAAGGTCCCTATCCTACATAAGGGTTTTTATCCAATTTATTTACCCCCTAAGTTTAATAGCGTGAAAACATATAGCCTAAGCGACGTAAATATAGTGCTTTTTATTAAAGAAGGAATTATTAAAAAATATGCTGTGATTGCTCACATCTTACGCCACAAAGTATTGTGTGTTTATTATATTAGTATAGAAGATTTATTTTTAATATGCATTAATTGCCAACATCCTATGTCACAAAGTAGTATTAACGCTGTATCATATTAGTACAGAAGTAATATAGATTACCTCTTTTTCCTTATTATCGTCCTTGCGGTCCTTGCTGGGTCTGCGCTCAGTGCGCGGCGCGGTCTGCCGCCGAGATGCGGACTCAGACTCCGACTTGGCCTTCTCCACTGATATCATGCGTCCATGCAGCTCTGCAAGTTCATTTTATATTATATTAACATTTTATATTTACATATTAACTTTTTATATCATCATCAACATCAGAGGCACTACAGTTGCGGGTGGGCCTGGGCCTGGTCCAGTAAATTCCTCCTTACGGGCCTATCTTGAGCTTTTTCTTTCCAGCCCTTAATGCCAACAGATTATATACCTTTATCAAACTTACAATGTCCTAATATAGTAAATAAAATGAACAAGATTTATTTTATTTATTTACTAGCTCTACTCGCGACTCCGTCCGCGTGGAATAAAAAGTGTAAATAATCTATGTGTTCTTCCAGACTATCTTTTACATCGGTGCCAAATTTCATAGAGATCCGTTTAGCCGTTTAGGCTACAAACTCTAACAAACATCCATCCATCCAGCTAAACTTTCGCATTTATAATATTAGTAAGATTTAACACTAGCTATTGCTCCCGTCTTCGTCTAAGCGAAATCAGAAATTTCCTATGGATAAATATAGCCAATATCACTCAGTGATAATGTAGCATCTTAAATGCGAAAGAATTTATGAAATGACTCCAGTTTTTGAGATATTCCAGTACATATAAAAATACAAATTATTCCTCGTTATAACATTTGTTTAAATAAACAAGGTTAAACATGTAAAATACGTAATTTCAGTATTTTTAAGTAGTAATGACTACAAGTAACAATATATTTACCAGTTCTGTGGAGGTTTTTAATGCAATTTTCAGCATCTTGAGCACTGGCCATTGTCACATAGCCATAGCAGCGGGAACCAGGAGTGCGGGCATTTGTAACCACTTTCGCTCCAATTACCTTGAAATTAAAATGACATAAATTAAATAAAAGAGAATTCAATATTATTCAAATTTATACAAACCAAAATTTGTATTTAGTATATAGCACCATAATAAAAAAAAATATAAGAAATATGACCTTAGTTTTTTTAGTGGATAATCTTACTAGAATTATACATAAATGCCAAAATTCAGATGAACGAATGGATGTTAGAGTTTGTGGCCTAAACAGCTGGACAGATCTTGATGAAATTTGGCATAGATGTAGAGCAAAGTCTGGAACAACCCATAGGCTACTTATTTTGTTTTTTTTTTTTAATAGCACGCGGGCGAAGTCCCAGGCGAAAACAAGTGAAGTGATAAATTACGATGCAAAAGGTATTTCACTTCATACATTTGGTATTTGATTAGTAACAAAAAATCTAACATTTCCTTTACAATTGTCTAATTGTGTTCGAAAAATGCTTGTTACTCACCTTGCCATGTTTGCTACAAAGCTGCTTCAAGTCCTTAGCACGCGTGTCGCCCGACAGTCCGCTGACCCACAGGTTGCGCGCCCCCCCTTCCTTGCTATCGTCCTTCTTGCTGCTCTTCTCGCTCTCATTGTCCTTGACTTTGTCATCTGTTGATAAATACAAACATTTTATTGGTAATAGTTAATTACAAGTCACAATGAGAAAATTGTACAGATATTTTATATTAAAATTATGTATAGATTAAGTAAATCATTGTAACAGAAAATAAAAAATCTTGACACTATAGGAAGGAGAGAGGAGAAACTTTTCGGATAAGACTTCAACATGAATGTTTATATTCAATAAAATCAGTGTCAACATTTCATCCCACAAACTCATCTTGCAACTACACTTTAGTATGTAAGACCCATAGTTCTCATTATTTTGTTAACTTAGTAAAGAATGCATTTCACAATGAAATTGTATATTTTTTTTACTTTTAAATCAAATATCCATCACATATCGTACCTTTTGATTCCTTTTCACTCCTTTCATTGTCATTACTGGAAAAAAAATATTAAGTTTAGCAACATGTATAAATAATATAGAAAACGTCTTGAACAACATAACTAAGGTGCAAATAAACTTAATTTGAGACATTTGTTTATAGAACACACACAACTACAAAGTTTTGCACCAGTGTTTCCACGGAGTTGATGCGACGAAACGCGATGTTCACAGCTGCGGCTGATGCACGAAGACGATAGCCCGCTGCTGCTCAGGATGTTGGTCAGATCTTGCTGTCAGCATTGAAGCTTCAGATGGCCACATTTGCTCATTGCCTTTACATACAGAAAGATGCGAGGTGAAGAAATGTCCATGCAGCATTGTTGATCTCCGATGTAGTAATCCCTCTTGGTGGTGCAAAACTTTGTAGTGATAGACGAGTATAAAATGAACGTATAATAATCGAAGTTTAGATGCGCGCGGGCGTCGCGACGGCCATTCGACGTTCACCAACCTAGTGGCCGGGGCTTCTGTGTTTACTTGTTGTTGATTTTCAGCTGGCACGGTGTCTGCGGCCGCCGCGGAGCTGTTCGCAGTCGACTCGTCGGCCGCCGTCCCCGCCGCGTCCTCATGCGCCGGTTCATCTAAGTCAGTACCGACGGTCAGCAAAGGCAGCGAGAGCAGCAAGCCAGCACGAGTCGCTCGCTGGGAGCGGCTCGCCCTGTTCTTCCGTCTTCTATAACTACTTGCACTTTGCACTTCAAATATTTCACAGTGAGGATAACAAATCTTGACCTGAAAACTTGATTTGATATTAGGACCACGGCCTTTACTGGAAACATGGAGCGATAGTCACGGCTTCCACAACAACTGATATGTTTGTGTGGAACACTGGAAAAGAAGTGTCTGTTACAACTAATTGGAGATAACCACCTTAACAATGCTTTAAATAATTCTCATTGTACATTTGATATTTCCTTTAACAAATGCTCTCAGGGGTTCTTTAACTTTCTCCTCTTCTGTCAATATTCCCATCTGAGTCTGAAGTTTTACCACTGATTCTCCTTTGAAATTGTTTTTCTTCATTTCAATGTTTCTCTGCTCCTATACCAGGTGACACTTCACAAAATTGTTCATTACATTAATGTTGTATGGAGGTATGTGGTAGATTTTACATTAATCTGGTTTTAGTTTCTTTTTGTAATGACTATTGAATAAAATATGGTTACCTATTTTGCACTAATATATTACATTGAAAAACTTACCTTTTTTGATTTTTGCAGGATTGTCAGTCTGAAATAAAGGGAAAAATACATGAATTTGATGTGTTAGAATATACATTGCATTTAACTTAGTAGCATAAGATGAAATACACTTTTAGATAGTCAACTTAACAATCTAAGTTAGCTCAGTGACAATTAAAAGAATAGAACATTGTCTAAACCAAATACTTTATTAAAATAAAGTTTTTTTTTTTATCTATTGTATTAATCTACTTCCATCATATACCCATTGGAGATTTTGGGAGCTTTTAGGGGTAGTGTAACATTCACTTTGAAGACATAAAAACATACCTCCTCATTCAATAATTCGTCATCGCCAATATCTAGATTTATACTGTCTTCAGCATCTGTGTTGTTCTCAATTTTATGATCGTCTTCTGTTTTAATTTCTTTGTCCATGCAAGCTTTCTTTGCTTGTGTAGCTTCAGAGTCATCCTTCATATCTCTTTTTCTATTAGTTTTGCTGGTGTCAACATCCATTTTTTCCTCGGATTTCTCTATTTTCTCTATGCTTTGAGTATCCTGGTTTATTGCAGGTGTTTGTTCGTTGTCGTCGTCGTCACCAGCTGTATCTTGCACAATCATATCCTCTATAACAGGAGTCTCCTCTACATCCGGTTCTTTGGCACTCTCAGTGCGTCTACTTTTCTTTACTGGCGTTTTACCATCTGCTGTGGTTAACTCAAATTTGTATGTGGCAGGATCATGTCCTTCCTGCTCCAAGTGCTGCACGAAAACAACATTAAAATTTACATTTATTGCTTTTATTATCATCCCATTGGCATTTTACATTATAAATTGTCTTTAAGTCAGTATCGTCCATGGAGAATAAATTATTTCCTATTTTATTGACTATGGTTAAAATTATTAACAGACAGAAACTTCAAGCAACGAAAAACATTTTTATCGAAAACTAAAATTTGGTTTACTAAGTTTTTATTGTAATATTATTCTCATTAATTGTTTTTATCAAGTTATTTACCTCACTTAAACGCTGAATAAGCACACTACGAATACCGGTCTTATCCAGGTTACGCTTTTCCAATTCTACGCGTAAGTCTATCACCCTTAGCTCCTCTAGTAGTCTTTTTCGGTCCGACATAGCTTGTTGTTATTTTGGGAGCAATTCTAATAATAACTTGGGAAGTTCGGTATTAATTTCAATGCTAGAATTAAAAACCCGTTAAAACTCACAGACGATACCAATGCGTTTCACGAAAATCACCATGACCCAAAATGGCGGAAAACAAGAAGAAACAAAGACAATTTTAATTTTTGTCGGAAAATGAATGATGATTTATCACCATTTCGTTCAATCTTTACTCCACTTTTCTTTATGGTACTTTTTCAAAAATTCGCGATAGTGGAATTTTACCACAGTACTTTTATATTTCAGTAAGAGTATTTTTAAATATCTTGGCGGCCCTAGGTCATCGGCACGTTGCACTCTCCCTATCCTCCAAATCCCTTCGCCCTGCCACACCTAAAATTGTCACACGACAGCACAGCGACTCATACGGTGTTCCGAGTTCTTTTCAGCTATCTTGGTGGTTAATTGAGATGTTATGTAGATATCACTGTAGGTGCTATAATTAGTGAGTAACAGGTCTATGTAAAGTTTATAATTCAAAACTCAACTAAATATGGGTCAAGGACTGAACTAGCAACATTAGTTTTATATTAATAATTTGTCTGTGGTTATTTGCTTTGCCTTGCTTTGATTTATTGTCAAAGTCAAGTGATATTGACATAACACATATTATATTTGCTTTAATCAGATTTAATAATTTATCAGTTATTGCGAGTGAACTTGGTAAAATATCCTTCTTAATTAACCCATTTTTATTAACATATATTGCGACAACGATGAATTTAAAAGCAGAAGGTAATATAAAAATATTGTCGAATACTTGAAATTTACTTTAACTTTGAGCATTTACCTTGACTTCATTTCGTTCTGAATATTGTTTGGATAAAAGAGGAAAACTGCACGACACTTTACTGTAACTGATCATGTGTCACCATCGTATTAATACGAAATTAAATTTTAGGTATCACTGATGAACTGGAAATGGATACTGTTTGTGATTTGTTGGATAAAACTTTACTTCAACAACTACATTTGATGGAGGAGAAAATGAAATATGAACTTATTATGGAATCAAACATTAAACATGGTAGTATACATCTTGCCAAGTCCAGATATATAATGGGCCAAACTTCAGTTAGCACTACAAGATTACCCGTAGAAAACAGTCCAGAATTTTCTGCATCAACTGTTTGTGAAGAAACAGTGATAGATAATAACAAGCAACTCCAAGTTGTAGAAAATAACGACAGTAATACAGTAAACCCCTTACACTGGTTTGGTATATTGGTGCCTCAAAACTTACATGAGGCAAAGAAAGTCTTCCGGAGAACCATAGATGTGGTTGTGGACTGCATAAATTTGCAATTACGTTTACTAGAGAACATGAAGAATATGGAAGCTTTGAAACAGTATAAAAAACTATTATTGAATGATACACTTTAAATTTTCAGTATTAATAAAAGATAAGTTAAGATAGATATGATAGTGTACACAATACTAATATTCAATGTACAATGTAATTCAATTTGTTAGCATTTTATTAAATTTAAAACTTAACCTTTAATTTTTTTTTTCAACATAACTACTATGATTTTATAATATGGGTGGTTTCAAATTATGAGTTTTCAACAAGTTTGAGGGTGCAAAAATCACTTTTATATAAGGAAGAAATAATCTTACAGCAACAATGATGGGTGTTTTTTTGCACGCCATTTATTTATGCTTGATCACTACTGTCCACTGTCAAACTGTTCTGGCATAATGTAAACCAGGTATAAGGTATAGAAGGAAGAGGGTTAATAAAAACATTTTTTTTTAACAGCCATCTATTTTGATTTTACACAAAATGTTAAAAACATTGAATCCTTGTAATATTTGCGGATGTTGCGTAAAAATGGAATGGATTCAATTTATTTTATTCACAATTGAGATAATTACAAAATGATTTTTAATTGTTTTGTTACCATGCTTCAATACAAAAACATGTATGCATCATTTTGATATATTTAATACTTATTTTAAACTTTCGTAACAAATTATTACATTGATAGCGCTAATTTTTGAGGCACGCGGTTGTACCTGGCGAAACTATTTTTACATTAACTACAAGAACAAGAAGGAATGATTTTCTCTTTCGTCAATTTCATGTTAAATGATCACAGCTTATTTATTGATGCAAAATTATGTCATACTACTCGTTTTATTATCATAATCTGTGGAGAACAGTTTATAAATAGTTAAACATGTAACATTAAAGATGTGGAACATTTTTCATTGAACTCTGATGCTTTTTTTTTCTTTTTTATTGCACATTTTACATTTCTAAAGCTATTGTTTATAGTAATTTGAATTATTAGTAATCATTAAGATTTGTTTCTATTACACAAAGATAGCATACAAAATAATTATTATGGAATATTTTTTAAAATAATAAGTGAATGGAATTAAATTATGGCAAGAAAAATTTTTTCATGTTAAATAAATATTCTTAGTTTTTATGTAGGAATCTTTTTTACTTTTTTTTTATCTCTGAATTGTTCGATGATAATAAAACATGTAATATAAATAATCGTCTGACAATATTGTTTTGTGCTATTAAGTACAATCATTACAATAACCTATTAAGGTAAACAGGAACAATTTAAAATTATCTAAAGACAAACTTAATTATGCTTATAAATCTACATATTTACAAATAATTCAAAGTTAGAAAACCACAATAACACAACATATAAAATAACTACTTAATTAACAGAAGAAAATACTTCTTGTAGAAGTCAAATATAAATTAATAACAAAATGCAGAGTTATTTTGTGCGATATTTATTATTGACAATAATATTCTCTTGAATAATATTGTTGAAGTACAGAGCCTTGACTAGACATTATGTTGAGCTTTGGCAAAGAAAACAACGATTAAAAATAATACAAGAAAAAAAAAGACCAAGTGGAATAAACCGTTTTTATAAAAATGTTCAGAGAAATTGGCTCAACTACTACAAGAATCATAAGGAATGCCTCACACACTATCATACTATGAATTAAAGTATTATAAAGAAATCACTCATAATCATGAATTACAAAAAAATGGACAAACCCACTCAAAACAGACAACACTTATAAAAAAAAGGTAACTACTCAGTAGTCTATTAAAATTAAGTAACAAACAAAAATGTAATTTACAGTGTATTGTTTTTTTTATTTTCTTGAATGTCCAATGGCACTGTTCACTTTTACAGTCTGTTTCATATTATTTTAACCTTACAAATCAAAGAGCAACCAACAATATGTTTATTTACATATTAAAATATATAACTAATTCCAGTATTTTCATTACATTTTATTAACTAATAAGAATAAATTATTCAACCACAATCATCATGAACACGGACGCGAAAATGACATTTCTGAGCGACAAGGAATGTTTTTTTATTTTATTCAAATACACATCACTATTAACAAGAATTGCTTACAAAATCTCACGGAAGCCAACTACAAGCAATTATTGGCCATACTTCACGATAAAGTCTATTTCTAATTTTTTTTTAACATTACGATTTTCCTTTTTTTCAGTCCATGTACTAAGGACGTTTAATGACTGTATTCAATGTTTTAATAAAATAACTGAATTTTACTTTATGTTTATTATTTGAATTGAACCTAGGTGCAAAAATAAAGGCTGGTCAGTTTTTTTTATCGAATTTTATGGTTCTATTATAACTTTTATTCTATCTAATATACCGATATAACCTGACGATATTTACTGTTCAATGGTTTTGACTAGGACACGTTTTTCCTACTAATCCTCCTAAACCATTATATTCCATGCAATATTTCTTTGGTTATTTACTCGTATTTTTCTCATTTCGACGAAGTTTTCAAGTATATTGCTCTAGATTTGGACTTGCACGTTTATCTAATAACAATATATTTAAATCCACATACTACAAAACTAATCATTTTGTCACCATACTCCTTTTTATAATCAATTATTAATATTCCAAACATATTTAGCCTTGTCTTTTATACGTATTACATTTTTAAATTAAGCCTGGTGTAAAATTCAAATGTTATACGCCAATATGAACATATGCTATAGAATGGTTCGTCAGTTTGTCTTACGATGTCATGAAACATTATGCTTGTGCATTTTTGGTGTTGCTAAAATCAAGATATTGTGCGTTACGTTACGCATTTAGATGTGTTGTTCTAAACCAGATCTGACCAAATTGTTAAATAACAAATATTATATACCTATGGTTTATATATTTGTATATAAATGACCTATATGGTACATTAGATCCGACTATGCACAATCTCTGGAACTTTGTCGTATTAACAAATTAAACTAGGTATATTTGCCTGTGCCATTTTTCCTGCTAGCTTACGAGCCTGACGCTCTATAGTTGCCTGCGTTAGCCTTACCTGGTGTAAGACGTTAGCCTATGTTTATTTTAGCTCAGTAGAAGCGGTACGCACTAGACGAGATCCCTGGCCGGTGCGCGCCAGTCGCCGCGCGTGCACGCCGCGCCGCGCCACCACGCCTGCACGTCCGCGTAGTGCGCGCTGCGCTGCCGGCGCGCGTTCGCGTGTACCATCGCGCACACGCGGCAGAAGAAGTACGTGTTTATGAACTCACCTGTACCCTGCAATTTAAAGTTTAGTGTTAGATACAAACAAATGAAGACTAATTTTAGAACCAATATTAAGCGCCGCAACGAGTTAAATCAAAATGAATTCAAATAGTCAAGAAGTTTTTGGGCGTTGGTCGTGTGTCTTAAGTACTGATTTTATGAATGTTTTAAAGAAAATTAAAAATTAATAAATTAGATTAAAAAAAGAAACTGATTTATTCAAAAGAAAAGGTGCTCATTCGACACATGCTGTGTTTTATACCGCAGCGCCGGTTTTCAATGAACCTGAAAATGGCATTAATGCTCTTTCGGTTAATTAAAGGAACTGGCGCAATTAGCCATTTAATAGTTATTAGTTAGTTAAATAGTGTAAGATTTTCGTTAAAAATTTATAACGCTCTGATTGCCGCGTTGAGATTTTTTATATAATCACTAAGAAAACGTTTTAGTGTAGATTTCCCATACTAGATATACACTAATTATCACACAAGGAGTCTGAATGCGGTAGTTAGTGTGGTAGTTCGCTTACCTTCCATTTGAAGTATGAGTTATACAGCGTGTCGTCTTCGTCGAGGCGGTGCAGGTAGGCGGCGAGCTCCTCGGGGCCGGCGAACTCCTCTACATGTATGTAAGAGTTGTGCGGCGCCACCGCCGCGTACTCCGCCGGACGTGCGCCCATCACTATTGGCAGCACGTTGTGTCTGATACACAAAGGTTATATTTTATTAACATCCTATTTGAGAGATTAAAACGGTAATGTTCTTCGCAGATCATCATCATCATCACCTCTCTGTTCACTCACTATATGTCAACACTAAGGGGCTCAGAGCCTACTCTAAGTTAGGGTAACTAGGTCTTAGTCGACCACGCTGGCGCACTGCGGATCGGTTCATTTCACACATGTTTTGAATTTCGTCGCCGCTATGTGCAAGTTCTTCACAATGTTTTCCTTCACCGTTGAACGTCGGGTAAATTATGTACAGATGAAATTCAAAAATAAAAAATCACATTAGTACATCGTAAGATTTGCACCCCGGACCTGCGGATTACAAGTTGTTAATGGTGGACTGTATATTTGAATGATATCGACTTGTAGTTAACCAGTTTATTATATAATAGAAAGATACAATAGATAAATAAACGCCGGTACGGCCGGTGTTGCAGTAAGACGCAACACAAGTTAAGTGCTGAAACCCTGAGCCACCGACGTCTCTAAGTTTAGTATATCAATGATCACATTATAACTCACTGCAATCCGTTGACGAAGAACTTCTCAGTGATATAATCTCGACAGTTAGAGTTTTCGAATGCTAGATAGAACTTGTAGTCGTTGTCCAGCATCTCCAGACAGTTGGGGTCTGCGCGCGGGCAGTGGCGCGAGCCGCACGCTCCGTAGATGTCGACGGAGATGTGCTTGGCGAGCTGCCGCGCGTACTGCAGCCGACGGTTGCGGGCGTGACAGTTAGACACGAACCATGCCACCTATAAATAATATGTGAAGATCAATCTTTTTATATTCTAGCAGAACAACGATGTTACGAAACATGATGAATATAAGGAGAAAGATGATGAAAAGCTTCATCGTTCAAGATCAATTACTGGTCTGTAATTTTGTGGTGAAAATCACAGTTAGACTTGCTTCCCGATATTAATAGAAATATTTTTAGTCCATTCCAGTCCTTACCTTTTTAGTTTTGTTAGCGGCGTAGTTTCTATCGAGCTGGTTGTCAGTGATACGCGGGTCGTGGTAGTGCCAGCGCTCGTAGGGCGCCACGATGTCGGAGTCGCGCCTGTACGTGGCCGTCCAGTTGAACACGTCGAGTGCGGCCGGCCGCAGCGACGCCGTGTGGTACGGACACTCCAAGTAGTACAGGATCCAGATCTAACACGTTAAGTAGAATTTATAATCAAATGCTTGTATAAGTAAAATTGAGACTAGATAAACGTAGAAATAGGAAATGACTAGTTGAAGACTTCGTAAAGTCGTACATAATTCCTAACGGCACAAATATTTTCAAATTTTTCTGTAGAACTGGACGAAATTTCAAAAATATGCAGATATTAAATATGTATATCGAAGTATGATGATAAGTTCAAGAAATAAGTAATAACAAGAATCAACTGTTCCCAATCGGAAGTAAAATATCGGTATAAAATTCTTGATAGAGGAAATCATAAAAATATTAATAATACATAAAAACGTAAAATAACTGAAGGACTAAACAAAGTTTGTTAATATTGGTGTTAGTAATCTTAGTGATAAGATATCAAGAATTAGTGGCGGTTTACATTGAGTGTTAATTATCTAATCATAGTTGGCAAATAGTGTGGTGCCTTGATTAATAAATACTTTTAGACATTACTGAACGGTCAATTATTGCAAATTGAATTCCTTTTTAATAGTTGCAATTTTTTGGCATGGTTAAGGTAACTAGATTCCTACCTTTGGAAATAAATCTACTTGATATGTCTCCAAACTGCACTTTCACCCACTTCGGGAACATTAAATTGACTACCTTGTAACTCTGTCACATACTCGTAATTATCACAAGGGATAGATCACATAACGTATGTCTACAAACGGAACTGTAGTAAAACTTACTTGATTCGTAGGACGATTGACATTAAAGGGAGTGTGATGGTCTTTAAACAAGATGGCGTCAGCGGTGCCCGCCTCCCTGGTATCGGCGGTGAGCGTGCAGCGATCCACCGGACACTTGTTCCGGATGAACTCCGTCCGGCCGCCGGAAACCCCCCACGTGCCTAGCCCGTTTGCGAGCAAGATCCTCTTCATTGGTATATCTTCGTCCGTTGGCAATGTATACATTAGTTGCTCGTAGATCCTGTAGTATAAAAAGTAGAATATTTTTTGACTGCATAGAATATCAACGTTATTACGTTACGCGACACTAACCCGTATTTGAAAGATCTGTAGAAAAAAGGAAGACACGAGGTATAATTTTAGATATATTTCCAACTGTTTTGCAAACATGGACACTTTGTAAGTTGAGATATTCGTGTTTTTGTAAACCTCTATGGCTCCCAATAATTGTGTAGTTAAATTGTTTCACCTGTCGTCCCCCGGTGCATCTTCTGGGAATACTTTTGCTTTGGGGTCGTGTCGGTGCGGTCGCCGCTCGCCGCCGCGCAGGAACCACTCACGCGGGGATGGCGCGCCAATATCATTCTCCACTTCCTCTACGGGTTCTGTTAGCTGTAACGTCACACAATACGGAAGCATAATAATAAGCAATACAATATAGGTTACATATCTTTTAAATGTGAGTACAACAGTAATAGCTGAGTAGTTTTCAGTTATAACTGTAAAGAGCGTCTTTAAGAATGAATGTGCATGGCTACAAAGGAAGAGGAAGACCTGATAGAAGTGAATGGAAGAGCAGCACATACTGTGCCGACCCTCAACCCCGTTCAGGGTGACGTAAAGCATTTGTCGCCGGGTAGTGGAATATTTAAATGAATGTGGGGTTACCTGTAGTCTCGGTTCATCCCTGGTGGGTGGCGGCGAGGGCAGCCGCGACGGCGCGGCCAGCGGCGGCGGGCGCGGCAGCAGCAGCAGCGCCAGCGCAGTCAGCGCCAGCGGCAACAGCAGCACGCCGCGCCGCAGCGCCCGCGCCCCGCGAGCCCACATCTCCGCGCACCCCGCACACCCCGCCTCACCGCAGCGACCCGCCCATTATAAGCACGCCACTGGAGCGACCATCACATCTGAAGAACGTTTACATTAAGTGCCAAAAACATAAGAATAAGTAGTAGGAGGTTAATTAAAAGTATCTTGAAACTCTAATACTTATTAGCGTTTTTCTTTTATCAAATTCCATAAAAGCCTAGCGACAAATCAAAAAAAGATCCTATTTTTAACGTTAATGCAATACAGATCCTTGTTTTTTTAAACATTTACTATGTGCATATATTAATTACAACCAATATAAAGAGGTATTTTTTTATTCATTTGGCGATCCTAAGATTCATTAGACATTACGATTGCGCGCTTTTCATTGAGTTAGATGCCGTCATTAAGTTCTAATTGGATCACAGATAGGGCTGACTTTTTCTACTTAATCTAACTTTCCATCAGGAGCCGCTTTCTTCTATTGTGTCAACCGGGAAAGTCGCACCTAATGAGTTACGATAACTTTTAATTGCCTCCACTAATTATGACTTAAATACCTTATTTTGTTTTGTCTAGGCAATCGTGCCTATTTTACTTAATGACATTAAATTAAAGTTCAAAAGGATTTTTCGTTACTTAATTAATTAAGAGAGAATATTTTTTTTTATGGACGCAAGAGAATCGACGTCGCGACCGTTTTATCAACAAAATTCACGTGAGCGGAAAGGACAGCTGTAGTAATTAGTTCGTTTAGTTCGCTATTTCACAATATTGTATAACATCACTAGTAAATTTATGACACTGTTAAAAATAACATATACAGGATTATTTTCAGTTAAATTAGACAAAAACCATACAAACTTTAAAGGAGTATATATTGAATATCATTATTTTTATTTTTTAACAGAAATAACCTCTTTGAAATCGATACGGCTGACTTCAAAGGTTAAAGGAAGTTGGCAGAGAATTTTCATCTAAGTATTCACCTTTTGTTTCGCCCAGCGCTCGAGCTATGTGAGATTTTCAATCTGTGAAATAGAAAGCAGTCAATGTGAACGGGGCCTTGATGAAAAGTGGAAACAAAGCTTTCCAAGAATGAATGGATCTCAGTCAGAAAAGATTTCTACTAAAATATGATTTTTAGCAAATATCTTTTCGAACAGTAACTGGTGACTAAAACTTCTGTTTATTTTGATTTCTTTTGTCTAGCTTCGACTTTAATACGACTGAAAAAAGATAAGATGAATTTTGAATAAATAGTTTGAATGATTTCCTAAAAAAATTATAAATACTAATGATCATAAACTTTTCACGTTTACAATAGAAACTGACCATAGCAGCTGCTTTTGCTCTACTATGCTTTTAAAGCATTTTAAAAAAAGGGTTCCCTTTTTCAAAGTGCTTATGTTCTAAAGAAAACTGTTGTACCTAAAAAACAAAACAAGTGCGCGAGTTTTAAGAAATGCGCGTTTTTAAAAGAAGGTGTGAGCTTTAAAATACATTGTATACAACTTTTTAAGAACGTGAAAATGTTACAAGAGTCGTTTTAAATAATGGACTTTTAAAGTGGTCGGAAGTGTGATTTTGAAATGCATTGTTTTACTTAATGCTTTAAAGTAAATGTTGTAAATATATGTTGTATGGGAGTTATTTGTTTTTTTTTTTTGTATACGGTGCAAAACTCTAACGTTTATTTATTTTATTTACCTGGTACTTTACTCCCTCTTGATATTCTAAAGAAGCAGTGACAAAGAAGCAAAATTTGATTTGTGGACATAAAATGACAAATCTCTTCCTTTTATCCTCTACTCCTTAACCACCACTTTTTAGAAAATAGAAGACAAATGGTAAAAAAAAAAAAACTGAATTCAGCCTTCAGATAAAAGTGTTTCAAAGCGTTCGATTTATTTTTATCTTATTTGTGTTTTCAATGAACTTGTATGTTCATTACGGTCGGCATGGGGGCGATAATCAGTGTACCGTTTCGTTGTGTCAAATACGCGATGTGGGTTTCGACTGCGATAACTGTCATCTCTTTCATTCTCTATGACAAAATAGAGACAACAATATGTTACTATTAATTGTCACGGCAGTCGAAACCCAGTTAAAATGACTCACGATATAACTGTACTCAGTTTTTTCACAATTCGTTTAACTCGCAAGCGATAATTGCTTTAATGTATGCTTTACTGTAATAATTATATCATTCAGAGTGAATGTAAACTGGTTGTTATTTTATCCGTGATTTAGATTTGTTAAAGCTCTTTAAAATTTGATAAATAATATTGATATATGTCTATTGTCTTCGTCATTTTCTGAATATCAGACTGCTTGCTTCATGCACGTCGCACCTATGTACATATCTAATAATGTAAAATAGGTATAAAACATATTAAAGTATAACTACTTAGTCTATGACTGCTGCTACCTTCCCCTAGACCTATTAGGCTGGCGATGCCAATGGCTTGCTTTTCGGCTACACAATCACAATATAATATACCATCATAGTCATGAAGTAACTGGAGTAAAATTGTAACGCCATGAAAACTTACTACATAAGGAAAATAAAATACAAACATATGTGGAGATCACGATTATTTTAAATCAATATTGACAAAGACTGGATAGAGCCCTCAATGTAAAACTTTTATTAAATCATTTTATCATCTCAATTTTTGTCTAAGAGAATGAAAGGGTCGATGATATTTATTCTATGATCCAGTTATTTTACGACAATTTTAAGGCAACATACATTGTAATATAGCCAAGGACGGTTCAAGGTTATGCGGTGACAAGACACTGTTGACAAAGGTGAAGAAGGTCAAGTCTTCGTGTTCCTGAAGTATGTTAGCACCCGAGGCATGAGAATCATCTGTTACGTTGTTTCTAGGCCACTGTTACTATTGTTAGTCTGGATTCCCTTATCTAGTTTTACAAGTAATTCTGGTAGTTTTTTTTACAGCCAGAAAATGGTCATAGAAAGTATTTAAACATAATATTAATGCCGCCATTTGTTCTAGGTATGCTATGAACATAGTTATCATATATATATTTCTGATCTATGTTAAAAGATACTACCATCGGAACCTAGAATATTTTGACGTATAATAAGGAAGAGCGGAAAGGACAGTGAACTTTCATAACAAAAAAATGGTGTTTAACAAAATGTAGTACAAGACAAATGACGTCATAAATATTCACGTAAACTAAAGTCATGATATATCTTTAGAATAATATAGATAACATGGAATACATTAACATTGTTAATCTAACTCGTGCATGTAAAATGCAAATTCCCCAGCTTGTTACCGCTAAATCACTACATACTAACTTCTTGTTTCGAAGGTTACTAATACTGGATAAGGATCAAACTATATCTATTCAATATTATATGTATTCTTACTCTCAATAATAAGAATAAATCATGGTTTTCTAAGAGTTTGAGATGGATGCGCTGGAATAAATGATTCTCCCAAAATCTAATTAAGCCCACATAGTTATAATGTGTGCACAGAGCTTATTCGAAAGAATTTATTGAGCTTTCGTAATAACTTTATATGCCTAGATAGTGATGCGAAAGTTACGTCGGTGAATGTTACGGTTCATGTATACTGTTTGCATTAAACAATGCGTTCGTTATTCGTGTACCTAAGCATATATACCTACTCTGTCGTTATCTATATAGAGTAGGATCGGGCGCATTCGACGCCCGATAAAAAATGTAATCCATCCACACCGCGTCCATACGCGTTATAAATAGGGTTGCCACCATATTCAGGTTTGATATGACTTCAGTTCAGAATAATTTGTGTTTATTTTTTCGTCCGCCAAGAGATGTCATAATCATAAGGGTCGTTGTTTTATTTGCTACCAGTTCCGATCTACGCCCGTTGAAAATTAGCAACCCTAACTATAACGCTATTTTGTACAACTATTGACAATTATATCCGAGGAGTGTCGGTGACTCACGGGTTAATCACTTTACTTGTTTTCTACAGGTCCTAGGTTCGAATCTATGTACCAATGTGTTTTTTCGGTTTTCGAATATCACAAGTATATTACTAGACGTTATTTAGGAACACATCGTGAGGCTTCTAGCAAATATATTTAAAGACATGTTTATAGTCAACCAACCCGCAGTAGGCCAATGTGGTTGACTATGGCCTAGTCACCCCTAACTTAGTGTAGGCCCCAAGTCCATCAGTGGTGACGTATACGTTGATGATGATGAATCATATCCGTTTAACGTAAGTCTTATTGATAAGTCTCAAATGAGTGTCAATTTTTACATATGGGTATAAAAACGAATACGCATCATTTCAGTTCAGACGCGTCATTGCTTTAATATCTATCTCATGGTTTAGAATGACAGGAAATATGTTAGTATTGTTATTAGAAATATGTTATATGTTTAGTTTGATAAAAACGAATAGAATATAAAACTATCATTACACCTTTCGGTTTGTTAATTATTCCATTTTATGATTATACAAAAATTTAGTGTTACAGAAACGAAATAAAAATTTCTCCGGCCATACATTATCCTGCGTGTAACATAGTGCAATCATCATTTAAATTCTGTCATTATGGCGGTGATAAACGCTTGTCAATTGTCATCATAATTATATACAGCCTCGGACGTGTTACGATTGCGATTAGTAACATACTCGTATGCGTAAAGGCGATATTATACTGAAGTAGAAGAGTTTAAACAGCCCTGGGAGTAAACTTCACCTTTCCGATGATTGAGAAATTATTTTCTTAAAAAGAATTCCACTGGCTGTGTCTAAAAGAAAATCACGCAAAATCACACAAGCGTGATAGATCAGAATAAAGAACTAATAACATCGTATAAGAGATTCGATAACTACACTTAACTAGTATGCAATAATGACAATAAAACAATCGATAATTACGCTGTTAAAGATAACAGAATGTCGACGGAGTCGCGGACGAAAGCTTGTGTATTATAGAATTGAAAAATTATGATGATTTTACGTAATACATAGAGCTTAAATGTGAACATACCTTGGCATTTACACTGTAACCGATGGCTTATTCCACGGTTATTATGGTGAAATGTTTCAAGGATTGGTCACATAAATATGTGCGGAACTAATTTTAATGCTGATAAGTATGGTATACAAAGCGGACTTAACAAAAGGCCACCAGACACATGACAATAACGTAGGTAAATTCATACCAAAAACTCATATAATACATTTATCATGTTGCATTTTGTAACGTTAACGCGCGTAGTAATAAGGGGTAAGCAGAGATGATTTGACACATTTTTATTCCTGATGCCAACTTTAATCCTATATATATATATTTAGGAACACATCATCATATATATATATATATATA